AATATGCATTGAAATCCAAGTCTTGGAGTTTTTTCAATTGAAATCTTCAGTAATCACCCAAGTAGCTTTATATATATATATATATATACACACATACACACACACAGAGAGACACACACACACACAGAGGCACATACAAATAAGCAAAGAGAATTGGTAAAAGTCATTAATTTGTAATATCATTTTGCAACTAGAGTTCTGAAGTCACATAGCTAATGAATTATCCTCATTAAAACACATAGACAATTAAAATCTTAGTTGGTCCATCTTAATCACAGTCTTATAAAGATTTCCAAGTTTAAAATTTAACTGTATAGATATCCGCATATTTTTTAGAAAAACAAAAATTTTGATACAATAGGAAATTATTTGCTTTAACATACAAATGTGGCCATTACTAGACTAAATAAGGGTGACTTAGGAGGCCTGAGTTCTAGTCTGTCTTCTAACAATAGTTATTAACTTTGAGTGAAGCACAGTTTCTTTGAATTTAATTTTCTCTTTTTTTTCAGCCCTCACATTTTCTAATTTTACATTTCTGGGAGAATTGCTATCTCATAAAATCAATGATGTTTGTTGATCCACATTTGCAGCCAGTGTAGTGTAAAAAGACGTAACATAAAGAGGGAATCAGAGAAAGAAAAAAAGAATAAAGAAGGAAGGAAGAGAAAGAGACAAAAAAAGAGGCAGAATGTGAGAGAAAGGGAGAAAGGTGAGAGAGAATGAAAAAAGAGAAAATAAATATTTTCTCAACATGGTCCATGTTTCTCAAGGCTGATCTAAGAGTTGCTTGAAATTCTGTTGCATCCTTTGGAATCATTCTGAAGTATTTCAGACTTCGAGTATTCCACTCCCACTGGCAGGCCCATCCCTCCAGAGAAGATGAGATGAAACAGGATGTCTTAGCCTGACACCATTAAAAATTTGATTTATCTACCTCTCTTTGTTCTGATTCCATGCACTTCAAGCAACCTCTTGATTATAATCCAGCTTCCACAGCCTCCAGGGAAGCAGTGTGATGGTCAGGCTGATAAAAGTTTTGTAACTTGCATAGGTTCTATTTTTCACTATAAATTGATATGCTGCAGGTCACTAAATGCTTTCAAATGGTATGTATTGTTGTATTGACCAACAAATTGTCTAAGGAGCCAAAAAAAGGAGGGGAGGGGCAGACATGCAAATAGAGGCAGAAAAATTGACCAGCTGACAGTGCCAGACTCAGAAGAACCCACCCATTCCCTCATGACTGGCTTTCCCATGGACTCGCGGGGTCCACAGATGACCATTAACTGTGCAAGAAAGATTTTCTTAGCATGACAGGAGCAGAGAACAAATCAGGAAACATTCTATAGACTTCATTTTGTTTTTCTCTTCTGATGGCCTAAGTTAGGCCCTGATTTTTAAATCTATCTTTCAGTCCATTATTGGGATTCATGCTCTAGTACTCTTAAGTGTCCTGGCTAGCACTGCATAGACTTTTATGTCATCGATTTGATCTAGCTTCAAATCCCAGCTCTCCCTTTAGTAGCTGATTTAGTCAAGTTACTTAATTCATAAGCAGTATTTTTAAATATTTATAATGGGAATAATAGACCTAGCCCATAAAGTCATTGTTCAGATTAAATGAAATTATGTACAGTGCACATTTAGCACAATGCCTAAGACATAATGACTGCTCAATACGTATTACCTACAATAATAACAAGGTGTCATTATAATTATCATGGCTGAGAAATGATGAATCAGCATATTGTAAACCCCTTATTTGTTTTAGAGATCCCTAAAGACAGAAGTGGGTCTTACCTAGTAAGTTTAATCTTAGTGTCAGTGCATAAATGCTGTAATGCTCAAAAATTATTTCTCAAGTAGGATATATATCAAACAGTTCCACAAAACTTCTTTCCACCCTATCTTCTAAGACATCCCCAGAAGCCCTTTCATGATAGGCAAACATCCCATCCCAAGAAGCCCAGCCCATATTTGTTTTCATCTGCAATATACCTGTGATCTTCCAGAACACACCACTCCCTACTTTCTCAGGAAAATAATTCACCAATCCTGCTACCATCCATGACAACTCTAACCTCACCCATAGCAGACGCACACACCTGATAATCATTTCTCCTCCTCCTCTCCATTGTATTTACCAGCACCTCTGCTCCCCAAGTCCTTATCAACAAAATTTCCAGGGTGACGAGGGAATTGTAAAACATGGCAACATACTGAGGGTTTCATTTGGTCACCAAAGCATCCTGAAGTCCTGTGACCTGTTGGAAGGTGACCATTAGGATACAGAATAAAGGATTTAATCAATGACAAAGTGCAGACATGTGACATCATTGGTGATTGCCCCAAAGCCCTCCAACCAAAGGCAATTGTTATGTCCATACTGGGACAGCCATTAGCAAAAGAGTTTCCACTATAATATTGGGAAGGACTTTGCGACTAAGTTAGCAGATGGAATTTTTTAAAGTTACAATGAAAAAATTCACTACAAGATGAAAATCCTAAAGAAAATCAGTTGCTAAAAGCAGATGCTGGCAAGTTATAGGCCAGAATTTTCTTATTCCTAAACAGCCCAATACTGACAAAATTTAAATCACCATTAATTACATTTTTTTAAACCTTCAAGTTTTGTAAGTATCAAGATTCTAAACCTACTCTCTCTTCATGCCTCAAATGCCACCAATGATGGTGCCAGCTTGGGACTTTACTTTTTCTCCTGGAATGCTTTCTTTGGGGAAAGGATGGCAAAAGAAATTAGTTGAGTAAACCCAAATCCATCAAAAAGCAAAATAAGACATACTGTGAAATGGTTAGTTTTCTCATCTTGAACTATTTAACTAAGTTTTAAAACAAAAAGGGAGCAATGAGCTCTTTCCCCTTGGAAAGGGAGAAATAGCAGAAATCACTTTTGTGTTTATGCTGAAACAGGTCCACTGAGCATCCCCTGTAAACATTAAATAACTATCACATAATATCAAAAACGAAAACCCTGTATTTATTGAACTGAATTCCATGCTCACAAGAAGCCTTTTAAATGAGATTCTCAGAGAACTTCATAAATGATCTCCCATTATCACTCACCTTCATTTGAAAAGGTAAGTATCTTGATCTCCGTTTCAGCACTAGGGGTTAACAGAAAGGTTAAATGAATTATATAAAGTTACATTAAAAGCCTGAGAACAATAGAGGCCAAGTTTTGTTATCCCTTGAGAACTGAAAGTCTTTCTTTGAAAAATTAAGCAACTTACCTAATTATTTTTAGGAGGGTGTTTCACAAAAATACAATATTTTATCTCTACATTATCTATAAAGAAAAGTCACAAAATAATAACCATGCTAAATAAAAAATCAGTGTGGTTTCCAGAATCCTTTCTGTTCTGTGTACCCACTCACGTGGCTGGAGATTCGAAATGCTATTTAAGTCTCATTTTCCTTCAGAAGCTAACCACTGTGGAATAAAATGCTGTTAAGGGGGGAAAATCTTTTCTGTCATTTGACTTTAACTTATGATAAATTAGCTTCAACTAGTTTCTTAGAAAATTGCCCAAGAAATGACTACAGAAAATTAAATACCAAGACTTCAAAGAGGCAAACACACAGCCTACAAATTCCGACCTCAGAGAATAATCCTCCCTTTCTCATGCTTTAGAGAGATGTGAGTAAAAAAATCGTACTAGGGCATGGTAATGAACCATCTTTCAAATGACTTTTCTATCAATCTTCTTTTCAAAGGGTAATAAAGTGATGATTATTTCTAGGCAGTTTCTGGGAAGTTATCATCTCATTTCAATAGTCACCAGTGAAGGACTGCACTCTGGTATTCTCACCAGTGATGATAAGGGCAAGAACTGGGTGAGAATTCAATAGACAAGGTATAGGTTGTTAAAACCTATTTCCTAGAAAATTAAAACAGAGAAAGATCAAAAGAATTGTGTTGGGTCTTAAGGAATTGGTAATCATTTCCTTCTAGATTAAAAATGCAAATCTGATTTATTACCTAGTGAATGAAATCCACTATTACGTGAAGATTTTTTTCTTTCAACAGATATTGTTGAAAGCAATATATTATGTGTCTTGCTTTGTGTTAGATGTTGGTGACTAATTGAGAAGGACAAGTGACAAGGGAATCTGTGTCATAATTTCTAGAACCAGAGCAATAGGTCTCATCTAAACAAGAGTAACAACAACTCAAAAAATGTCTTTGAAAGCATTGACTAAATGGTTTCTGGGAATTCTTAATCATCCAGTACTTGTTTTGCAAAACTGCAGAAAATAATAACAGAGCAAAAAACACCCAAAATTATATCTGATTCCATTACCCAGAGCACTAAGAAGCTTTAAGATAGCATGAGGCAGCAGTCAGTGCAGGACCATACAGCCTTGTGTAAAAAACTCCTATGTCCTGGATGTCTTCAGGGGAGGTCTCTCTGGAACGTGGCTGCTTCTCTGGTTGCCAAAGTCAAATCCAGATCCCATCTGTGATATGGGCTTTGTGCTCAGACAAGGATTATGCAGTCTGCTTTTCCTTAGTAGATCCTAAGACCAGATCAGCTATGGCTTCTTATTTGGCCTAACTGTCTTACCCAGTCCAAACCTACTGCCCACTGGCAGATAGAATATGAAATGCATTTCTGAATTTGACATTTGGCCAGAAGTTAAATTTCTTTAGTATTAGCTACAAATCAAAACTTGGAGCAAAACAAACAAAACGAAACATGAGACAAAGCTTTCTGAGGGCAAAACCATGCCATCTTCAAAACTACATCCTCATCACTAATGCAGTACAGAGAAAGCACTTAATATCTGTTGAATAAAATTGTTTGAATGAATGAATACTCCACCCTTTTGCGATCATGAATCACTCAAAATCAAGATTGCCACATTGGTATTTGCATGCAAGTATTCCCACGATGACTTTTGCTCAGCAGTTCATCTTTTAAAAATGTTATTCTGTTGGTTTTTCTTAAAACAAACAACACAAAAAGCACACCACAGAATTTGAAGTCCAAATGTATTTTCTTTCAATTTCCATTCCAGGTAATAAATATTTGACCAATGAACTGACTTCTTTAGTTTGGCCATTGAGCAAGCAAACTCTGCCTTTTTCCATAGCTGAATGTAGCATTGAAGTGAGTACCAATTGTTCCTCTACTGATTTGCCGAATAGGATAAAGTTGTTAAGCCCCCTCCAAAAGCATTAGTATTTTATCCTAATTGCCAATCAAGATATCACCCAAATTTCCCACCTTCCACTACCCCCAAAACCCAAGAAAAAGGGGTATAAACTAGCCCTTGCATAACTCAAACTTACAAGAATCAGATACAACCATTGGTTTTCTCGGTTTAAATTCTTAGTTTTCCACCCTCCTATTCAACATTTCCCCTGTATACCTAAGAATGCGGGAGTATAGATTTTTAAAGCAAGCTCTGTAGCAAGCCAGCTAATGTCAGGATTAAAGATAAAGATAAGTTGAATTTTGCAAACCCAGGAGGTTTGCTGCCAGTAGAGTGAAGCACCTTATATTAAGAAAGGGGATGCAACAGGACAGGGAGACGACTCCCGGCACCCCATCTCTCCTCGTGTGAAAAGCTGGTGCTTCTTCAAGGTAGGGTGACCAGGCCCAGCATACAAAAGAGATCACTGATCCCTAAAATATACTAGACAGTGTGACCTCCAAGAGTCTTTCACCTTGGGCATCACAAACCAATGACATGTTCTCAGCCTTATTTCAAAATATATATATACATTCTTCAACCCAGAGGAATGGGGAATCTGCCCTGGAGGGAAGCAAACACCTGTGAAACATGTTTTCAGACTGAAACCACATCTTTCTTCATAGGACATAAAGTAATTTAACCTGCAATATTATATATACAACTTTGGAAAGGTGAGTGGTATTTTACAGGCTGACTTAGTCAACTCCTAACTAATAGTATCCCTGAGCTTAAAGGAAGGGAAACCCTTTCCTAATAATTTCCAGTTCTTCATATTCTTGTTCTCTTGTTTAAAAGAAAAAAAAATAGGCTAGGCGTGGTAGCTCATGCCTATAATCCCTGAACTTTGGGAGGCCAAGATGGGTGGATCACCTGAGGTCAGGAGTTCGAGACCAGCCTGGCCAACATGGTGAAACCCCACCGCTACTAAAAATACAAAATTAGCTGGGCATGGTCGTGCACACCCGCAGTGCCAGCTACTCAGGAGGCTGAAACACAAGAATTACTTAAGCCCAGGAGCTGGAGGTTGCAGTGAGCAGAGATCATGCCATTGCACTCCTGCCTGAGCAAAAAGAGTAAAACTCCATCTCAAAAAAATACAAATGAATGTTATTTGTTTTAGATTTCCCTTTCCTTTACAGAAACCTGAAATACCCAGGCATCATATGATTCACTGACAATATCTCAAACCCACCTAGATTTCACCAGGATACTTGGTTAGTTTGTGCTCCAATCTCTGCAAATCCACCCTCATTCCATTGTTTTTCCTATCACTGCTATTCAAAGTCCTATGCTGTGGAAAAAACAGAAGAGGAAGTCACATAACTTTTTATGTACATATATATAGACATAAAGACAGTCTGTGTGTGAGGTGACAAATAGCAGTAGGGGGTCCAGTCTGCACACATAGTGAGAAAATAAATTAAATTCATCCCCACCACCCCATCCTTTAATGTGCAGCACTCTGCTCCAAGGTTCCAAGTGGCCAGCTAACGCAATGAGGTATACAAGAACAATATTCCCAGCTGGCTCATCCAAGCGTCTTCATGTGGAACTTGAGGATGGAGCTGCCAAGTGTCCTGGACAGAGGTCAGTATCTAGGAGAACCCACTGATCATATACCAATGAGGCCTTTGGGTAGGAGGAGAGGTGAGGCTCAGAAGGTGTGTCCCAAGGAGGCGCTGACGTAATCAATGCCACGTCGATCAATCTTTGTTATCACTGAGTTCCTGGCAGGTAGGGCAAGCACTGGGATCTTCTTGCTCCTCCCTTTTCATAGTTGCCGGAGGCTCCTCAGCTGATTCAATTTTTATCTCAAGTCCAGAGGTGGAATTTATCCTTTCAGGGAAATAGTCATTTCTTTTTAAATCTGCAAGGAGTACAAGTAAAAAGGTTATAGTGGATCCCCCAGGAACATACTGTTCATGAAGACAAATGGGACTTTAGGCTTTGCCAAGTGTTCGGAGAGGTCTCTTCTTCCTCAGATCATAGATATGTGGAACTCAAACACTTGACCATGTCCAAATTAAGCCTCCTTTCCCACCCCAATACCCATGTGCAGTTCTCCCTTCCCTATGCTGTTTGGGCACTATTTCTAGGGCAGGGAAGAAAGACTGGGTTGCTTGCTTCCACATACAGTGCCTTATAAGAAGTTTTGTTCATTTATTTTGTTTAATTGGAGACAATAATCACTCTCAATTAGCTGGACATGGTGCTGGGTACCTATAATCCCAGCTACTCCGGAGGCTGAAGCAGGAGAATCGCTTGAACCTGGGAGGCAGAGGTTGCAGTGAGCTGAGATCACACCACTACACGCCAGTCTGGGCAACAGGAGCAAAAAAAAAAAAAAAAAAAAAAAAAAAACCTACCAGTGTGGTGTAAAAAAATTATCTCAACCTTAATCAGACAGAAGCACTAATTGAGCTCAAGGACTGGAAGCAGTAAGTTCTGTCTTAAGTCTCCCTGTGTCCTGGCTCCTCAGATGTAGTCCTTCTGTCTTCAAGAATGCAGGCCTCCCTTCCAGGGTAGGAATAAATCAGAGCTGGGAAGAGGACAGCACCAGAGGACACCAAATGAATGAGCCAGACTCCAGCCTGCCATCATAAAATGACTCTGATTGTTGTCAGCTCCTGCCTCCCAGGCGGCCCTTACCTGGAGGTCCTGATGACTCTCAGCCCAGTCCCAGCCCCTTCCTGAGTGCCTTCTGACCAGAGAAGCCAGTGGGCAGCTTGACTGTGTACTAATCTCTTTGACCACGTCTGGTACGATTTGTGAGAGTGAGTCTTGGGCAGCTGTGAGAGTTAAAGCCCTCGCTTCTTTGACTGCTCCCTTTTGTTTTCTCCACCCCTGGCTGACCGCTACATTCCCAGTGGAACTGGAAGCCTGCTCCAACTCTGTGTTTCCATCTTTCTATGCCTTGCCCACAAGCGCTCCCCCTACCTCTAACTCCAACAGGATTAGAAATCACCCTTGTTTGTTGTAAATTTACACCTGTCCCATCCCAGGTTACTATGGACGGTACAATCATTTATTATAAGGCATAAAGAGCTACTCAGCTTAACATATGTGAAATCCCACTGTAAGGACAAGTTTGGTGTGACCAAGCTTGGGCAAGCTGAGGCACACATGATGCTTCCCTTCTGGGACTAAAGAAAGGAACGCAACAGAGCTGGGACTGCCCATTTGGAGGGCACAGGCCTCTAGCTGCTTGCTTTTATAGCAGGAATTTTTAACTATGCCATATTATCAAATCAGATTTTTTAAAAATATATGTTGCAATGTGTGCTTAAAGTAGCATACTTTTTACAGTGAAAAGCGCTACTTTAATTGAGGGTGTCATTTCCCTCCAAACCACACCCTCCCAAGTACCCAATGGGTGAATCAGAATAGAATAGAAATGCTGTGGGCAACACCATGCAGCGATCGGCAGCTGGCAAGACCCAAACAGGAAGGGCAGAGACCTGCCTCCGTCTGATTTTATCCCATTTAAGCTGGTGGAACTTTTCCTTTGGAGTGACTGTGACAAGTATTGGGCCCCATGTTGTTTTATCACATTTTGGCAGAACCTGAAGTAAATCCCTGTCCTTTTAATCCCTTTAGAGACTTGAAAATTTTGCAGTCAGAAAGTCAGGCTCTGCGAATGACTGTGAATGAGATAAAAATGTGATTAAGGTTTTTCGACTTTATCCCAGGTTACAAAGGATGTTGTTCTATGAGAGATTTACTTAGAGAAAAATGGAATTGTTGGTGGCATACCCGGGAGTTTGAGCTTCCGGCAGCAAGAGTTGCAATGATGTTTTGCAATGAAGTTTCTAATTGCATCTTCCCCCAAATTGGCCGGTCCAAACACCATTCCTCTTGATCTAGAGGAAATATCAGAATATCAATTAGATCACAGCTAAGAAAAAGGAGCTCAACTAGGATTCTCCGAGATACCGAACAGTATCCCATAGTAACCCAGTAAACTTGAAGGAGCCAACAAAGAACAGAGCACTTTGGGGAAGCAACAATGTTAGGTTTGCAAATTTAAAATTCAAATGCACTTAAATCTTTGTTCCCAACTCCAAGACCTACTGTGAAACGCATTTCAACGCTAATCTGATAGAAGAGTGAATTTTCTATCATTAAAACAAAGTACGGCCCGAAATCCTTTTTAATGCACATGGGGTGAAAGAGTGACATTCATTACCAAATGTTCTACTAGAATACCCAAAGGTAAGATACAAAGTAAAATACATTTGCTTTTGGGACACACCTTCTAAAAAGATGCATAGACATTGTTTCAAACCCAAATACCTTTCTTTAAATAACTGCCCTCAAAAACAAATACCCAACTAAACCCTACATCGTATTCATGGCTCTTTCAAAGCCACTTTCTCTCCTGCAAACTGCTATAGCTGGGCTTTTTGTGGAAAGACAAGACTATTACACAATGTGTTGGTGGAAGTAAAGTACATATGCTCGATGTAGGTGACAGAGTTACAAATAGAATCAGCATATATAAGGCACCTTTTGAATACTCTATGATCATAGCAGATTCTAAGATCAATGTTCATCTGTTATCATATCAAATGCAATCATGATTATTTGGATTTTGACACTGCACACCACAAAACAGAGCATGCCAGAAACATTTCCCAAGAAACTTTATGAAAGCTAATATTTTATTTTAATGACATGCAGAGTGGAAACAGCACATTTAGAAAAATCTGAACTCAATTACCACTCTTAAATACCACGTCTTAAAAGCAAAAGAAAAGCAAACTATCACGAAAGGAAACAATAAACTTCGCTTCTAAGGAATGTGGTTTTTCAAAAGGGACGTGGTGTAAAAATGGACTTTTTTCCATCCAAGGATTGAAACATTTATCTCAATTTCCACTTCCTTTTGGCAGAATAACAGTAGCTGCTCTGAAGATGTGCCAAGCTCAGAATGAGGGCTGATGTCAGTTTGATCTCAGATTGCCTCTTTGCTCCGAGGCGAGTAGGTGGAGGAAATCTCTTGGGAAGACAAAGTGAACAGACACCCAGGATTAACTTTCCTGGTCACTCAATCGCTCTTACAAAGTACAGCTCTGGTGATATTTACCCGGCTGCATAAGCTGCCTCTTGTTAACTATTCCTCTCTCTCTATCCATCTGGTAAGGAACCACTTCAATAAGTTGAAACTGAAGGTGGCAAAAAAGTCGAAGCACTCAGTATTTAGACCAGGATTCTACTATGCCGGTAAAGTGAAACACACTGTTATTTTAGTCGTTTAAATTGAAGAATGCCTTTTTATAGTCTCTCCAACATGACCCTGTTAGAATATTTCACTCATTTGCTTTCCATACCTGCCATTTCTTCTTCCCAGTAAAACATAAAAAAAACCCAACTTAGAGATGCAACATTGATTCTCAGATAAAAGCTCTAAGTTAAATGATTTCCCTCTATGAGCTTTGGGAAAGTTAAGACAAAAGAATCAAAATTACTACAAAATGCATACAGCAGGAGTTCGACCACTCCCTATGCAAGGGAGAATGAAGGAGAGTTGTAGGGAAATTCATTTGCATCTACCCCCTACAGCACGCCTAGAGCCTTGCAGTCTTAGATAACCAGGTTTAAAAAAAATACAAGTAGCTGTTTTCCAGATTTTTCACAACACAGGAAAAGCAGGTGGTAGCTTGGTTCCACATGCGAGGAAACGCTAATTAGTGCCATCTATACATAGATTTACTAAAGAACATCTCATCATCATTTCATACTTGTCAAATGCCCAAAACTATCAAATCAGCAAGCTAAAACACTGTAATTACAAATGACCAATAACCAAGATAGAAGGTTAGGGAAAGTTAAGATACAATAAGCATTAGAAACAACATGAGAATTTACGCCACAAGAATATCTTCTCTTTTGGTAGAGGATTATCCTTTCATTGACCTCTCCTCCTCATAGGAAAGTTAGCATCTTCACTCTGCCTAAGTTTTCTTATTTGTGAACTGGGGTTGAAAATGCTTCCTTTCATTGCTGTTGCAAAGGCGAAAATAAATAACTCGTGAAAGCACTTACTTAAATCAGTGCTTCCCAAACTTTAATTTTCCCACCAGATCACCTGAGGATCTTGAGGAAATTCAGATTTTGGTTCAGTATGTCTGGGGAGGGTCCTGAGATTCTGCATGTCTAGCCATATTCCCTGTGATGCTCACGCTGTTGGTCCATACCCCATGCTTTGTGTAGCAAGCGCTTCAGACACATACAGCATTTGAAATGTGAGCCCCATTGAACTAATCAGATGTAATTCCCCATGACTGTGAGAAAATAGTACTTCTCTTTATCTTGACCATGAAGGCCAACTGCATTCAAATTGGGTAACCCCACAAAACCCGGCAGGCCACAATGAAGCCATCCTATCAATTTCCGGTGTTCCTACCCTCAAATCATAAAAAAAATAAAGCTGCCGTAAGACAGAGGTTCTCAACCCTGGTTGCCCAGAGAATCACATGAGAGACTTAAAAAAAATACAGATATCAGGGCCTTCTCTTCAGAGATTCTAATTTGATGCCAATCCTTGGCATTTTTTTTAAGTTCCCTGAGTGACTTTAAAAGAAATTGAGGCCCACTGGCCTATAGCATGCAATTAAATACCTACCTGTCAAGTGGGATAATATCATCTTAGAGTTCTAAATGATAGAATATTCAGGTCATATTAAATGACATATGCCAAGGTTAAAATTTAATAAATGATAGATGGGGTATACACAAACTTGGTTCATTATATATGCAAAAATCTTCCACTGCAAAATTATAAAGTACTTTTAGTATAAGATTCCTGCTACTAACACTTAGGCACACAGGGCTACTGAAAAAATAATATCCTAGCTAAAAAACACTTTAGCAGAGCTAAAGTGAAAACTAATAAAGCCTTTATGTATATAAGCGTTGTGACATGGACTCCACAGTCAAATAAGTATCATAGGAATTAGATGTGTATGTTCAATATGGGTCACCTTTATTTTCTCTAGTTCACCTAGTCCAATTAAATATGTAATACCCTTTTAGATGGGCCTCTTTGCATGGAAGCCTACATATTTAGATTAAACCACTCAGTAAGATAACAGAGCACTAAAGCAGTGAATATTTATGAGGCCTTGGGGAGGGAAAGTAAAAATTTCAGATTTTATTGATTGTCCACTTATAAAGTTATATATATTTTTTCTACCAAGCAGGGACCAAGTATAGACAATTAAGAAGTAAAAATGTTGTATGCTGGCAGTTCTCAAGAGTGGTTTCTGGACCAGCAGCATCAGAATTCCATGGGAACTTGTAAGAAATGCAGATTATCTGGCCCTACCCCAAACCTACTGAAGCAGAAACTCTAGGAGTGGGGCCCAGCAATCTGTGTTTTAGCAGACTGTCCTGGTGATCGTGACGTAAGCTCATGTTTGAGAATCACTGTTGCCTGCCATATTGATCAGTTTAACCTGCACCATCATTTATTTCTACCCCACCTTTAATAGAAGAATACAGCCTGAGATCCTTTACTCTCAAGTCTTCCCAAAAGCCTGCTTCTGGGATAAAATGCCGATGGGAATTCAAGGGACAGGTTGATGAGTTATCCCTCTATAGAATTTAAACTTCAGCTCTTACTTATTAAGTCAGACAATCTGATGTTTCATATTTAAATTCCATTGTTTTGTCCTCTCATAAAATTTGCTGTTACTAAGTAGCACACTTTATGCTCTCAGCTTTCATTTTATAAGCATGCAATGGAAGATGCTGCCCATGATAAGATGCAATGACTCCAATTGTGAAGACAACAAAGGAAACTGTGCTTCTCCTATGACATTGTTTTCATATCAAAGCCGTAGAGGCTAAGCTTACCCATTGGAAACTCAGTCATATTTGCATTAGTCCTTATAATTTCCATTTAGGTATACAAATCTAACTGCAGATTTAATATCATTTTACGTATTTCTGTAACTTCTTTTTACCACCATTTCTTAACCTATGCTTTTTTACAATATTATTGTGTTTGGTCTCTACACATAAGCTACCTGAAAACCTTTCTAGGATCTAGGCAGGGAACATCTATGTTTCTAAATTATTTTTAAAACCATTTACTAGGTGTTAAATGCAATTTTCTAAATGATAACACATAAATTAACTTACTGTTTGACTTCAGGTTTTATAACAGATGGATCTGTCAAATTTTCTCCAACACCTCAAAAGAAGAAACGAAATTTGTTTAGCAAATGGAGATTTCATTTTCTTAGAAATTCAAGAAAATAATAATTAAATTCTAATTTCTTAATTTAAAACTCACAGTCACTCCACAGTAAATAAAACGTCATGAGCCCAGACTTCACCACTACACAATATTAGCATGTAAAAAATCTGACCTGGCACCATGGCTCACGCCTGTAATCCCAGCACTTTGGGAGGCCAAAGTGGGCAGATCACCTGAGATTAAGAGTTCAAGACCAGCCTGGCCAACATGGTGAAAACCCATCTCTACTAAAAATACAAAAATTAGCCAGGTGTGGTGGCACATGCCTGTAATCACAGCTACTAGGGAGACTGAGGCAGGAGAATTGCTCAAACCTGGGAGACGGAGGTTGCAGTGAGCTGAGGTCATACCACTGCACTCCAGCCTGGACAACAGAGCAAGACTCCATCTCAAAAAAAAAAAAAAAAAAGCATGTAAAAAAATCTGCACTTGTATCCCTTAAATATATAAAGATATGTAAAAACTAAATATAAAAATTAAATATTTTAATTCTCAAAAAATCATGTAAATTAAATGCCCTATAAAAATTGTTCAGAAATGTCTGAAATTTTAGTTAATGCACTGTTTCCCACAAACTCTCTGTTGTAATAAACGTCTAGGCCACAAATGATTGTTTTAGTGGTATGTTCACAGTTACTGATAGTGGCATCTGTCATTCACCATTTGTATATACCAGATATTCTAATTTTATTTTCTCTAATTCTCCACAATTATAAAAGGAAAGTGTTATCCTCATAGCCTCATTTTACATTTTAACCTCATTTACATCAATGAGTACACTGATGTTCAAACCAATTATGTCATCTGTCAGAGGTTACACAGCCCATACATGGTCATAACAGGATAAATGCTGAGCCAAAGTTTGTGTTCCTCCCATTGTCTATGGTCTCCCTATGGATTCCATCAGTGCTCAGCAGGGTGCATAGTGCTGTATGGATTTGCAGGTACAACCTCTGCTCCATCAAAGAGACACATACTTATACTTTTATCCTACTTATAAACAGTAGAACAGACACCACTAAATTCTTGATCTGGGTGATGGTTATACTTGTGTATTCAGTTGTGAAATTCTTTGAGATGTAATGCTTATACTACATTAATTTTCTTAAATGTATATGTCTTCAATAAAATTGACCTTTGAATAAAGGATGGCACTAAAGCCTAAATAGGTAACATAGGTACAATGTAAAGCTAAAATGTATCAAAACAGGAATCAGCACCTAACGTGAATCTCTTGTAAAATGCAAGTGGTGAGGAAGCTGATTTCCATTGGTGGAAATGCCCCAGGCCAGCCAGTAAGATCTGGGCACAATCCAATGATTTCTCAGATCATTCTCTAATCAGCCCTGCTTCTCTTTGCCTGAAAACAACCAACCTTGTGGGAAGATTATTTTAAAATTATATAAAATTTGTAAATTTTACTGTATTTCTACTTGTTGAAAAAAACTCATGTTTTCTAGCCAGTTTGTTTTAAAAAGATTTCTGTTATACTCTGCATGTTTTATAATATGCTAACCCTTCCACAAGAAAATGTAATCCTTACAGACTTTTACTCTATGAAACTAACTTCCTTAGAAAAATAACCTAGAGTAACCTAGAGCATAAAACTCTGTGACCTGGATACCTTCCCTAATCTCTCTGAACCTCAGTTTTGTCATCTGAAAGTGTGAATCATAGTGGGCCTTATCTTACAGAGTTACTGAGAGGATTAAATGAACTACTGGACACAACTGCTTAGCAAAGCACTTGACCCCTAGGAAGCTGAAAAAAGGTTCACTGTTGTTTGCATTATTTTTCTTCTATCAAAGACTTCTTGTGAAGTGAAATTTTATTTCCGTACCACTGGTAAAATCATGTTTCTGATTGATTATCTCATTTCCCTGAAGTACTATGTTCCTTCAGGAACAGAACTCCTTATAAGAATGACGGTAAAGAGTATCCACAAACCTTTATATCCCTAAACCCAATCTGACAATTCAAAGATTAATGAATACATATTTTGGGGCAGACAAATGGCAGAAGAACCTTTCAATGTTTGAAAATAGAGAATAGGCCAGGCACGGTGGCTCACGCTTATAATCCCACCATTTTGGGAGGCTGAGATGGGTAGATCCCTTGAGCCCAGGAGTTTGAAACCAGTTTGGCCAACATGGTGAAACCCCATCACTACAAACAAATACAAAGAATTAGCCAGGCGTGGTGACATGCGCCTGTGATCCTAGCTACTCAGGAAGCTGAGGTGGGAGGATCATTTGAGCCCAGGAGGACGAGGCTGCAGAGAGCCACGATTGTGCCACAGCACTCCAGCCAGTCTTGGCTACACAGTGAGACTTTCTCTCAAAAAAGAAGAAAAAAAAAGAAGAAAAAAAAAGAAAGAAAAAGAAAGGAGGGAAGGAGAGAGGAGTGAGGGGAGGAAAGGAAAACCCCAAGTACCAATCTGACTTCAAGAGAGTAAAGGCTCATGTCAGGTAATATGCAGCATACCTTTATGAGAAGCTCAGAGATTTTCTAATCCCAACCACCTTTGAGCACATCAGTCGAACTTGTACATTCGTGGAAAGAAGCTAACTTTTTTGTAGTAGCAGAATTTATGATGATGATGTTGATGCCAATGCTGACATTCTGGAAACTGCTTTCTTGAATAAAAAATTAATATCTCCAAGAACTAATATTAATATCTCCAAAATAATATTGAAAAATACAATGAGCTAAAAAAAACACTATAAACCACTGTAATTTGAAATACAATTGTTTTTCATTTCTGTTTCTGGAAACTAAATATTGGATTTTAATGATGATGATTCAGACCCTCACATGTAAAATTTTTTAAGTGGACAAAGACCAAAAAACTTCAGCGTAATTACAAGTGATTGGAAATTGGTCAAGTCTCTCCTCAAAGTACAGTTTCTGGCCTGGTGTAGCAGCTTCTGGGTTAGTTACTGGCACTCCCTTGGAAGAAAGCAAAGAAGAGAAGAAAAGAAACTGAAAGAATAAACTGCTCCAGTGTTTCACACTCCTTTCTCTCAAAGCAGTAGGGAACCACAGCACACTGAGCAAGGCCTTCGTCTATAGAGGCCGAGGCTGCAGTGTCTCTGCAGCACCAACAGGACCACACAGCTGAGGGCAGACTCCCTGCAACTGCAGATTAACCTCCATATTAAAGAGTCCCACAGAGATTAATGCTAATAGCAACAACAACTAACATTTACTGAAGGCTGTGTATCAGGAACTTGTCTCAGTTCTTCCCCTTAACAACTCTGTGGCTTAAGCACCTAATGTTATTTTCCCTATTTACAAATGAGGGAAGTGGGAGTCAAGGTGACTGCTCCTCTGTGTTATGCAGCTAATTCACAGTGGAGCCAGAAGTCAGACTCTGGCATTGCAACTCCAGAGCTCCTCCTCCTAACTGCTGCTAGTGAGCCTCTGTCTCCACTTCCACCACCCAGATGATGGACATCGTCTCTCCAATGACAAGAAATACAAATAAATATAATATAAAACTGAACCAAAAAACGTTAAGAGATTTTAAAATTACATTCGATTTTCCCCATTTTCCCTTCTCAACCTGGTTTGGATTAAATATAATAATGCATGTATGCCTTTAGGCAAGTGCCTGGCACAATGTAGTAAGTGTTACCTAGTAGTAGGGGTAGTATAATTGTTTATAATTACTATTATAGGATTCACATTCTTCCATAAATTCATATCTAACCAATTGGCCAAAACTCTCCAATAAGTATCTCAAATTTCATCACACTCATTCTATGATGTCCACTCTTCCCTTCTTTGAAGGTCAATGTTTTGACATTGTTTATTTGGAGTGCTTTATTTGGAGTGGCCTATTTCTGCAATTCAGATAATTGCCCAGTAAAAGAATAAAGTTAATTCTCTTTTTCCCTCAATACTGTCAACACGGCACTTGTTCTGTTTAATGTCACTTTGGATTACTAAGAGACATAAAAATCCCCAAACATAAACATCATTAAACAAAAACCTATTCAAGTGGAATACAAAACACACTGAAGAGTCATCATTAATTTCTTAAAGTTTTTCTTTGGTTTTTTTGTTTTGTTTTGTTTTTTTATGTTTTTCCTTTTTAAACAACTCCACCCAAAACTCAAAGCACAAACCATCAAATGCAGATGAAAACAATCAACCTCTCTCCAATTTGAGCTACAAAAATAGATGCCTTGGGCATCAGTGCTCTGGGTTTACATGGATCAAGTACTTGCTGGTTTAAAAGCTGAATCAACTCAGTCATTTTAACTTTGTTTATATTGCTTCCTAAAATATTGAGTTTGAATTGAATTAGAAATATAATTCAATTCTGTGAGCAGCATAAATCTAAAAGGACAGAAGCACTTATATGTCATTTTAGAAAATGCACTTATATGTAGTTTAAAAATTTGTGTCACATCCTTGAGCATGTGACACAAGTTTCAATCAAGTGACTTTGCAGTCTTACTAGACATTGCTTATGATACCCCAGGATTGTCTGCTTATCTCTACATTCTCCAACTTCCAAGCCTGGCTTTCAGCATAGAATCCCAGAACCAGAGAGCTGGGAAAGTCAGAGAGGACAAGAAAGAGCCTCAAATTGTTTAAACAAACCATAAGATGGTTATACCTTCTATGTATGAAACTCTTATAAAAAATACAAGAACAGTGAAAAGAAAAGAACATGGATGTCTTAAGAACAGCTTAAGTAGCTGTGTAACTTTGGGCATGTTATTTAAACTTTCTGGGACTAAACTCCCATAATATTTACCTCAAGGTGCTGCTTCCAGGATTATATGAGATAACGTCTATGAAACTTCCTGTGCTAAATCTCTGATTTAAAACTAAAGCGCCAGTCAGTGAGCCTAAGGACTAAACTTTGGCCTTAATACTTATTGTGTTCTGTCCCTGCAAGGAAAGCCTGCTAAAGATACTCTGTTTTGTGCCGCAGGATTATCAGTCACATGTGAGGTGTTGATAGTCGGGAGATGCGCTGATCAAAGGTTTTCATTAAACAAGAGTGTGCTGTGTTGCCTCTCTCCGATTGTGTACTTTCATGGACTGTTATAACAAGGGACACAACAAAGAGAGCAAGCTAAATTATAAATTGCTAAAGCAATGAGCTCAAAATCATGAAAAACACCCAGAATTCAAATGTTCCTATGCATATAAATGCATGCCTAAATATTAACATAAGGCTAAGGTGAAGCCATAAAACTGGAAAATGTGTTACAAAAATCATTCCCCATTTTGCTCAAAAATTTAGATGTCTTTAAATTTTAAATAGATAATCATCTGCCTAACATTTTTCCCTCTACCTAAGTGAGAAATAACATGGCAGATTCCATGATCATCACTGTGCGATGTCTCTGAAATAAATGTGCCCAACTCCCTTCAAGGCTAAACACAGCAACTCCACATATTCCCCATTCTGGTTCTTTTTTTTTTTGAGACAGAGTTTCGCTCTTGTTACCCACGCTGGAGTGCAATGGCGCGATCTCGGCTCACCGCAACCTCCACCTCCTGGGTTCAGGCAATTCTCCTGCCTCAGCCTCCTGAGTAGCTGGGATTAAAGGCACATGCCACCATGCCCAGCTAATTTTTTGTGTTTTTAGTAGAGACGGGGTTTCACCATGTTGACCAGGATGGTCTCGATCTGTTGACCTTGTGATCCACCCACCTCGGCCTCCCAAAGTGCTGGGATTACAGGCTTGAGTCACCATGCCTGGCTCCCATTCTGGTTCTTGCAAGATCTCTTTACCCTTTTCCTTATGCTTGTTGTATCAAATCCTACATCATCAATCACCTTGCAAATCTAAAACCAGCAGCTCTCCCCGTGTGTACTCATAGGTCCAGTGAGAGAAAGCCAACATCAGTTCCTCCAGGGTGTTGGTGGGGGTGATTTCATCACCGTTGTTGTTGTTGTACTTCCGGAACTCCCCTGTCATATACTTCTCAATGGTCAACCACTGGTTGGCTGAAGGGCAATAGATTAAGAAAACTTCCAGGAACCTGTTAAGGAAAAAGAGGCCATTGACACCCTACAATACAGCAAAAGTGGGACTTACCTTATTAAACAGTCATCAGCAGGAAAGATGACCCATGATGCAGCCTCAATGCACATGCCCTCGCCCTCTCTATGAAAGGGACAGGATGCAAATATTGGGAATTTTTCTCTCCATGCTTACCCCCTCCTCTTTGAGGCAACTTTCCAACTCTTTTATAAGTGCTGGACCCAACTTTTCTTGCTGTGCTCTATAAAGTTCCTTATAAATAAAAGAATGAAGTTTTACTATAAGTCCAGCACCAAGTTATGATCTGTGTGTGTCTCAATAAATGAATGCAAGTGTGTGAAGACACTCAAGTGAAAGTAACAAGAGTTTATTCTTATAAAATTCCTACTTTTGATAAGATATTTGGGGAAGAGACTATCCTTACAATAAGAATATTGTTTCTGCCATAATGCCTCTGGACATTAATAATAACACCCAAGGTCTGTCTGTTTCACATAACTGAAATGTTAGGTACAGCCTCTGAACCTCTTAGTTCAGTGATCAACAGGAAGGTATCCCTGGGATCTCTGATTCTCCTTTTGCCAGACCTGAAATTATGGAAGAATCCGAAAATAAGATCATGCAGAATTTCCCCATGGATATGATTTCTCATGAGTTATGGGCTGAGAAGAGATAGATAGAAATTCCTACTTAAAATAAAGGGCCAAGGTGCCAAGGTTTTCTTACCTTGGTGTGTAGGGAATGGTTTGTGGTTTCACTTGGTTGAAAGTATAGATCAATTTCTGAGCAGCTCTCTGTTGCTGAATTTCCTACAAAATAGGGAGCACTGATAAAAATATTGGTTTACTGTTGTACAGCTATAACCATGAAATTACTATAGGCTACCCGAATGTGATTTTTAGCCTTATCAGCTCGCACCACTGCCTATTCTAAAAGCAAAAGTCCCACAAAGCAATACTACCTCTAAAAAATAACAGGCTTTGGGTTGAAGATAATGGCCTTACATAAGGATGTAGCCAGATCTCTTTTCTTTGACCTGTCCCTCTGGGCTATGGGTCTCTGAGTTTCAGACTTACCCTGAGGCAAAGATGAAGCACAGTACTCTCCTGGAAGATCTTACACCATGTCCTCACAACCTCAGGAAGAAAGGACTTGACAATGAAAACCTGTCCTGGCTTCAGAATGTTATCCTCAGACCAAGTGCTGATGACTCTCATAGCTTTACGTAGGCCCCCATCCATCTCCTCTCGGGACAACACCTGGATCATTGAAGCTCTCCCACGCTGAGACCAAGAGGACACGCTTTTATCAAGGTTTAAAGGGGAACTCTCCTCTAACCTGTAGACAGTTATTTCCTCTCCTGCTGCAAAGAGAAGTGAAGGCGAGGAGTTCAACAAGATTGCCGTGACTGTGACATGGATAGTATTCCAAACATCAATGCAAAATCAGTTCAGTTACCCAAATGACCAGAGGAGAATGGGGCTAGCAGGGAACAGAACAGAATAAGGACATGAATCTGGCCATGTTTCCATGTTATTTATTGTCTAGTAGATGTGGGGAAGGGGAGAAGGGACAAAGTATCAGAGCATACAAAAGAATTAAGCTTTTCTTACTGCAGACTATAACTGGACAAAAACTAAGTAGTAAGGACATGCTTCTTTTGCTAAAGACAAATACTTTTAAAGAGACGGTTTAATCTGATGGTGTCGTTCATTATCATCCCCCTAAGGAGCCTAATTAGACCTTCTCTTCTAATTGTTCTTCTCATGACATAATACAGGTTGCATATCCATTATCCAAAATGCTTAGGACCAGAAGTGTTTCAAATTTTGGATTTTTTCAGATTTTTGGAATATCTGCATATACATAATGATGTATCTTCCGGATGGGACCCAAGTCCAAACAGAAAATTTATTTATGTTTCATATACACCTTATACATACAGCCTAATGGTACTTGTATATAATAATTTTTAACAATCTTGTGCATAAAACAAAGTTTTGAAAGTATCTTGACTCTGACCTGTCACATGAGGTCAGGTGTGGGAATTTTCCACTTGTGGCATCATATTGGCACTCAAAATGTTTCAGACTTTGAAGCATTTTGGATTTCAGCTTGGATTTACCAAGCTCAACTTGTATTAAAAATATTCTGTATATCTGATTATGTGCTATACATAGATCTGTGCTTTAGACCATTAAAAGAAAAAACTTTTTTTCTAGGGGTGAAATAGTCCATTAAAAATTCATGGTTTGACTCAGCTGGAGTCAAACAGTGCCAAGGTCATATCCCAGAGCCTCTCCCTCCTTCCTTTGTCCCTTTGGACAAGTTACTTAAAGCCTCAGTTTCCCCAACAGAAAAATGGTATGAAAATACTATTTACATTGGGCTGCTATAAAGATTAAATAGGCTAACATGGCTAACGTGAATTACAGCCTCAGATAAAAACTCAATCCCACTTAAAGAATTTTAGACACAAAATGCTACTTAACTGCTACATAGCTTCCACTTGTAGGCTGTTGAAGAGGGAGAAACTCCTAATGAACCTAAATGCTACTAAGTCAGGGTTTAGTGTTTCTTAACAAAGCAACATAATCTATACACAACTTCTGTCCAGCCCCAGCTGGTGTTCCATTTCCTTCTTACACCTTTGCTTCCTTCAAATAGTTGTTGTTTTTGTTTTGTTTTGTATTTTTAATGAAGGCTGTACTAGTTTGCCAAGAAAAGAATCCATTCCCTCACTCTTGCATCTAATTCCTCACCAATAAATACATCTAGGTAATGCTCAGTAACAACTTTTCAAATCTTTATTCTTGGTGCCCAGATAAATTGCCACTGAAGAATCTTAGAGTCCTAAATCCCTAGAGGCTTTAGAGCAGAGCTACTGATTTGCAAAGCCAGCCATGGGGCCACATGGAAGGAGAAGGCATCTGCATTAATAGTCAGAAGCAAACCTGGTCTGTGGCCAGGTGAACAGTATGAGAAGCATCAATATCAAGGACAGTTTGGGGACCCTTACTATATTGTCAACTTGCTCATGCCTTACCCTGCCAGACAGAGAAATTCTGGTAGCTTTAGCCAGCCTGAGCTTGTTTTTCTTTTCTATTCCAGACTTTTAAAATGACATTTGCAGTCTGAGGTAAGAGCAATTAGTGTACACAAAACCAAACAAACAAAAAACAATACACAAAGCATTTCTCTTCAGATGCCTGTTGGCTTGCACCATATTGACATTTATCGCTTTCTCCTGTGCTTATTATAAATGGTTGGCTTGTTCTTTTCTTTCCTACTTACTTCCAGCCTTGAGTCAGTGAATGCCAGGTGCAACATTATTGCTTTCTTCCCAACTGCTGCTCATTATAGGTCTTATTCCCATAGTATTAGATTTTGTCCCTGAATGCTGACCTTGACGGTTAACAGAAGTTTCCATTTTCGAAAATAAATCTCACTAAACTACAACTATCGACAAAACAAAATTTTCAGCTAAAATAATGCAACAGGGTTTCTCCTTGATTCACTCAGATTTTATGCCTCTGTCCTGGCATAACCTCAAGAAGGCAGAAATGCTACTCACCAAACAGTTGGATTGGTATAAATGGTATGGTCTGAGAAAGCCTCATTAAATTATTCCTTTCAATGGCTGCAAACAAAAACAGATTTTCTATTTTAAGTATGCATCAGTGGGCTGAATTTACAGAAAGCCTCTCCACATCAATATATATTCACATAATGCTGTTTAATTTCAGAAACCTCTTTATTTTTGCCATTATCAAAAATATAATCTATAATGCTGTCTTAAAAATAAACTGTGCTTTAAACATGAAAGATATCCCAGTTTTAGAGGCATTTAATATGAGATTATGTCACATGGTCTGAGGTAGGACTATCACCTCCACTCTCCTGAATACCAAATCACATACTAATCCATACATATGTGGAACTTTCTTTTAAATGGCATTTTAATCTGTGGACTTTGGTTTTCCTTTCCAAAGCAAATCCAAAGCACCGTGGACTGTGGGGACACCTACTGTTCACTGTGCACAGTTCATCTTCTTTTTCCAGAGAGAGCTGAAGACTGATTTTAATTAGAAGCAAGTGATCTGCATTTTCCTGTTAAGAGCCATAACCTAACAGCTCAGAGTCAATATGAGTTACAGTATTCCTCACTAGAGACTTTCTTAAGTTGACGGCTGGAGTCAAAATAATAGATTACTGCAGAGCTGAAAGACCCAGTTATAAGAGCCTGGACTGAGGAGTGTGGAATCCAACTGCAACTCTATTCACTACAAAGGAGAATTCAGGATAAGGCAGTCTATTACTAGACCCTGAACAAATAACCGCATATAACAGTAATTACCACACCAATAAGCTTGTACTCAGGTACCGACCTTTAGATTGGTAAAAGGCTTGCCCGTGTATTATCTCATGCAACACTGAGAGCAATGGCCCCCAAGAAACCACCCAATGGCACAAGTCCAGTTGCTTTTATATTGCTTTGCATTTCAAAGTGTTTTCCTCTTAATTCTCAACTAGCCCTTTGGCAGACTGTTCCTCAGGAAGGGCAAGTAAAATTATTCCCACTTTGAAGGAAAGACAACTGAAGCACTGTGAAGTGATGTTGCTTAAGAGAGTCGAGACCCTTGACATCTCTGTTTGATAACATCTTTGTTGAACTCACTCTTTGGGATTGGCATTCATTCTGTGATCATACTAACTGAGGGCTCAGTGAGAGTACAAAACCCTCCCTTGAAATAACTACTTTCAGATCTGCCTTTTCCCCAGTCCAAAACATTGAGATCTCTGGTTTGGGGCTGGCTTTGAGATTGCAAATAATTTTTAGATCTCAAGGTCATCTTTCTTCTTTGCAATTTGGAACTTGGAAATGAAAACATTTTGCAAAAATCCAAATTCTCTTAAATTCTGAAAACTCATTTTCCCAAGTCAATGGCAAGCTTAGAAACCGGAATGTTCTTCCCATCAAAGTGAACAATACCCTTTCAAGTTGGGAGCCATGTTAATAACATGAAATTCATCAATGTTTCTGTTTATAAATGCAGAAGCACAGATGTTTAGCTCAGCTGACATGTCTATGTGCACATGCATCCTACCTGAATAATGGTGAGGCTCTTGAGGGCTTTTTAAGGAGGCTGAGATGTCTGAAATTAGAGAGAAGATTGACATTTTAATTACATGGCTGGAGATAAATACATGCTTATGAATATATTGCCTTCAAAGCTATTATTGAACAGGTTAATCAGAATAGCTTCTCAGTATTCGAAAAAGCTTGCCTAATATCTTTTAACCACATTATTGCGCATGGTATCCTGACAGCTTCCAATCATCAATGTAATATCTCCAAACATATTTATATAGGGAATTGAATAAAGACAGGTAATATTAGCCTCAAAGATGTATTTCCTCTGAACCAATTATACCTCCGGGTTTCAGAAGGCACTCAGCTGCCCATCATACTTCACAACATCCCAGAAGCATGATTCTCTGCACTCCCTACCAAGATGCAGTACCCACAGAAAGACAGTATTAATACCAAGTTATTAACAGACTACTTCACTGACCTAAAATAACAACAAAATGATGAAAACACATTAAGAGCTATATATTGGAAACTAAGAAGAGGGTAGATAATATAGCACCAAGAGATTTGTTTGGTTACACAAGGACTATGTGTGGGGAAACCTCTTCCAAGTTTAACTCATTCTCTTCTGTCTGCTCAAGACCTAAATTACAAGGCCCTAGAGAAATCCCTTGCAACAGTTTTGCTATTTCATAAAATCAAAATTAAAGTGGAGAACTTTGGTCTCATGATGGTAAGTGCTTTATACCTAGTAGAGTAAGCAGCATAATGAGCCCAATTTTGCAGATCTGTCTGGCTTTTTGTTGCTGGATAAGGAAAGGAACGAGAATCGCTTCCTTTGGGGAGTGCTGGTAAAAAGTAAGATCAGCAGAAAAAACTGTTCCTTTCTGAAGTCATCAGTAAAAACAAAAAGTATTCCGCTCCCACTATGGATCATATTAGGCATGAGAGATATGGGTAAGATGTGGTTCCCACCATATAGAAAATTAAATGTATTAGAAGAGAGAGACTGGTAACTAGAATCACAACACAATTTAAGTAATATATGTAATAAACGGATACACAAAGGTTTATGGAACACATTAATTCCACCTGGAAGGTTGGGCCTTCATAAACCATGTGAAATGCTTAAAGGGTATGAGTATCAGTCTGATAAAGCTGAGTTTCAGTTCTGGCTTCACTAGTTAAGGAGCTGTGAGACCATATTCGTATTTATTCAGTATACATTTATTGAATACCTACTATGTGCCAGGTTCTGGTCTATGCTCAGGAGGAAGAGCAGTAATCAAAACAGATAAGTCTCTGGTTACATTCTAGTCAATGAAAATAGACAATAAATAAACATATAGTGCACAGTGTGTCTGCCTGTGTGTGCGTGTGTGTGTGTGTGTGTGTGTGTGCAGATCAACTTAAGAGAGTTAGAAAGCATGGGGAATAGGAAAGTTGCTGTTTGATAATAGGATGGTTAGGCAAAGCCTCTTTCATAATGTGAAATTTGAGCACAGAGTTGAAGGAAGAGAAGGGGCAGCAATATGAATAAATGAAGAGTATTCCAGTGATAGGTATCAGCAAGGGCAAATTCCCTGGGACAGGTTTGTGCTTGTTATGTTTAAGGAGGAGAGAGTAGCCACAGTGAAATGCACTGAGAGAAATGCGGTTGGAGGGTGGCTCAAAAACAGAACAACATGGTATTGTAGATTGTTTTTGAACTTTGCTTTTGCCAAGTGAGGAGGAACATCATTTGAGCAAGAGTGACTCAGTTCAATTTTCAGTTTAAAAGGATTATTCTGGCTGTTTCTGGAGAAAGACAATTAGACAGCAATAGTTTAGAGGCCATACTATAATCCAATGAAGAGATTATGATTGCTTAAAAATGGTGTTATATGGAAGTAGCAACGTGGATCAGATTCTTGATCTATTTTGAAAGGTTTACTGATAGATGGGATGTAGGGATGTGAAACAATGGAAGACAAGTATGATTGCAAGACTTTAGCTTCAGGAAGTGGGAGTACAGAGTTGCCATTTCCTGAGATGAGGTCAATGTTGAAACATTTTGTTTGGGATACTTTTTAGACCTCCACATGGAAGTGTTACTATGTGGTCAGTCATATTCTGCAAGGCAGAAATAATGAATGAAAGGTATCATGCTGATGGGCCTGGAAATTTGGATTGAGATCAAGCTTTCAGGAGCATTGAGGAAAAACTCAGGGGTTTTCAGTCTATCTTTTGGTAACAGAGAGCCATTGAAGGCTTCTACTTAAGTGATGATTTATCATTCATAAAGATAATTCTGATAGGAACATAGGAAAGTTTAAAAGGAGAGAAACCAATCAGAATGTTAAGACAAACTCAAGGGCAAATAAAGTATAGTATACACTTTTTGTTTCAAGAAATAAATGATGGTAGTTTTAAGGCAGGAGCAATAGCGTAGACCAAACTAATGGTTTTTAAGATGTAGGGGTGGGGAGTGGCGGCAGAGAGACGCAGTTAGAAGGCAAGGTTAATGGCTAAGAGCAATGGGGTGAGGAGGAGATTGTAAATGACTAAAATTTCTAGCTTGCGTGAAGCAAGAGGCTCTCAGAAAGACCAAAAGCAAGTCAACAAAGAAGTAGAACATCCAAAGAAGAGACTCAAGGAAACACAGAAAAGAGCGGGTGCCATAAAGGAAAAATGGTCAATACCGAATGCCGTGAGTTCAATGAGAACTGAGAAGAATCATGTGAGTCAGCAGTTGTAGTGGAGTTTCAGGAAGTGGTGGGGCACACCCCATGGGCTGAAGATCAAATGTTAATTGCTTTTTCTATTAATCTGGAGGTGGCTGCTTGAAAGCTAGCTAAATCGAGAAAAAGACTATTTTTTATTTTGTATAGAAAACAACCTAAGTTTGTTAGTAGGCTGAGGAGAAGGAATCAACTGCAAAGGGGTTCCTGGAAACCCAAGAAAATGTGATGGAACAAGAACACAGAAGATGAAGGTGCCTTTTTACATCAAGGACTTAAGAATATGGAAAGCAATTTGTAAACTGTAGTAAAGTTTGAGAATAACTATAGTGGCTTTATCAGGGAGCTGTCTCACATGACCTAGTCCTATTCAGCCATTTGGAGCCCCAGATCTTACTAAAACCATACAGAAAAAGGCATCCACATAACAATCTCATAAATGGATCTTAATGAACAGTGTGTGAAAAAACAAAAGGACAGTAAGAATTGGTGAGAGGTGCCGGGCACAGTGGCTCACGCCTGTAACCCCAGCACTTTGGGAGGCCAAGGCAGGTGGATCACGAGGTCAAGAGATCGAGACCATCCTGGTCAACATGGTGAAACCCCGTCTCTACTAAAAATGCAAAAACTTAGCTGGGCACGGTGGTGCATGCCTGTTAATCCCAGCTACTCAGGAGGCTGAGGCAGGAGAATTGCCTGAACCCAGGAGGCGGAGGTTGCGGTGAGCCGAGATCATGCCATTGCACTCCAGCCTGGGTAACAAGAGCAAAACTCTGTCTCAAAAAAAAAAAAAAAAGAATTGGTGAGAGGTAAAAATGAGCTCAGTGGTTATACCGTCCTTCACATAGAAGATGGGGAAATAACAGTCAGAAACAGGTCATTCAAAAAGTTTTAAACCAGACATCAATCCCAATTTGTCTGAAGAAAGATATTCAACTTCATACTCTTCTACCGAACTTTCTGCATTGCATGGTAGACAAAAATCACAAATACAATTTCAAGAATGACAAAAATGTCAGGAGGACAATGATCTTCAGCATTAAAAGGATGAAAAAATAAATATAAAATGTTTAAATAGAAAAACTTACTGTCAACTCCATTTGAACTTTTCAGCCTGTTTGAAAAAAAATGAAGTTGTTTAGATCTTACAATGATCAAAAAAAGGAAACAGCACGTGAAACAGTTACAACACAGAGTATACATTTTATATACATGTGAAATACATGCACAGTCATGTACTACATAATGATGTTTAGGTCAATGATAGACAGCATATATTACAATGGTCACATAGATTATTTATTTATTTATTGAGATAGAGTCTCACTCTGTTGCCCAGGCTGGAGTGCACTGGTATGATCTTGACTCACTGCAACCTCCGCCTCCTGGGTTCAAATAATTATTCTGTCTCAATCTCCCGAGTAGCTGGGACTACAGGCGCCCACCACCACGCCCAGCTAATTTTATTTATTTATTTATTTATTTTTTAGTAGAGACAGGGTTTCACCATATTGGTCAGGCTGGACTCAAACTCCTGACATCAGGTGATCTGCCCACCTTGGCCTCCCAAAGTGCTGTGATTACTGACATCAGCCACTACACCCAGCCCATCCCATAGATTATAATGGAGCTGAAAATTTCTGAATACCTAGGGACATCTTTCTTAGCCATCATAATGCCAAAGTGTAATGCATTAGTTACATGTTTGTGATTATGCTGGTGTAAATAAGCCTGCTGTACTGCCAGTCAGATAAAAATATAGCACATACAACTATGTACAGTACATAATACTTGATGATCATGATGGATGACTATGTTACTGGTTTATGCATTTATTATACTATGCTCTTTTTTATTCTTTTAGCATGTACTCCTTCTACTTTTCTTTTTAAGTTAACTGTACACAGCCTCTAGCAGGTCTTTCAGGAGGTATCCAGAAGAAGGCATTGTTATCATAGGAGGTCATGGCTCCATGCATGTTCTTGCCCCTGAAGACCTTCCAGTGGGACAAGATGTGGAGGCAGGAGACAGTGATATTGGTGACAGTGACCCTGTGTAGGCCTACCCTAATGTGTGTAATTGTGTCTTCATATTTTTTCTTAAGAAGTAAAAATTAAAAAATAAAAAATTTAAAAACAGAAAAAGCCTTCTAGAATAAGAATATAAAAAACATTTTTGTACAGCTATACAACGTATTTGTGTTTTAAGCTAAGTATTATTGTGAAAGACTCAAAAAGATTTTTAAAAATTTAAAGTTTATAAAATTAAAAAGTTACAGTAAAGCTAAGATTGATTATTTAAAAAAGAAAAAAATGTATAAATTTAGTGTAGCCTAAATGTACATATGAAGTCTCTGGTTATGGCCTTCACATTCTTTCACCACTCATCCACTCTGACACCCAGAGCAAGCTTCTAGTCCTGCAAGCTCCATTCATTGTAAGCATCCTGTACGGATGTACCATTTTTTAATATTTTATACTGTATTTTTACTGTACCATTTTTGTGTTTAGATAAACAAATACCATTGCTTACAGTAGTCAGTACAGTCACATGCTGTACAGGTTTGTAGCCTAGGAACAATAAGCTAGACTATATAGCCTAGGTGTGTAGGAGGCTAGACCATCTAGGTTTGTGTAAATGTACTCTATGTTTATGCAACGATGAAATCATCTAATGACACTTCTCAGAATGTATCCCTGTTGATTGATGCATGACTATATATATTTTGAAAGAGAATTATTAGTTATATCTAATCCCTATCTTATCAATAAAGTTTTTAGCCCTGCAAGTGTTTTTATAGAAAAATGAGCACCAGATATGTATGTAAGTCATTTACTGTGTGTACCCTAAGCTAATTGAAAAGCAGTTGTTGTTTTATCTAATTAGCTATGTGATCAGACAATATATATAAGATGTAACTGTGTTTGTGTTGTTAAACTGAAGGGTTCCTGAACTATGCAAAGCAGATGCCTACAAATGAGTCTGTGAATGTCTCTGGACAAGCCTACAAATCAGTTTCATTAGCCCACGTGGCCCCTAAATGTTCACAGGCTGAAATTAGTTCTCTTTAAATTGCTACTTGCCCTGCTCAAATGCACAGGTGGCCACAGGCAAGTCTGAATAAATACATTCAAAGAATATCTTCAGTATTTAAGGTCCTTAAGGAAGAAAGTACAATTACGATTATTGTTTAATTTCATGCTGCAATAACCCACTACACTGCATGAACACAAACTACTGAACCTTTGGGAGAAGAAAGTCATGGGTCCTTTAAGTCTGGAAGCAGCCTAGCACAGGGTCCATGATGGGAACTCTTGAGAAAGACCATCTCTAAGAGAGCTGACTGCAAACTGAAAGTCGCCTTCTACCTCCTGGGTATCAATTGGTACTTCCATAGAGTAGATGGTTTTGAATTATACCTGTATTAAAAATTTGATGATGCAACTAGAAAAGTCAAAAAATACTACAAATTAAATAGAATAATCTTTGCTTGGTTTGTCTTCAAATTTTATTTCTCTAAATATATATTAATAAAATTCCAGGAGGATACTCAAGTCTATAACCATGTGAGTTCTCTATTCTTTCTCTCTCCATCCTGACTTCCTCCCCCTCTCTCAGTCTTTCTCAGAGTTACTACATTAATGAGTAGGATGTTACTGAGAAACCAAAAATAAAAAAGATATGCCTTACAAACTGAAAGGAAAAAATTTAAGGAAAAAATAATTATTTTTAAAATTAAAGAATAAATGTAATCGGGTGTTCAGTCTAAGTCTGTTTAAGCAAGTCAGATTTATTTCTACTCTTTTATGCAAGTTCATAATCTTATCTATCCAAAAAGACATGATAATCATTATTCCATGTGTGTTTTGACACTGAAAATGCAAATGTTTAATTTGTTGTATGAGTATGTGTTTCGCTATATTCTTAAAGGGCACTCAGGTGAGATCTTGTTGCCAGAAACAGAAAAACTTGGAGAAGAAATCATTTCATTCTGCTAACAAAAGAAAAATATTGTCATTTGATACATACTTCTTTTTTCTTCCTTTCTGACTAAATTAAACCTTTGTTCCTAACCAAGTTAAAAAAAAAAAAAAAGGAAGCCAAAGACTCTTAAACATAAACATTTGGAAATACTCACAGGGAGTTTCTATCGAGGGTGGTGCTCCTGGAATTCCACAAAGAGTTTTTGCTGAGATCCTGAGCAGAAGGGAAAGGCCATTATGTGTGTGTTCAACATAGCCCCACCCCAGGTTTCCAGGAATGCCTCTGCCAAACACACTCCTTGGAGGACATTTCACTTTTCTTCATCTACCTCAATATTCTTCTTTTAAAACACATGCTAAATCCAAGCTAGAAAGATGCATAATGTTAGTGCAACATCTGAGTAACTCAGTGTGTTGATGAACTTTAACAGAATGAAGTTACCCTAAAGGAGATATCAAAGAGAAAATGTAACATATGAAATTTTTTACAGACCAAACATAGAAAATGAGGACTCAACATACACAATCAGTTAATCAGGACTGAACATACACAATCAGCTAATGACATGAGAGAAAGAATAAAGGTACAAGTTGACAAACAGACAACACAGATCATCACATTGCTATGTCTTATCATCAAAAGATTATCATCACAGGTGATGATAATTATTTAAAAATAACATTACCTTGGATTTACCTCATTCTACTTCCTATTCAAATTCAATTATTTCCTGAGACCTAGTATACTATAGGCATGACTCTAGGTAGGCATTTTCATAGTTGTTGTTTCTGCTGTCCACTAGCAATAATCTCATAAGGATGGCATTAGTCTCACTTTAGAGATACAGCTAATGAAGCTCACAGGTTAACTGATGTACATAGCTTTTAAACGTAGAAAGTGGCAGAGTCAGAATCTGAAGACAGGTCCCTGCTTCCAATTATCCTCAAGTAGTCTGACACTTTACTTTCAAAATCTTTTACAGATCCTATTCCTACAAGAATATTTAAGGTTGTTAGTATACATCCATAAAGGTCATGTCTCAACCGTTCTCAAGTTCAAACAGAAACTATTTAAACAAAGGCTTAAAATTTGGTTTCTTGGGTTAAGCTAACTATTCAAAGTTCCCACGTGGTGTATGGCACTGAAACAAGGCACATATTTTTAGATGGCAAGAAAAACAGACTGCAAAACCAGAGAATCTCAGCATTGAAGAAGCACTAAGGGTCCTATACCCTGCAAGGTTTGAATCCCCTCCATCAAGCCTGCAAAGAGGTTTGTTCAGCCTATGCTTGACTGATTGCACTAGTGAGGGACTCACTACTTCCAGAAATAAATCATTCCATGCTTGGAAAGCTCCAATTGCTAAAAATTTCTCCTCAGATTGGGCTGAAATCTGTCTCCCAGTAGCTTCTATATGTTGATTCTAGATCTACCTCTCAAAAGTGTATAGAAAATAGCTTATTTTTCTTCCATATGACAACTTTCATGTATTGGAAAACAGTTTCAAAAACTCCTGAATTCTTTCTCTCTCATGCCAGACATCCCAGGTTAAATTATTGAGCAGACAGGTAAATTGCATAACGAAGAATGTCAGAGAAAGAATAATGTGGAGAGGACTGAAAAAATAGAACAGGAATTCAACTGAGCATAGCTTCAAAACCAAGATTAAACAGAATGCCAATAAAAGGTAGAAGCCAATTAAGGGACATAAAGGTAAAATGGGCATAGTCAAGAGAACCATTGCATGCTCAAATTTTTTTTAACTACTAAAATATTTTTACCTCTTGAGACTGCTTTAGGTGATCACTGACTTGTACAGCACATTGTCCAATGTCTTTAATTTTCATTTTCAGATGTATATAAGGTTCTACACCTTGTAAAGAGGGAGAGAAAGATTAGAAAATACATGAAAATGTGTTACATTCAAATCACAGTTCCCAAATAGAAAAATCTGAACACAGTACATTCATTTAAACTTGGATATAGTTTTCTCTTTCTGTTTTTAGCAAGTTTTACCAAGTTTCCTTTATCCTTTTTTTCCTCAAGAGGTTGAAAACTATATATTCTATTTCTATTCTTCTATAGTTACTTTCACATTTATAACAACTTACACTTCTCTAAGTCAAGAATTAAATGATCTGTCCTCTTATAAGACAACACCTTTACTAATTTTTTATATTTACCTTCTCCTGCATACTATTGTACATGCTTTATTTAAAATATGTGAAATTTAATTCCTACACTAGTTAGGAATCCTTCCTTAGCAACTGCACCAAACATTATAGTAGGCTACTTAAAAAGAACAAAAACAAAAGAATGATAGAGGCCGGGTGTGGTGTCTCACACCTATAATCCCAGTACTTTGGGAGGCCGAGGTGGGCAGATCACCTGAGGTCAGGAGTTCGAGACCAGCCTGCCCTACATGGAAAAACTCAGTCTCTACTAAAAATATAAAAATTAGCTGTGTATGGTGGCGCATACCTGTAATCCCAGCTACTTGAGAGGGAGGAGAATTGCTTGAACCTGGGAGGCAGAGGTTGCAGTGAGCTGAGATCATGCCACTGCACTCCAGCCTGGGCAACAGAGTGAGACTCTGTCTCAAAAAAAAGAATGATAGAAAGGAATACCATCAAATAAATAGATTTAATTTTTAGCCTTTTCTTAAAAAGGATGATAAGGATCATAACTGTTATTCTTTTTGTAGCTGGTACCTACAGAGTTACCGCATAGAGTAGATGCATAATAAATATTTAATGAATACTTGGTTGGATTAATTCTGAGAATAATACTTATCAGGAGTCCTGACTAAAAATAGGAAATAACAGTTGCATTTTTCCCTAATAATTTTGTGTGGGGGAAAAAAAGTATAAAAGAAGTGTAAAAATTACTGTATGACAGCCAAGTGGAGTGGCTGGCTCATGCCTGTAATGTCAGCACTTTAGGAGGCCAAGAAAGGAGCATCACTTGAGGACAGGAGTTTGAGACCAGCCTGGGTAACATAGTGAGACCCCCATCTCTACAAAAAATAATTAGCCAGGCATGGTGGCACACGCTATAGTCCCAGTTACTCTGGAGGCTGAGGTGGAAGGATCATTTAAGCCAAGGAGGTCAAGGCTGCAGTGAGCTGTGATTGCACAACTCTACTCCAGCTTGGGAGCCAGAGCCAGATCCTGTCTTTAAAGTAACAGAGAGAAAGAGAATGCTACCTGACAGGGCAACTGCCTATCCATAAAATTTTATTTTTTTAATTCGTTTTCAATTATTAACTCAGACACATTTCAAAAAAATAAGCTTCTCAACTCTGGATGTGGTTCAAGGAAGACAGTGGGCCTCATTACCCACTCAGATTAGCCAGGCACTCGGATCAGCCTATTTCCCTAGCCTTACCTCCCTCTCTGATCATCTGACTTAATGAGATTCTTTCCCAGAAACTTCCTGCCACTTGCATCTCTCTATGTTTGAAACTCATTGGAAAGAACATAAATAATTTAAGAATGATACATAATATCCTAAACATATACTATTTATTAAAAACATAATATATATAATATAAATGTATGACATTTATAAATAAAATGTATCTATTTATAACTGGTCCTGGAATCATGTCTTTAGGTGTGGGATTTGATTTATTCAAATTTATGGTCTCTAGTAAACAGTGTGATTAAAGTCAAGGCAATTAAGCTCTCAAGCTATATCTATAAATTGAGGGGGTACTGACTAATTGAATTTCTAATGTCTCCTTCAGCTTAAGAGCCCACTTGATTCTTGGTGACTTAACAGACAACTGAGCATTTTTAAACATAAAATCAGGGTTTCTCCACCTTAGCAATCACATATTGGGCTGGCTAATTGTCATGAGGACCTATCCCGTGCACTGAAGATGTTTAACAGCATCTCTGGTCTCTACTCACTAGGTGGCAAGAGCATTCCCACCACTACAATTATGACAACAAAAATATCTCCAGACACGGCCAATTGTCCCATGGAAAAAGTGAGGAGAATGTATAAAATCACCTCTTGGTTGAGAACCACTGACCAAACGAGCAAGCAGATTTTTAGAGAAGTGTAACAGCATAAATTTCAATACAAAGTCTATTTGCACCTTAAGTTAACAAATATTTTTAAAGCCTTATGACTCCTTAATCACTTAGTTCTTTCTGTTTAAAAATTGGTAAAGGTCTCTTATCTAATGCAAGAAGTCCAAAGTTCCGATCGTTGCTATCTTTTCTGTTCACAATCTGCCCTCATCTTACCTGTCCAGACCTATTTCACCGTCCATGCCTAGCTCATAGAATTCATTCCCAGCTAGTTGATCCATCTTCTCTCCTCTACAAACACCATTATTAAGCTTAAGAGATAGCTGACCACAGAATATACACTAAATGTAGGCAGTGGAAAAATAACCAAATATAACTTAACCCATTGAATTCTGTGTGGCAGTCCCTATCAGTGTCACATGTATTTTAAGAATTTATAAAATTAAAAGAAAAGAAAAGAATTTATAAAATTAGACAATCCCCTACCCATAAATCAGACTAAATGAATGCTATCTGGATAAAACACTCTTGAGTCAGGTTCAACAGCTTTGAATATAAGAGACTACCTAAATCTTAATTTTTCTTTTCTAGAGTTCTTTAGGCAAGTAAAATGTCCCTTTCATAAAAATTAAAAACAGAAAAAAGCTATTTTCCTTAAAAAGTGTAGCCACCTTCTCTTTCCCTCATCTCCATGTGAAAGAACAGGAGGGTCCGCCAACGGTCTAAAGACCATACCCTGAGAAAACTCCACCAGGCCTTTTTGGGATCAAAGACTGTAGATGTTACATACTTGTCTGACTTAATTTGGACACTGTGAGCCAGTTCTGGCTATATTCCTCTTCAGAGATGCTGTTTTTTCCTGGCTCTGGATTCAATTGGTCATTCTGAGAGCAGGCATTGACTGTTATGATCTGGAGAGAAAGACACTTGTTAGAACACAGTGACATTAATTCAAAAGCACTATGAGTCACACTAATAGAAGCACCATGGTGAAGGGCAGTGTCTGTTAACACTGGCTGCATATTACAATTGCCTGGGAAGTGCTGACAAATCCCATCCCTTAGGCTGGAAGGACACAAGCATCCATGTGATTTCTCTTTGCAGTCATGGCATCTTGGTTCTTAATCTTGAGTGTACATCAGAATCACCCAGGGCTTAGGGGCAGGGTTAAGCCACATGTCACTGGGTCCTGCCCCTGGAATCTCTGATGCAGCAGGACTGGAAGGAGAGAGAATTTGAATCTCTAAAAAGTTCCCAGCTGATGCTCATGCTGCTAATAGGAGATCATATTTTGAGAAAAGGTTAGAATCCAAAGAATTTGTGTTGGAATTCTAGCTCTGTCATTTAGAAGCAATGTGAATTTGGTTTCTCACTTAATGTCTCTGAGCACCTTTCCTTCATTAATAAAATAATAGATTTTATGTCTGAGGTGCAGAACAAGTGAGGTAAATTGGTAACTAAAAAGCAATAAACAAATATAAGCTTGAATTACTGAGTTCGGTTCAATTTCTAGTTGAACTCTGGACATCTGAACTATTCCAAAAATAAATCTACTTAAGTGCATATTTCTTGGGATTCCAGAAACTCATGGCATTTTCTCTGAAAGAATAGCCTTCCTTATCTCTCCCCTAAAAGATGGTTTTACATCATTGTCTCAATACTAATCTCTCTGCTTCTTCTTCTCATTCTAAAAAAGGGCAGAGGTATTTTTTTAATGCATCCAGATTATTATTTGGAAAAATAGGTGTAAAATATTTTTAAATAAGGCAGAGCATTAAGATCATGAAAGGTGAATTCTTACAGAATTGCTACTTCAGATCTAAAACTTCATAACAATATATAAAAAGACTCACTGAATGAAAATGAAAACAACACATCAAAATTTAGAAAAGAGCTAAAACAGTGCTTAAAGAGAATTTTATAGCACAAAATGACTACATTAGAAAAGAAGGTCGGGCCCAGTGGCTCACAACTGTAATTCCAGCAGTTTAGGACACTGAAGCAGGTGAATAGCTTGAGCTTAGGAGTTTAAGAATCAGCCTAGACAACATGACAAAACCCCATCTCTACACTTACAAAAAAAATACAAAAATTAGCCAGGTGTGATGGCACACCTGTGTTCCCAGGTATTCCGGGAGCTGAGGTGGGAGTATCACTTGATACTGGGAGGCAGAGGTTGCAATGAGCTGAGATCACATGAATGCACTCCAGCCTGTGGGACAGAGTGCAACCCTGTCTCAAAAAAAAAAAAAAAAATTAAGAAGGAAGTCTCAAATCAATGACCAAAGTTTCTACCTTAACAAACTAGAGGCCAGCACAGTGGTTCACACCTGTAATCTCAGTACTTTGGCAATCCAAGGCAGGCAGATCACCTGAGGTCAGGAGTTCAAGACTAGCCTGGCCAAAATGGAAAAACCCCAACTCTACTGAAAGTACAAAAGTTAGACAGGTGTGGTCGCATGTGCCTGTAGTCCCAGCTACTTGGGAGGCTGAGGCAGGAGAATCATTTGAAACCAGGAGGCGGAGGATGCAGTGAGCCAACATCACGCCACTGTACTCCAGCCTGCACAATAGAGACTTTGTCTCAAAAAAAAAAAAAAAAAAAAACTAGAAAGAGAAGAGCAAAGTTAAACCCAAAATAAACAGAACAAAAGAAATACTAAAGATATGAGCAAGCATGAATGAAACAGAAATCACAGGCTGGGTGCGGTGGCTCATGCCTATAATCCCAGAACTTTGGGAGACTGAGGCAGGCAGATCACTTGAGCTCAGGAGTCCGAGACCAGCCTGGCCAACATGTCAAAACCCTATCTCTACTAAAAATACAAAAATCAGCTGGGCGTGGTGGTGCAGGCCTGTAATCCCAGCTACTCAGGAGGTTGAGGCAGGAGAATCGCTTGAACTTGGGAGGTGGAGGTTACAGAGAGCCGAGATTGCACCATTGCACTCTAGCCTGAGCAACAGAGTGAGACCCTATCTCAAAAAAAAAGACAAAAAGAAGAAAAGGAAAGAAAAAGTAGAGAAGAAAAGAAAGGAAAAGAAAAAGAAGAAAGGTGAGGAGAAGAGAAGATCAGAGAAAATCAGAGAAAAATCAATGAAAACAAGAGCCGGTTCTTTGAAATGATCAATAAAACAGATAAACCTATAGCAAGACCGATTATGAAACAAAGAGAGAAAACCCAAAGTTAAAATGTTAGCAGTAGGTCAAGCATAGTGGCTCACACCTGTAATCCCAGCACTTGGGAGGCAGAGGTGGGAGGGTCACCTGTGGTCAGGAGTTCAAGACCAGCTTGGCCAACATGATCAAACCTCATCTCTACTAAAAATACAAAATAAGCCGGGCATGTTGGTGCCTGCCTGTAATCCCAGCTACGCAGGAGGCTGAGGTGGGAGAATGGCTTGAACCTGGGAGATGGAGGTTGCAGTGAGCCAAGATTTTGCCACTGCACTCCAGCCTGGGCGACAGAGCAAGACTCCATCTCAAAAATAAATAAATGAATAAATAAAATGTTAGGAACAAAAGAAGCGATGTCACTCACCACAGATCTCAAAGACAACAAATGGATAATAAGAGAAGATTATGAACATTATGCCAATACATTAAACAACTTAAACAAAATGAGCAAATTCTTTCACATACACAAAAAAGGCTCATTCAAGAATTACGTAACTAAATAGCTCTAAATCTATTACAGAAATTGAATTTGTAGTTAACAGTTTTCCCACAAAGATGGTTTTATTGGTTAATTCTACTGAATACTTCAGACTTAAATAATGTCAATTCCTTACAAATTCACCCAGAAAACTGAAGAGGAGGGAATCCTTCCCAACTCAGCAAATAAGCTAAGCATCGTCCTGATCCCAAAACCATACAAAGATATCAAAGTAAAAGTGAACTAAAGACAACTATCCCGCAATAATTCAAGTACAAACAATAAATCTTATCAAAATTTAGCAAAATGAATACAATATAAAAAAAGACATCATAACCAAGTGAGGTTCATCCCAGAAAGGTCGATTTTATATTCTAAGAATTAATTCTAACATTATAAAATTAATGAATGAAATTCACTGTAAAATAACACAATCAAAACGAGAAATATCTAATCACCTAAGTAGATACAGAAAAAGCATTTGACAAATGCTAATATTCATGAATGATAAAAATTCTCTGAAAACTAAAAACAGAAGGAATGTTTTCAGCCTTATAAAGGGCATCTATAGAAAAACCTATAGCTAACCTCATTCTTAATGGTAAAGGATTAAATGCTTTTCCCCTAAAAAGAGACACAGGAAAAGATACCTGCTTTTACCACCTCTAGTCAAAATTATACCAGAGGTTCTGGTCAGTGTAATCAGGCAAGAAAAGAAAATACTACATGTCCAGATTAGAAAGGAAGAAATAAAACCTATGTTTATAGATTACATGGTCAGGTATACAGAAAATTCTAAAGAAGCTACACAAAAACTACTCAGGTAAGGAAGTATAGCAAGGTTGCAAAATATAAGACCAATATATTAAAAAAACTTCTCTATACCATAAACAATCAGATATCAAAATTGTTAACTAACTGCAGTTATAATAAAATCCAAAAATATGAAATACTTGGGGATACATTTAACAAAATATGTGCAAGATCAGTACCCTAAAAACTATAAAACATTGTTTCAAGAAATCAAAGAAGACCTAAATGGAGAAATATAACATGTTCATGAGTCAGAAGACTCATTATTGTTAAGATGTCAACTTTTCCCAAATCGACATACAGATTTGTGGCAATTCCATTCATAATCCCAGCCCACTTCTCTATAAAACTTGACAAGCTGATTCGAAATTTACACGGAAATGCAAAGAACATAAAATAACCAAACTTCTTGAAAAAGAAAAAAAATTGACCTTTAATATATGACTCAAGACTTATTATAAAGTTGTATTCGCCAGGTGCGGTGGCTCACGCCTGTAATCCCAGCACTTTGGGAGGCCGAGGCGGGTGGATCATGAGGTCAAGAGATCAAGACCATCCTGGTCAACATGGTGAAACCCCATCTCTACTAAAAATACAAAAAATTAGCTGGGCATGGTGGCGGCGCGTGCCTGTAATCCCAGCTACTCGGGAGGCTGAGACAGGAGAATTGCCTGAACCAGGAGGCGGAGGTTGCGGTGAGCCGAGATCGTGCCATTGCACTCCAGTCTGGGTAACAAGAGCGAAACTCCGTCTCAAAAAAAAAAAAAAGTTGTATTCAAGATAGCATAATATTGCCATAGAGATAGAAATTGATCCATACATATTGTAATCCATATGGTCAATTAGTTTTTGGCAAAGATGTCAAGGCAACTCAGTAGAAAAAAGACGTATTTTATTATTGTTAATACGGTCAAGAACAGAATTGAAAAGATACCTTTTTACCAAAAAATGGTAGAAAATTTGATATTCATATTCAAGAAAGAGAGAGAGCAGAGGGAATTCAATTCTTAGCTATTATCATATATAAAAATTATCTCAAAATGGATTATAGCCCTACATGCAAGAACTAAAACTATAAAATTCCTAGAAGAAAACATGAGAAGAAAATCTTAGTGATCTTTGCAAAATTATTTTAAATGTGATACAAAAATCATAGACTATAAAGGAAAAGAATCAAACCCTTGACTTCATCGAAAAAAAATTATGACTTCAAAGGACATTTACGAAAATTAAAAGGCGAGTCAGTGAGACGAAATATTTGCAAAAACATCTACTCAACCAAGGATTTATATCTAAAATACATTTTAAAACACTCACAACTTCATAATAAGACAGCAACCAAATTTTTTAAATGGGCGAAGATCTGAACAAACATGTCACCGAAAAAGAGACATACCATCATGCACTGCATAACAATATTTTAGTCAATGACAGACCACTAATATTATGGTGATCCCATAAGATTATAACACAACTGAAAAATGCCTGTGGCCTACTGATGTGATAGCTGTGATAACATTGTAGCAAATTTTGCTTTTTATAAATTTAGTATAGCCTAAGTATACGATGTTTACAGAGTCTACAGTAGTGTACAGTAATGTCCTAGGCCTTTGCACTCACTCACCACTCACTCACTGACACTCCTAGAGCAACCTCTAGTCCTGCAAGTAAGTGCTCTATACAGGTGTACCCATTTTTATATTTTATACTGTACTTTTACTGACCCTTGCTATATTTAGATACACTTAGATACCCAAATACTTATCACTGTGTTACAATTACCTAAAGTGTTCAGTGCAGTAACATGCTGTACAGATTTATAGCCTAGGAGCAACAGACTACATCAGACAGCCTAGGCATGTGGTAGGTTAGACCATCCAGATTGTGTAAGTACATTCCATGATGTTTGTGCCATGATGAAATCACCTAATGACATATTTCTCAGAACGTATCCCCATCATTAAGTGATGCATGACTGTACAGATGGCAAATAAACAAATGAAAAGATGCCTAGTAGCATTCGTCACTATGGAAATACACATGAAACCATACCATGAGATACCACTATACATTCACTAATATGGCTAAAACTTAAAAGACTGAGCATACTGGATTGGAACTTGAATGTTCCTTCCAAAACTCATGTTAAAACTTAATTCCCAATGTAATCGTATTAAGAAAATGGAGCCTCTAAGAGGTGACTGGGTCATGAGGGCTCTCTCTGCCTCATGAATAGATTAATTCATTCATGTGTTAATGGATTAATGGATTATGGAGAGGATAGATTACTTATCATAAGAGTGGATCTGTTAGAGAAGCCTGTTTGGCTTCTCAGGAGCCCCCTCACCATGTGATGCCCTGTGCCACCTGGGACTCTGCAGAGAGTCTGTACCAGCAAGACGTCTCTACCAGACGTCGTCCCTCCACCTTGGACTTCCCAGCCTCCAGAACTGTAGGAAATACACTTCTTTTCTTTATTAGTCACCCAGTCTCAGGTTTCTATTATAGCAAAACAAAACAAACTCAGACAGTGAGGATGTGGAACAGCTGAAATGCTCATAAATTACTGGTGTGCATTTAAAATGTCACAATTACTTTGGAAAGCAATTTGGAAGTTTCTTCAAAATTAAAAAAATACCATATGACTCCGAAAATCCATTCCTAAGTATTTACCAAAGAGAAATTAAAACATATGTCCACAAAAAGACTTGTACACAAATATTCATAATAGCTTTTTTGGATAGCCAAAAATTGAACACAACCCAAATGTCCTTCAACATGTTAGCAGATAAATAAATTGCAGAATATCTACTCTAATGACTTAAATTTATATCTGGGTGTGGTTGTGTATGCCTGTAGTCCCAGCTACTTGGGAGGCTGAGGTGGAAGGATTGCTTGTGCCCAGAGGTTCAAGATCAGCCTGGACAACATAGCAAGACCCCAACTCTTAAAAAGAGGAACAAATTATATCTTAAATCCTTTCAAAACAATGTTATTTTGTGTAGATGGCACTTTACCATAAAGATAAATCAAACTAAGGTAGGCCACTATCTTGACTGCTCAAAACCTAAAAGACAGAATACAGTACACTTACTGGCACCTGGAGTCCTTGAGAATTCTTCTTTTTCTTTGAGAATCTCCTGTCTTTGGTTAGCATTTTTGCTTTGACCCATGCTGCAGGCCGTATTTCTGAAGAGCTTGAAAGATCTGTAAGGGAAATGATCTACATGAGAAAGTTTACAACAGTATGGGGGGAACCATTTTATTTTATAGAAAAGGAAAAAGCTGAGAGAATGAGGAGAATGAGAATGTGGTTAAGAGTCATAGATTGAAAAAAAACCTGGTAGCAATGCAAAGGACTTAATACTGATTTTTACAAATGTTTATTCCTTACTTTTAATCTTACAGATCTTCATCAATTTCTCCTCCTTATGGAATCTAAAACTATGACTCCTAGCGAAGGGCCTGTCTCTGTAGAGAGGACTGATCCAAAAGGATGTGTTTGGCTGAAGCCATGTTCCCACCTCTGAGCATTCACTACTCTGGGCCGATCTTGTTGAGTTATCAGATAGGGAGCTGCCCTGGCTCTGCTTCTGGTGCTGTTCACTCCCAGCGGAATCACTGCCACAAGTGGAGGGCAAGCAAGTTTGCCATTTTTTCTTGATGCTAAACACACCAGTTTCATCACCTTCTGAAAATGCCCAGTTTACATATCCACCTCCAGTTTGCATGATCTTGGCTTGGGAAGGAACAGAGGTCACTGTCATGGGTTCAGGTGTGCAACTCAAGGTGGGTAGCACATTGAGTGCTACCACCTTGTCTCGTCCATCCAGTAAGTGAGCAGTTGGCTCATGCTGCTCTGTGGTTTCAGCCACTGATGCCTGGTCGGAGACAACTGGGGTCTTCCCAGTCAGATGAACAAGAACCTCAGTCTGAACGTCCTGTTCATTTGCCAGCACATCTGTACTTGCTTCCACAGAGGGTCTGGATAGAGGCAAGACAGTTTCTGCTGAAAAAGGAACTTGCTTTAGATTAGAAGGGACCAGAAGAAACTGGCCATACTTTGAGTGTGCTTGTGTGTTAGGAGACACCACGGAAGCAACTATACTACTTTCTGTTTCTTGCTTTTCCTGGTCATGTCTTATATTTGAAGCCTCTATTTTACTGTCTGTGATCTCAAGAAGCGCCCGGCTCTGCACTCCTGGGGGATGCTGGCCTCTGGCCAGGCTCCGCAGCAAAGAAGGGGGCATGCTATAATACTGGAATTTCTTCTCCCCAGCGACCTCCATGCTGCCTAGAACCTCTGCACAGATGACATTGCTCCAGCTGTGGGGAAGTTTTCTGCGAGTAGAATGCTTTCTCTTGGCCAGGAGAGCCTCATCCTCTTGCAAAGTGTCAACAGCAGAAAGGACTTTAAGGGTATCCACAGTCAGGGCAGAGAGATCCTGCAGGTGTCCCACCTGGCTGTCCAAAGACAGTAAGGAGTCCTTTATAAAAGACACCTTCTCATTCATTTCTTTCAGTTGGAAGTACATCTCTGTAACCCTAGTGGTGAAGGGAGGGAGAAAAACAAGCACATTAAGCCAGTTGGAATTTGCTGTCCTCCTACCCTACTTCCATCCTTAAATGACTCCTGAGCCTCAGCAGCTTCCCTAAGTTAAGTCTGTCTTTTGCCTTTTTCTTCCTCCAAAACATAACTCTCATCCCAGGTGATCTCTAATGCCCTATTACCCACAGGAGAGGACAAATTACTAATCTACATAGCCTTTATTTCTTTCTAATATTTCAGAACCCCATTTCCACTTCCAGCTAATGATTCCCTCAATTGTGTGATCAATCATTCCATTTTTATTCATTAATATATTTATTAATTTACATGACAAACACTTGAATATTTCCTAATGGCAAGCACTGTACAATCTGAATGCGTATAGGAGATCCTGAGGAAGAAACAAGAATGACAGAAACAGAATCAATAATCAAATGTGTAATTAAGAAAAGAAAAAACCCACAGATCTTTAAAATTAAAAAAAAATATCTAACTCTATTGTTCAAATAGGCTTCCCAAGTTTCAAACAAAATCCATTTTAGAAGATCTATATTCAGAAAAAGCCTGATGCACATTTTTAAAGTTGTTTTGAATGGTTTAACCAAAGATTATAATGTTTGGCCATTGATTTATGTAAAAGCAACACAACACATCTTTAGCTATTCCAAAATAAATGTAAATTGCAAGTAAATTGAATTAAATGTAACAATTAGTCCAGGTGCAATGGCTCAGGCCTGTAATCCCAGCACTTTGGGAAGCAAGTGGATCACTTGAGGTCAAGAGTTTGTGACCAAACTGGGCAACATGGCAAAACCCCATCTCTACTAAAAAATACAAAAAATTAGCTGGGCATGGTGGCAGGCACCTATAATCCAAGCTACTCGGGAGACCAAAGCAAAGGCTGCAGTGAGCCGAGATCGTGTCCCTGCACTCCAGACTGGGTGATAGAGTAAGACTCCACCCTATCCCCCTGAAAAAAAGTAAAAATTAATTTAATTGAGAGATGGTTAATATGTATCTGAACATTTCCTTGTAATTATCTCTGTATGGGATGAGGTTGGTTTTTTATCCCCCAAAAAGGCTATGTTGAAGTCTTATTCCCAGAACCATAGAATGTGACCTTATTTGGAAATCAGGTTTTTATAGAGGTAATCAAGTTAAAATGTGGTCATCAGGCTGAACCCTAATCCAATATGACTGGTATTCTTATAATGTGAAATTCTCTCACACACACACACACAGAGGGAACACAGTATGAAGACACACAGGGATAAAATGGCCATGTGACTGGAGTGATGCATCTACAAGCTAAGAACACCCACAGCTGCCAGCAAACACCAGAAGCTAGAAGAGACAAAGAAGGAGAGCGACATTGAGAAAGCATGGCCCTACCAACACCTTGATTTTAAACTTCTAGCTTCCAGAAGTGTGAGACAATAAAGTTCTGTTATTCCAAGACACCCAGTTTTTGGTATTTTGCTGCAGCAGCCTGGGGAAACTAATGCACCTGTCTCAGCTTCATGAGCAATGGAATACATTACAACATACATCAGAGTTGATTACATAAAAAGAAACTTTTTTCTCTGAAATCTAGGTGGCAATTAAAAAATTTAGAAAAACAAAGAAACTCGTATGCAAAAATATCACACAAAAGTTTAAAACAAAAATAAATTGGAAAACTAGTGTTCTAATAAATTTGGTGAGGTATTAATATCCCTTGAGTAAACAAAAACTTTCATAATTTATTGAGGCAAAAAAATTACAGAGTCCCGAGGACATGAAAAGATGAAAAGATAAAATACAAAATGTAAGAAAACACAGCAAAATAGTCAACCTCATTAGGTAATCAGAGATGAAAATTAAGATAATAATGAGTTAATCTATATCATAACAGCATTTGTTTTAACCTAGCAAATTAAAAAAAGAAAAAGTGAAACAACTCAGTGGTGGCAAGAATGGAACATAGGGACACAATAAATATAAAGGAACTGTAATCTTACTATGCTAAAGCAGACAGATATTTGTTATATTATGAGACAGAATATTATGTAGTCATTAAAAATCATACATTGTTGATAATTATTTTCGATGGCTATTTCTGATGGTAGAGGCAGGGCTGGGTTGCCTATTGTGTTTGGTGTTATATGTTTTCAAATTTGGTATAAAATTTTTAAGTTCAGAAACAATAAAAGTTAAACTATATTTACAAAGTATATGTAATTATTGGAGAAAATATTTGTGACGTGTCAGGGGAAAAACAGAATAGAAAATAGTATCATTTTAAATGGAAATATGTAGAAGACTAAATTTTTAAAACCCAAAATTTTCACAATGAACTCTGACTTATCACATTGTTTTTTCTTTTTTTCTTCCCTTGTTTTGTTCTGTTATTTGGGGGAGAGAACATATAATTTCAGTTTCTCAGTAATGAAAATCTTTGATAAATAAGATGAAAGTGAAAAACAGCATGTGAGGAAATCTAACCAACTGTGTCACGGCTGCCTTGACCATTGCAGGAATGAAAAATGATTCCCGCTCTTATGTGGGGCCAGGGAGAAGTCGTGACTATGCCATGAAGAGTTTAACACTCAGCTGTAACAAGTACTTCCCAAAATAGCGTCAGACTTCCCATCTCCAGAACACATCTCAAGTCACAGGGATTGAAAGAAAGATCTTCCGCTTTCTCTTTATGGAACCTTTGTAAATAGAAATTAAAGCATAAAAAGTGGCATCTTCCATTTTTATTATATTGTATGTGAGTAGAACCCTCTCTTTATTGCTTCTGCTATAGAATTCAACTTCTATAACTCAATAGAGTCTTAACAAATGCTTCCTGACCTTCTGGAATCTGTAAAATTAGAACTGGCAAGGATGATGTGGGAAACAGCACAAAATATATGTATACTCCCTTCCAAATATGCTTAATTAGAGCCTCTCCATCCAGTGCACTGTTTCATCTAATTCAAAAACAGTACAGTCTGAACAGCAGTAATGGAGACTCATTAAGTTCCATTAGCAGCAGTCACATCGAATGGATACAATAGAAACCAGCAACTATTCACAGCCACAGGTAACATGCTACAATAGAAACCTGTTAGACAAATAACCTGGTCACCCTCAAATCCGGTCTCTTGCTTTTATAGGTACTTATTTTCTAAAACTCGATGTCCTGTGAAACATATTTCAATTATATTACTGGGCTACCAAGTACATTAATTTAATCTAGGCTTTCAGTCATTCTGACACATAAAATTTATAATTGTAGTTTCCTCTGTGCAAGGTACAAGGATGGAAGAAAAATGAGAATGGTAATTGTTTTATTATGGGCCTTTAGACAAGATACCTTAAAATGAGATAATAGCAAATATAATTACAATCATCATGAAAATCACCATATTCACTGAGTGCTCACTATGTACCAGGCATTTTATAAAGGTTCTACCTGTACTATTTTATTTAATCCATGTAACAACCCTATAAGATAGGTATTACTATTATCCTTTCGTAGAAAAGAGGTTGGGTCGGCCAAGCACAGTGGCTCACGCCTGTAATCCCAGCACTTTAGGAAGCCGAGGCAGGTGGATAACCTGAGGTCAGGAGTTTGAGACCAGCCTGACCAATATGGTGAAACCCCGTCTCTACTAAAAATACAAAAACAAAAAAAAACTAGCCGAGTGTGGTAGCAGGTGCCTGTATTCCCAGCTACTGGGGAGGCTGAGGCAGGAGAATCACCTTAACCCGGGAGGCAGAGGTTGCAGTGAACTGAGATCCTGCCATTGCACTGCAGCCTAGGCAACAAGAGAGAAACTCTGTCTCAAAAATAAAAATAAAAAAAGCGGTTGGGTCATATAGCCAGAGTCACATGGTGAATGAAAACGTCAGGCATCAAACCCAGACAGGCTGACTCCATATTCAGTGGCACTGATCACCGCTTTCTGGAACTTCTCAGGAACTCACCTAGGATCCAGGCAATTTATTTTGGAGGTTCCTAGAGTACCATGAAGTAGTACATGAACTACACCAACAAGTCCCATGCTGGAAGATGTCACACATGCTCCTCAGTAAGGCTGTATGGTCAAATAGCGGTGGGACCTGCTTAAGCTGTAACTCTGTGCTGATGAATTGCAATGCATATTACATTAAAGTGTTTGTATTTTTTAAAACCACAGTATTTCCCAAATATAATGTACCAAAATATGCTTAATGTGGAAAAATACCTAAAAGCATCTTACTCTGCAGAACAGAGAAAGGGAAAAGCTGACTTAAAGACTACTAGGATCAAAAAAGAAATTAGAGTCTTGAATAGGGAGAGTGAGATTGAAAACAGCCTCACTATATTCTCTTTTTCCACTGTCACAACTCACTTAATTCTAGAAGGATTCTGAAGCAATCTCTTCTTCAGAGGTAGGTTAACATGCAAAATCCTCCTAATTTTCTTCCCCCGCCCCACCTTCAAACTATTGCTCAGTTACCTTAGGAAATATTCTCCCCTCTTTCCCATACCTCATTTATGAGGTCCCCACAAAGGACCTCAACAAAGATGTCAAATGATTCACCCGCCTCGGCCTCCGTGTCTATTTTACAAATAAGAAAACCAAGATTCAAAGAGGTTCAGTAAATTTGCCCATGTACATACAACTAGTAAGTGCCTGAAGCAGGACTTCTTCGCAGCTCTGTAAGCTTCTAATATGGGCCTATGCTTCATATAAAAACTAAGAACCAAGCTTGCCCATTGGACTCAATGAGCATAGTTATCAAGCGGGCAGAACATGTAGAATAAATTAAGAGAAATTCATATTTCTATGGACTAAAGATACTATGTCGGTGAAATCAAATTTTGTGGGCTCAAATTTTGATTTTCCATTTTTTCTCAATATTAAATTTGATCTGAAATTCAATCAGGCATGGAAACACATATTTATATAAATATGGTACCAAGAGAGGAGTCCAGATTTATATAAACACGACTTTTGCCCATAGTGAACCATTTAGAAAGCTCTTCATGTGACTCAGTTTTAAGTAAAGCCATACTTAAGTATTCACATCTCTATATATGATATTTGCACATCAGAAAAAAACATGCATAATTAGGTATAATATTTCATAGTTCCACGTGGTTCAAAAATGAAGGAACACATTTAACTTCTGTTAAATTGCTTCCATTTACAAGAACAATGCTGTGTTTTTTAAAAAAAGGCATTTCATCACATATAACCTTCCATATTTTCACACGACGCAATGCTCCCACAATTAGTAATAAATCCACAATAATCAGATCCCACTATAGCTCCCTAATATTTTCACGTTCTCCAGAACATCTCCTCTTTCCGCAAACCTTTGAATGTCCCCCATACCACCTGCCTCCCTCAAAATCACACACACACACACACACACACACACACACACACGGGCACACCCAGTTGACGACTTTGCCTCAAGACCTGGTGCTGCCGACCCTGTCTGCATTCCAGTGTACTCTGGCCACATCCCGTCCGTTCCCCAGCTTCGGGGAAAAGCCCAGGTCCTCCATTTTCCCAGCTTCTCAGGGACTTCTCTTCAGCCAGTGGCCTCCTCCCTCCTGCTCCCGAGTTTCTCCCTTGCTGGTGGGTCATTTCCAGGACCATGCTGCTTTATTTATCTCCACGTGAAGCAAAATCAAACAAAAGAACCTCACCTTGTCCCCAGACCTCATCATGCTTCCCTGTACCGTAACACTTCTCCCAAAAGCCACACGCAATTGCAGTCCCTGCCTCTCCTATTCTCTCTCCAACCACGTCAGTGAAGCAGCCGCCAACTACACTGCACACAACCTCTGGTCAGACGCCATGAGAACCCCATGACCCCCCATCCAACCAGCACGCTGCACCTACATCCTCCGCTCTGGCTGCAGCCACACACAGTGCTGCCTCAGGCGGCTGCGCTTGCCGTTCCTTCCGCCAGGGGCGCTATTCCACCAGACGCCCTGCCTCACCCACTGCCTCGCTTCCTTCAAGCCTCTCCTCAAACCCCTCAGAGCGACCTTCTAGGACCAGACTCTCTGAAACGGTCCACTCAACGCCCAACTCCGCTACATTTCATGCCACCGTCATTTCCTGTTCTCTCCAACTACTTCATTTTTCTTCATAGCTCTTTTACTGCCTGATGTTAAATTACAAATTTATTTTTGTGTTTCCTTGCTTAGGTTTTGTTTTCTACCCACTTCATTTCCCTCACCACCACCCCCCAACAGACGGACGCGCGCACGTGCACACACACACACACATATATGACTGCAAGTCCCATGAAGACAAGGACTCTTGTGTCTTTTAACCACTTACTCCTAGTAATTAAAAGAGTGCCTGGAATATAGTAGATGCTCAATTAAATATACTTTGATTACATGAATATTACATATTATTAAATGTTTCAAATTATAAAGAACTCAGACCTCCGGGATTTGAAAGTAGATCTTTCTACTCTTTTAGATATTCTAGCAGAATCAAGTTTTGGTGGTAGTTTCAGAATGGAAAAGATTTCTATCTACCTTTCTGATGTCACTCGGATTCGCTCCTCACAACTACAATTCACATTTTCCATCTTCTCATGGAAGTATTTTTCCACACACTGCTCCTCAAAATCATGAAGTTTTTTCAGATCCTCCTTACTCAGGTAGAGTTCTATAGGAAGAAGTACAATACACAGAAAGAATCATTATTTGCCTCAGGGCATGAGCGGCTTTTCTTCCATTTGTATTGAAAATGAGAAACTGTAGCCTGTGTGATAAAATTTGTCACCTTGTCAAACCATTTCTAAAATTAATGCAGAAACAGCACCGAGAAACAACTGGAAACTGGGCGCGTTGGCTGACGCCTGTAATCCCAACACTTTAGGAGGCTGAGGGGGGCAGATTGCTTGAGCTCAGGAGCAGGAAACCAGCCTGGGCAACATAGGCAGACCCTCTCTCTACAAAAAGTTTAAAAATTAGCCAGGTACCTGTGGTCCCAGCTACACAGGAAGCTGAGGAAGGAGAATGGCTTGAGCCTGGGAGTTCGAGGCTGCAGGAGCCACGATCACGCCACTACTCTCCAGCCTGAGCTACAGAACGAGACCCTGTCTCAAAACAGGAAATGAAAAGCAACTGGAAACACCAGCCTGGGTCTCTCCTACCTATTTTTGAAAATTACTCATATATAGAACACTTTCAATATTTTCACAGGTTAGAATGTTTGTACATATTAACAAAAATTTACTGCCTTTATATGAAAATGGGGAACCTGATTGTCTTCTTTTCTCTCTGCCAACACTTTCTAAAATTAATTAAATTTTAATTGATTCACATTAAAGGTACATATTTTTGAGATACCTGTGATAATTTGATACATTCATATAATCAAATCAGGGTAATTGGTGGCACAAGCCTGTAGTCACAGCTACTCAGGAGGCTGAGGTGGGAGGATCACCTTACATTTTTGCTTGTCCTTTAAGATAGGAACATTTGAATTATTATCTTCTAGTTATTTTGAAATGTATAATCAATTAATTTTAACTGTAGTCAACCTACTGATGGCCTGGCACAGTGGCTCGTGCCTGCAATCCTAGCACTTTGGGAGGCTGAGGCCGGTGGATCACTTGAGATCAGTTCAAGACCACTCTGGCCAACATGGTGAAACCCCATCTTTACTAAAAATATAAAAATTAGGGGTTTCCCCCTTGGCTTTGGAGCCGCCCTCCCTCTGTCTCTGTACAGGGAGCTTCTTCCTTCTTACTTGCCTATTAAACTCTCTGATCTTTAAAACCTCCCCCCAAAAAATTAGCTGTGTGTGGTGGTGGGTGTCTGTAATCCCAGCTACTCTGGAGGCTGAGGTGGGAGAATTGTTTGAACCCAGGAGGCAGAAGTTACAGTGAGCCAAGATCGCTCCACTGCACTCTAGCCTGGGCAACAGAGTGAGACTCCGTCTCAAAAGACAACAACAAAAACCCTACTGATCTATTAAAGGTCTTATTTCTTCTACCAAAGTGTATGTATTTGTGCTCATTAATCAACCTCTCTGCCAACTCTTTTAGCTATCAAAATGACAGTAAATAACCAATAGGTTAAAAGCAAGATTAGAAGAAAGCAAAGTTTGTTGAAATTCATCCAGTAAGTATAAGAAAGTTTTACCTTGTTACACGGAGTTTGTGTATACTAAGTCCTTCTACTGAAAAAGGAGATATTATTATTACCATTCAATGGCCAATCAAGGCAGTATACCTTCTCTGACACAATTATAACTAACTTATTAAAAAGACACTCTACTAAGTGGTATCATAAGGTTAATGCAATTCTCCGTCACACTCCAGCATTCCCATCTGGTCTACCACCTTGGCTTTTACTCTTGCCTAATAGAATAATATGTCATCTTTTAAGCAAGTTTATAATACTGAGAAAATATGTAAATGAAATGATGTTGCTAAAAGGATTAAATTGGAAAGTTCTCTTTCTTGAATGGTTTTGCTTACATTAGGAGAAAAAGAACACAGTTCTTCAGAATTTTTTAAAATGCAATTGTTACATTATTTTCCGATAAAATCAATGACAAAAAATGTTAATTTTAAATTGGAAACATGGGTAAAAGTATTATTCTGCTGTAAAATGTATTCACAACTCAGGTAGATAGTGCTTTCTGATTTAAATGGCAGGAAAAAATTTTCAGACGTTTAAAATATTCGGTATCTCCCATCCCCTACCCAACTCTAATGTCTTCTTTCATTAAAGAATCTCCTCTGAGCAAGAAACTTTACAGGTACCATGATGTGAGCCTTCTGTGGATCCCTGAGAGCAAACAATCTAGAGTGATTGCAGTGACTGGTGCAGCTTGCAGTATGTAGAGCTTTCCTGTAATTGTCCGCAAGGTGGCACTGCTGCGGCTTATGTAAATGTCTTTATCCTCAATATAAAGGATCAGAAACAATGTTACGAAAATTCAAGAATGTTCCAAAAAGCTCAGGGTGAACTCACTTTAAACTTTACTTGAGTTTTTTATGAAATCATCCTACAAGCCCAGACGAAGGTGAACCTAGGAAACATTCTTTCATGTGGTAGTAGGAAGTCTAGGCAAATCCTAGTCAATTCCAGGATTTATCAAGCGATTCATGCTCTGCTATTAGGTTGCAGTGGTTCTGCAGCCAAGGCCTGGGATGTCTCTGTATTAGCAGCCTGAAATTTACAGTATAATTATAAAACCTCAAGTTAACTTCAGTTATGCTTTGGCGTTCATACAAAGGCTGAATCTTTTGGTCAGGGAGTGGGGTATGAAAAAGAAAAAAAGGTCGGGTGTGGTGGTTCACGCCTGTAATCCAGCACTTTGGGAGGACCACCTGAGGTCGAGAGTTTGGGACCAGCCTGACCAACATAGAGAAAGCCCGTCTTTACTAAAAATACAAAATTAGCTGGGTGTGGTGGCATATGCCTATAATCCCAGCTACTCAGAAAGGCTGAGGCAGAATTGCTTGAACTTGGGAGGCAGAGGTTGCAGTGAGCAGAGATTGCACCATTGCACTCCAGCCTGGGCAACAAGAGTGAAACTCTGTCTCAAAAAAGAAAAAAATCTTCAGAGTGACTCAGGAGGAGAAAAAATACTTCACAGAGCCAGCTACCACCAGTAAAAGCATATCACCCTGTCAACCCCATAATACACTGACTCCTAAGGATCTACCTAAACACATAAATGGCCCACTGTCCCTTACTGAAACTCCGAGAATGCAGAGTATTTTAGAATTCAGAATTATTCTCTTCTAGCTTCAGAAACTTAATACAGTGAATGAACCGTAAATGAAGTGAAACCCCTAGTTAAGGTTGAAGCAATCCCTGAATCAAACATATTTGATTTTCCGCAGCAACACCAATGAATATTCACACTACAGGAAATAAAAACAATAAACGGTTTCTCATGATTCTCAGCAGCCTCTTTTGGCCAAATGGGTCTTTCCCCAATTTGTGAAGAAAAAGGAGTTTCGGTTTTCAGAGGTATTTTAGATTTAGGAATTGGGATAAAGGATTGTGCATTTATGTCACCTGCTTCCTGTATTTCTGGGAACTATCTAGAAATGGGCCTGGTACAAATTGTGGAATTGCTTGATAGGAACTACAGAATATCTGAAAAACCACCAAACACAATGTTTTCTGACAACAATTAGTATGATAATCATATCATGCAGATAAGATTTGGTTAAACAAGATGAATTAAAAAAACCTCAAAATATATATAGGCTAATGCTTTGAAAAAACACAAGTGAGAATTCCTATTTCTTCATCCTGACTCACAATGTTGCCTAGGCTGAAGTGGAGCGGCTGTTCATAGGCACCACGGCCTTAAACTTCTGAGCTCAAGCAGTTCCTGTGCCTCAGCCTCCCGAGTAGCTGGGACTACGGGCATGCACCACCCACACCCAGTTTCTGAGTTGAAGTTCTTGAAAATAAGAAACATCCATTTCAGAATCACCAACATGCTCAGTAGATTAGAGAGCCAGAGGACCGTGACTCTGGTTAATAAGTGAAGCCCAGCTTTGCAGATCTCTTCCCTTAGACTCCAGGCCTTCTGTAACTCCAATCTGTCTGAATTCCATCTTCCACAACATGGAGAACAGCACAGGTCACATGACTACCCTCTAGGAGTTATTCTGATCAGTTCTCCAGCCAGCAGAGAAAACACAGGTTTTCAATGTGACATAAAGCCTTGGTACGATCAAGCAGAGATTCTCTTCCTACCCATTCCTTTCTAAGGATCCGTTCATCTTGGCAAAAGACATTGCGACCTCATAATGAGGTCAATATATACTTAGACCCGGGGCGTTAGCTGATATTCTACTGTCAGAGAACTCCCGGAGCCTCCCAGTGCCCTGAACTTAATTTACATTGCTCCAGTGCATCTTTGCCTTGAATCTCTACTTTTTGCTGTCTTCCTCCTGGACATATAGAATGACTCCTTTTGACACTGGACATATAGAATGACTCACATAAAATTACTTACTTAATACAACGTCACCCTCTTCTTGGTCATGAGGAGCTCGGCGACAGCACAGGCAGCGGAGGAGGAGGCCCACGTGGCTCAGCAGGATGAGAGGTGGGGGCAGCCAGGGCTTCTCGTGGTAGGTCATGATGTAGCGATAGCGGTTGTATTTCCACAGGTTATTTGAAATGGATTTCATATCTAAGTAAACATTGCTGTAAGATGCAGTAAGAGAGGCACAATGTTTTAATATGAAGTCTTGAAAGGAAACAGATTCTGTATTTTCCAACATTTATGATTGGTTCCCCTGACATTCCTAGCAGTTACCCAATACAGATATTCTTCTTCCACCAAACAAAATATATTAGCTACCTTTTACAATGAAACATGATAATCAGAATATCAAGCAAAAGGCAGACATTACAATCAGAGAAAATAAAATGCCAACATTTTCAGTGTAATGAACAGAAAATCCATTCTGGAACTCAACACTCTTCTCAAGTCATCATCTTTTCTCACATAGAAGCTCTTTCTCAGTCCATGATTCATCATTTATAGGAAACAGCTTTAATGTTCCTCTGTGTCATCTACCTAATGTCAAATGTGAGAACTGCTAGAATAATACCAGTGAAAACACCCAAACAGAACAGTGTTAATGAAGAAATGGAAGAATCAATTCATCTTAAAATAAATCAAAAAGCAGAGCTTCTATTAAAATCCAGACAAATTATTCAGATTAACTTTACAATAAAAATAACTCCTTATAGAATAGTAAATATTCCGGCCAAGTGCAGTGGCTCATGCCTGTAATACCAGCACTTTGGGAGGCTGAGGCAGGTGAATCACCTCAAGTTGGAAGTTCAAGACCAGACTGATCAATAAGGAGAAACCTTGTCTCTACTAAAAATACAAAATGAGCTGGGCATGTGGCACATGACTATGATCCCAGCTACTCGGAGGCTGAGGCAGGAGAATCTCTTGAATCTAGGAGGTGGAGGCTGCGATGAGCTGAGATTGTGCCATTGCACTCTAGCTTAGGCAACAAGAGCGAAACTCCATCTCAAAAAAAAAAAAAAAAAAAAAAAAAAAAAACTCGCCATGGGCGTAATGGTTGGGGGTACAGTTATTCTGAAACAACATATCATTCTTAACTACTTAACTTTAAGTATGTAATATAATATAAGAGGAACACAATAAAATGTCATCTTACTATTTTACTTAGACTAACATAAAATTCAGTTTTCTTTTTTAAAAAATTCTTCTTCTTGCAGTGTGAAGATTTTAGTTTCTTTAGAGAAAGATAGCAGCGTAGAACTTGAGAAAGGTAGCCAAATTTAGCAAATAAAAACACAGACAACCCTAAAGTTGAACAGTGATAAAGAAAAGAAAACAATTATCCTAGAGAAAGCCATCTTTGGGTAAGAATAGAAGTTTCACAGAGTCCATACAGAAGGCGATTGAAGCATAGATAACTGGGCTATATCAATAGTTCTCAAGCACGTTCTCTGAACCAGCAGCATTAGTATCACCTGAGAACATGTTAGAAGTGCACATTTTGGGGCCCCGTTCAATGAAAGACAAACTCTAGGGTTGGGCACGCTATTAATAGTAGTTTCACTCCAACGTGACAACAGCTTTCCACCAGCAGGTGGCGGCCTTCACCGTGTATTTCAGTTTTGTTGTTTTTTGTTTTTTTTTGTTGTTTATTTTATAAAGAATTATCTGTAACCCGGCTCCTGGACAAGTAGTCAGATCTGGGGTTGGTCAGTCTGTATGGTCTTCAGTGTGTTCATCTCTAACATGAGAAGTTTGTTCTATGCGAGGATTTCTCAACTTTTTTTTTTTTGACACCGGACATATTTTATTTTATTTTATTTATTTTGCCAGGAGGCTCACAAAGAGGGCTTTATTTATCTAGCTCAAAGTACACACTATCACAATCTTGTTTGTTATTCCTTTTACTGAAATAGTTCAAATGAAAGTTTTTAATCACACTATCAGAAAGTTCAATTTCTTTTTGTCTCTCCACATCAGAGTGGTTGAATAGAAGGTAGAAATGACCGGGCATGGTGGCTCACACCTATAATTCCAGTGCTTTTGGAGGCTGAAGCGGGCAGATCACCTGAGGTCAGGAGTTCAAGACCAGCCTGGCCAACAGGGTGAAACCCCGTCTCGACAAAAATACAAAAAGTAGCTGAGCATGATGGCAGATGCCTATAATCCCAGCTAATTAGAAGGCTGAGGCAGGAGAATCGCTTGATCCCGGAAGGTGGAGGTTGCAGTGAGCCAAGATCACACTATTGCACACCAGCCTAGGCAACTGAGCGAGACTCCGTCTCAGAATAAAAAAAAGGACATTAAGGACAGGGTCAGTCCTGTTGCGGGAAAGGTGGCTTTAAGGCTATTCTCTGGGCCTATTTGCAGGAGATCTGCAGGTACCAGGAGTCGGTACTTATTGCTTATTTCAGTGCTGGCCAAGCCAACCAGACCCAAACTTGACTGACGCACACCGGCTTCCAGACTTGGCTCCCACTCAAAACAAACTCACACCCATGGGCTGCTCTGCAGTTCTTTGGACTCCAAGACCCAGAAAGGCCTGTGCCCAGCTGCCTGCCTGGGCAAGAATCACTGGATACCACGACCAGCAGGTGTTCACCCAACCTCAAATGTACACCCCTAGTGACCAGGAGCACACCACCTTACCTGGCGACACTTTTTCCCAAAGAATCCAAAGAGCCTCTTGGTGACACCCACAGCAGGAGCATCATGCCATCCCATCACCAGCACCCACTTACCCACCTGGGGCTAAGATGGGGGCATGAGACTTTCCCTTGAGAGCAAATGGGCAATGAGACACTAGACATTTTTAAGAAACAAAAATCTCAGACTACCAGCCTGAGCAACACGGTGAAACCCTGTCTCTACCAAAAATACAGAATTTAGCTGGGCATGGTGGTGGGCACCTGTGGTCCCAGCTATCTGGGAGACTGAGCTGGGAGGATAACTTGAACCGAGGAGGTGGAGGTTGCAGTGAGCTGAGGTCACACCACTCCACCACTCTAGTCTGAGTGACAGAGTGAGACCCTGTCTCCTCACATTCCCTCCCACCAAAAATTCAGACCCTTTTATTATTTGATATATAAAAAATGGCTATTCTAACTAAACACCAGCAAATGTTGTAAGTACCTAAAACAATTGGGCTAAGAGACATGACGACTATCATATAACAAGCAGGAAGGAATGTCTTCTCCAGGTATAGGTAACAACACAGCAGTCACTTACTTTTTTAAGAATTCTGATTTACTTTGCCTACCTCTCAACCCCTGTGTGTTCTACTTTCTTTAAGTATATTGTATAAATTGATTTTCCCTTATCTTTTTCTCTTCAGTAAGATAAACAAGGAATAAAATACCTAGCACAGTGCCTGACATTTAAGAGGCATCCAGAAAATGCAAGAAAAGGAAGGAAGGAGAGAGAGAGAAAGAAGGGAGGGAAGGAGAGAGGGAGGGAGGAAGAAAGGAAACAGAGAAGAGGGGATGCTGGAAGCAAGTGAACAAAGCATATCAAGAACTCTGTAGCCAACTTGCAATTCCATCACCTGCTATCTTTTCTTTTCTTTTCTTTTTTTTTTGAGATGGAGTTTCGCTCTTGTTTCCCAGGCTGGAGTGCAATGGCACAATCTCAGCTCACCGCAACCTCCGCCCCCCAGGTTCAAGCAATTCTCCTGCCTCACCCTCCTGAGTAGGTGGGATTACAGGCATGCACCACCATGTCCAGCTAATTTTGTATTTTTAGTAGAGACTTTTTAGTCTCCATTTTTAGATAAGGTTTCTCCATGTTGATCAGGCTGGTCTCGAACTCCTGCTCCTCAGGTAATCTGCCCACCTTGGCCTCCCAAAGTATTTGGATTACAGGCGTGAGTCACTACGCCCAGCCTACTTGCTACCCTTTCATAATTTGAACTTACTGCCTAATCACAATTCAAGATCTCCTTTCATTTTGATGTATTACACTGTACTTTCCCTCCGTAGTCAGTCCTCCATATCTATGGGTTCTGCATCTGTGGATTCAAACAACCAGAGATTGAAAATATTTGAGGAAAAGAGAAGGATGATTGTGTCTGTACTGAAAATGCAGAGACTTTTTATCTTTGTCATTATTCCCTCAACAATACAATGTAGCAACTATTTATATTGCATTTACACTACATTAGGTATTGTATGGAATTTAGAGATGATTTAAGGTATACAGGAGGATGTATGTAGGTTATATGAAATATTACACCATTTTCTATAAGAAATTGGAGCATCCATAGAGTTTGGTATCCACAGGGGATCCTGGAACCAGCCCTCCACAGATACCAATGGATGACTGCATTTATCATTTCACTGTTTCCCATGCTCTGCTTCCTTCTTTCCAGTAGTTTTATGCCCATATTTTAAAACAATAATAGTAAAACACAGAACACACAAAAACCAAAGGTTACATATTCAAAGTACATGTGAATCTAAGTCAACATATCTGCCCACATTTCTTATTTAAATAAAATAATTAAATTTAATTTAAATAACCTACTTGAAGAAAGCAATCAACAGGTTCACCATGATGATATACTGCATGAAGAGGTAGACAGCTTGCAAGAATGGCGTAAGAAAAGAACCAGGAGGGCAGGATGGCTTGCCTGAACAAACTGCAAATAAAGAATTTTAAAAGAATGAGAGATAAGATGAATCACAGTACTGAGACTCTAGACAAACATTTAGCACATTAACTGCACAGAATACCATAAATTCAAACATTTTTAAGATTTAGATGGCTGTTTTTCAGATTTATTTTACTCTTGTTAACTATGAAGGCACAATTTCTGCATGATGGTAAAATCTCATACACACCATCTATGTGGTCAGCATAGACTTCTCCATAGATCATCCAATATGGCTGAAATATAATATCTCGAGCGAGGCTCCAAGATGGTGGCTCCTCTGGTGAAAGGATGGCCTTGCGTGCCACTCCAAAGCTCAGCAGAACTATGGCCATTATGATCACAATATAGAACATGTTTGCTGTCTGCAAAAGGGCATAGCACAACCAGAATTTCACTATAGATTTCATGTTCAAAAGAAACCAAACACCAGCAGCCATCATAATTATACCTGCAAATAATAAGATTGTGTAGTCATTGACTAAAGCACCCTTGTCCATGAACAGCTAGACTCTCTTTGGCTAAACTATTTTGTTTTCTTGCACGGTATACATTTCAAGTCAATGTGGTCCATGGAATAACAGAAATGTGCTGAGAGGAGAGAGTCTATGCTTCTTTCTTTAAGCAGTAATGAAATTTGAACACTTTTCGATTAGCTAATATCCAGCTCCAGTTGGACCAGAAGTTAGGGAAATTAAAAAAAAGGGGCGGGGGGTATAGTTGAATTAGTCCAATGGCTCCTTATTCCCAGAATTGTCTTCAGGAATTGATTAGAGTCTAAGAAACTGATCAAGCCAGTTTAATTCCCTCTACTAAATGTACCTCAACTCAATCCATTAGTTTACTGTAAGAGAAAGTATTCACCACAATTCCCATCAGTATTTCAAGAGGTGCTCTATATCTCTTAGCTTCCCTTCCATGAGGCTAGGGCTACGAAACCTATTCTAGCCTGGACACTTCTTGTCCAGAGCAGTTAACAGCTATTAGACGTTCTCCATCTCTCTCACTCCCTGTTATAGGAGACCTTAGGAGCCAAATCTCTGACAAAAGGATTCAAGATCACTGAGTCACTGCATAGAGGTCACCCCCATGAGCACTCAGCAAACCTTGCGTTAGGGAGAAATACCCCCTGTGCTAAGTCACTGAAATATACTGGTTATCTCAACATAGACTATCTCATAAACGCTAATGTCATCAAGACAAGAGAAAACATTTCTGGCATAAGGGAAATATGTCAAATAGGAAAAATCTTTGGAGTCCTGGAGGTTGTCTCTTTTCTGTCCACTTTCTTTCTTTGTTTTAGCACTACCCTTCATTCTCCAGAACTTGCCCCTTCCCTGACAGTAAGTATTCTAGAAGGAAAAGCCAAAGATGCTTTTGAGACAGTGTACTTATTAAAGACTAGGTCTTAGATCCTTGTGAATAGCCGGATGGAAAACACCGGCTGGGCTCAGTAGCTCACGCCTATAATCCCAGCACTTTAGGAGGCCAAGGTGGGGTAGATCACTTGAGGTCAAGAGTTCAAGACCAGCCTGGCAAACATGGTGAAACCCTGTCTCTACTAAAAAATATAAAATTAGCCACGCATGCTGGCAAGTGCCTGTAGTCCCTACTACAGGCTACTCAGGAGGCTGAAGCAGGAGAATTGTTGAACCTGGAAGGTGGAGGCTGCAGTGAGCAGAGATCATGCCACTGCACTCCAGCCTGGACAACAGAGCAAGACGCTGTCTCAAAAACAAGAAAGAAAAAGGAAAAAGCTGACACAACTGTATAGCAAGCTCAGATGACAGACCAGAGCTAGGTGGCCTATTGAATCCTGGCTCCCCATATACGCCTTTGAGGAATTTACTTAACCTCCATTTCCTTGTATGTAAATGTGTATAATAATACTACCTATCTCCTAAAGTTGTTGCAAAGATTAAACGAATTAGTACATACTAAGTGCCTAGAATAGTATATGGCCTATAAGCACAATTTAAGAGTGTGATGGTAGGGGAGAGTCAGTGAATGATTTTAAATAATGGATATTTTAGCAGAAAATACCATTGGTGGTAGCTTCACATGAATCTGGTCCTCGGAAACTGCTGTGCTCAGAGACAAATTTGACTCAATCCCATACTATCTGGCCCTAGTCAAAAAGGTGAGCTGAGTGTCCCAATTAACTAACTGCAATATACTACCCAAGGTCATTTGTTAAAGACAAGTTTGTGGTTATATGGAGGGCAGTGGTGGTGTGATCTTATTCTCTGTGCTTCTATAAATAATTCCAAAATGGCCAGGCACAATGGCTCATGCCTGTAATCCCAGCACTTTGCAAGGCTGAGGCAGGAGGATCATTTGAGCTCAGGAGTTTGAGACAAGGCTGGGCAACATAGTGAGGCCCTGTCTATATAAATAATAAAAAAGAATTAGCTCAGTACAATGGTGTGTGCCTGTGGTCCTAGCTACTCAGGAGGCTGAGGACTGCTTGAGCTTGGGAAGACAAGGCTGCAGTGAGCTGTGATTGCACCACTGCACTCCAGCCTGGGCGACAGAGCGAGGCCCTGTCTCAAATATTGATGATAATAATTCCAAAACTTAAACTACCTGATATAAACCATGAATAACCATTGAAAAGAAGCCAGGTGTGGTGGTGCTTGGCTGTAGTCCCAGCTACTCAGGAGGCTGAGATGGGAGGATTCCTTGAGCCCGGCAGTTCAAATCTAGCCTGCACAACAGAGCATCTTTACAAAGAACACTAGAATAACAGGGTGACTATAGCTCATAATAATTAACTGTACATTTAAATATAACCAAAAGAGTGTAAGTGGGTTGTTTGTAACACAAAGGATTAATGCTTGAGGTGATGGATACCACATTTACCCTGAAGTGATTATTCTGTATTGTATGGCTGTATCAAAATATTCCATAAACCCCATAAATACATATACCTACTATGTACCCACAAAAATTATTTTTTAAAATTTTGTTAAAAGAATACTGGGATATAAAACTAGTTGTACTCACCATTTTTGCAATCATGGTCACATATGGACCTGTATGTTGATTCACAGCAAAAAAGTCCAGGAGCCGTGAGAACCAGAATATGATGTCTATGCAGTAGATCAGTCTTCCCGCTGTGTGAAAAGGAGGATCACCCCATCGAAGGACGAAGCCAGCTGAAAACAGGCCAATGGCCACAGTTTCTACTAAGTTCCAGTATTCACTAATCCATACCCTCACCTTTTGAGTAAACTTCCCAGGTTCTGAAATACAGATCTGAAGGAAGGAAGAAGGAAACTTTAAAAAAGAGGTACAACTGAAGAATCCCATCAATACAATCTTCTTAAACACACAAACCATTCATTTAAAGAGTAATCTAAACCCTGCCAAACCTTAAATCACTTAGGGATTTCAGAGACTGAAGTTATTATCATCAGTAATGAATTATTTAAATAATGCTATAAAGATATAATTAATGCATCTGATAATGCAAGACTGTCACTTGCAACCCTAACTAGAAGTAAAAAAAAAAGTACTTTTTCTACCTTTCAATAAGCCTGAAATAGCATGGGGAAACGCCAAAGACATTTTAAAACTCAGTATTGCAGTGGAACTCTGTAACTATGATTTCATTTCACGTGGCACAGCAGGATGCAAAGAACACTGGATGGAACAAGGAATCCTGTAATCCAGTCCAACTACTGCTAATAGCAAGTTGTTGATAAACTACTAAGAATGTGATATTGGACCGGCTGCGGTGGCTCATGCCTATAATCCCAACATTTTGGGAAGCCAAAGCGGGCAGATCACTTGAGGTCAGGAGTTCAAGACCAGCCTGGCCAACATGGTGAAACCCCATCTCTACCAAAAAGCCAAAAATAAGCCAGTCATGGTGGCAAGCACCTGTAATCCCAGCTACTTAGGAAGCTGAGGCAGGAGAATTGCTTGAACCTGGGAGAAGGAGGTTGCAGTGAGGCAAGATCTTGCCACTGAACTCCAGCCCGGGAAACAGAGCAAGACTCCATCTCAAAAAAAAAAGAAAGTTATATTGGAACTCATTAAGAAAACACCCCTGATACCTGCATGTTCTTCACATGCACCCCAGAACCTAAAGTGCAATAAAATATAAATAAATAAATAAAATCAATAGAGGGAGAAAAAGAGGGAAAAAAAAAAGAAAGAAAATATTCCTGAAACACCATACCAAACGAACGGAAATGTAAAATAGTACATCTATTTTCCCTGAAGCATAAAAAATGGTACAATTCAGATAACTATCTGTTTCTCTCCTGATTTATTTTCTATAATATATAAACTCCACATAGAAATTAGCAGACAACATAGGTATAATTACAAAGAATGTAAGTATATAACATTGATTATATTACCTGTAGGACAAAATAAATATAGGTAAATACAAAGACAAAAGACATACACTGACATCTAAAACAGTCTAAGTCATAAATATTTGTGGTTGCAGTTATAACTGATAGAAATGCTAATTTTTGTTTGTTTGTTTTGTTTTTGAGACAGTCTCCCACTATTGCCCTGGCTGGAGTCCAGTGGCTCAATATCACCTCACTGCAACCTCCGCCTCCTGGGTTCAAGCAATTCTGTCTCAGCCTCCCGAGTAACTGGGACTACAGGCACATGCCACCACGCCTGGCTAAGGTTTTGTATTTTTAGTAGAGACAGGGTTTCACTGTATTAGCCAGGATGGTCTCAATCTCCTGACCTCGTGATCCTCCTGCCTTGCCCTCCCAAAGTGCTGGGATTACAGGTATGAGCCACCACACCCAGCCCTTTTTTAAAAGTAACTCATTTCAAACTAGGAAAAAGTTTTGTTTTTTTGCTTCTTGGATTATTACTTGCCTCAGAGAGATTTCCAACTTCAATTTTCAAAAGTGTTTGGTAGGAGCTTTCAAAAGCTATAAACACATTCCTTACAAATTGCACAACTTCAGCCATTCATGTGTCACTCATGAGTAATATTAAAGTAATGCAAGGCAATAAAAATCAACCCCCCAAAAAAAAAAAAAAGCCTCAGGGAAATCAAATAGTTGGAGGATTTAATACAATTCTAGGGGATGATCTATCCTTTAGGGCTGGTAAAGACATCAAGATATATGCTTCAAAGGTTACTGCTTCCAAATACACCAACCAGCAGAAAGCAGCTGACAAAGATAAAGGGTCGAAATCAAGGATTTTAATGCAAATAATCTTCTTGCAGTATATAAGTCAAGGTCAGTGTTTCCTGTCTTCCCTGCCCTTGACATGTCCATTTTCATCAACAGAGCCAAGGACACTTTGAGTGGACACCTACAGAAGCCGAGGACATCTGGAGAGGACAAAGCTAGATGGCACAACTCACCTCCCTGACCCTCTCAATAGCATTGGTGAAGATGTAAATGCTGACAAGCCACTCCTGCACGCTGGGCTGGGGCTTCATCTCCACCAACACGGTGTAAGTGAACAGCATGAGGAATGCCAAATACGCCATCTGTGAGGGGGACACACATTCCCAGACGTGAGTGAGGGCAAGCACGGAAGATGCCAAGCAGAAGCAGACGGAGCAGAAACACAAGCTTGAACTTCAACACAATAATACGAACACAGAACTAGAACAACCTTTGGGTTATTGATGACCTAGTGTGAAGGAAAGCACAACAATCCATGGTGTTCTAGTCCAGGATTTAGAGACAGGAATGAAATCACTGTTCTCAGATCACCTTCTCAGGTGGAAGGAAATACTGTATCGTTCTGTTCCTGCTGGCTCCTGACTGGAATTTCCAGAACCCTGCATATCCAACAGGGGCACTGTCAAGCCAACAGCAAGCCCAGGAGAAGTCACAGGCCTTCCCCTACATCTTAAACATAGAAAGGAAACATGAAACCCTGTCTCTACTAAAAAATACAAAAATTAGCTGGGCATGGTAGTGGGTGCCTGTAATCCCAGCTACTGGGGAAGCTGAGGCAAGAGAATCATTTGAACCCAGGAGGCAGAGGTTGCAGTGAGCCGAGATTGTACCATTGCACTCCAGTCTGAATGACATATTGAGACTCCATCTCAATAAAAAAAAAGAAAGAAAGAAAGAAAGAAAACATGTGTGAAGCATGCCAGATGCGCAGTGGCAATAAATGCTTATTTTTAAATACAATGAACTGTGGCATTCACCACTGCTGGGAGTTTTATCTTATGTTGATTGAAATATTCTGTTTAAAAGAAAAGTCATGTCCAACTGTGAGCCTTGTTAATTAAGGACTGTCAAAATTTATGTCTTCAGCACTGAGCACTGTGCCTGACACGTGGTAGACATTCAATAAATGTTTGTCTAATTACTGTGCATATATATATATATATATATGTCTAGATATACATAGTCTTGAAAGAATTAAGACATAGTAATCACACACACAAATACTTAATGATTAATAGCTTTGTAATCTTTTTTCTTTTTTTAAGATGGGGTTTCACCATGTTGGTCAGGCTAGTCTTGAACTCCCGACATCAGGTGATCCGCCCACCTTGGCCTCCAAAGTGCTTGGATTATAGGCATGAGCCACCACACCCGGCCAATAGCTTTGTAATCTTATTGAATATTCTTATCTTCTTAAGATATATTACCAGAAGCAGAATACCTGTCCATGCACATTGAAAACTAACTGTGATAAATATTACTAAATTTTCTATCCGGAAGACTTTACCAATTTATACTATATCAACTATGTATGAGACTACAGTCCTCTCAATAGCCTTAGAGACAACCCACAGTACTCACTGATCAATACCTGCATTTAAAAACTTTGTATCCACCGGGCACAGTGGCTCATGCCTGCAATCCCAGCTCTTTGGGAAACCGAGGCAGGCAGATTACCTGAGGTCAGGAGTTTGAGACCAGACTGGCCAACATGGTGAAACCCTGTCTCTACTAAAAATACAAAAAATTAGCTGGGCATGGTGGCATGTGCCTGTAATCCCAGCTACTCAGGAGGCTGAGGCAGGAGAATTTCTTGAACCAAGAAGGCTGAGGCTGCAGTGAGCCAAGATCACATCACTGCACTCCAGCCTGGGTGACAGAGCAAGACTCCATCTCGAAAAATAAAAATAAAAATCAGTTGAGAGAAAAATGTGTGTGTGTGTGTGTGTGTGTGTGTTCATGGGTCACAAAAATCATATTTTAACTTTGATCCCTAATGATCCCTATTTGATCTCATATAGTTTTATCTACCTAAATGGATGAGTCTGCTTCTAACTTTAGTTCTGCACAGATAACACAGAGAATGGTTTAAACCATTTCTAACTATATAAGAATGATATTGACAACAGGTGGTTTTTTGGGTGGTCATAATGGGTATCGTGCCTATGATTTAAGCAGGTGTAGAAGAGAAGCACATAAGAAAGTAAAGGCAAAGTTCAACAATTCTATACTTCTCTTGGTCTATGTCTCAAAGTCTGAGTATTTTTGATGGCTCCTCAGGGACATACTTTAAATTAATTTGTTCTATCAAGCATTTAAATTTTTTTGTCATTGGTTTCAGCATGGCTAAACAATTGAGTCCTTAACTTTTACTCTGAGGTTCAAACCTTCACCCATTTATCTGTACATCTTTTATTATTTGTATTTTGTTATTCCCTTATACTGATTCCTTATGTACATGCATACATGGTTTCCCCTATATAACTGTAAGCTGCTTGAGATCAGCATTGATGTTTGGCAATGTCTTCTTCTCACTGCCCCCTCTGCTGCCTAATATACTGTCTTTTTTTTTTTAGACAGGGTTTTTGCTCTTGTTGCCCAGGCTGGAGTGCAATGGCACAATCTTGGCTCACTGCAACTTCCACCTCCTGGGTTCAAGTGATTCTCCTGCCTCAGCCTCCTGAGTAGCTGGGATTATAGGCATGTGCCACCAAGCCCGGCTAATTTTGTATTTTTTAGTAGAGATGGGGTTTCTCCATGTTGGTCAGGCTGGCCTTGAACTCCTGACCTCAGGTGATCCACCTGCCTCAACCTCCCAAAGTACTGGGATTACAGGCGTGAGCCACTGCGCCCGGCCAGTATACAATGCCTTAAAGACAGCAGTCAGCGCTCAGTAAAATCCAACTGAATGACCTGAACTTTAGGTTATGCACAGCCGTAACTTTCTTTCTAACATGTATCGTGTATGACTATATGAATCTGGAATACCTATAAGCAAAAGACTACAAACATATTTAATAAGTAGATATTCAGATTGAGAAAGTAGCACAGTTCCTCTAGTTGAGAAAAGGTTGAGTTCCTAAAGGCTATGTTAAGTCCATTTACTCATTAGTCCAAAGTGGCATTACACAAAGATACAAGCAACCAAAGTACTTGCATCTAGGAAAAATGAAACAGTAAACACTCTGGACATGGCAGTATTACTTCTGACTCTTTCTGTTTCTTTTCAATTATTAAAAACACCATGGTGGTCAGATCTGGCTGGTTCTGTGCTCTTGCTTAGCTTTGTTCCTGTTTCTTAAAGCTCAGGAGCTAGAAATTTCCAGGGGAAGAAATGCCTGAATAACGCATTTCCTGATGGTGTGAGGATGGTGAAAACTCTCCCAGTGCTCACCCCAGCGTCTTTCATAGATGTTGTTGCACATTCACAAAAATGGTAATTCTTCATTGTTTGGAAGCAGATGTGATTTTTGGAAACAGATAAAAATCATACACAGCTATATAATTATTCAGCAAGTATAGGAGATAAGTGTGTGGCTGGCCAGGTAAATATTTGCAAATACAACACATTTAGATAAATATCCTTTTATAGTCATACTTCAAATGTTTTAGACATACAAACTGTTGGCCATGAGCTATTTAAGTATAGATAAGCATTAGAAAAATAAATGCTATGGGGGCACATGTTCTCGGGATCTCCTGAGGGCATGTCATGGAAAAAAAATATATTAGAAAAGAAATAAAAGAGGCCAGGCGCAGTGGCTGATGCTTGTAATCCCAGCACTTTGGGAAGCCAAGGCAGGTGGATCATGAGGTCAAGAGATTGAGACCATTGTGGCCAACATGGTGAAACCCAGTCTCTACTAAAAAAATACAAAAATTAGCTGGGCGTGGTGGTATGTGCCTGTAGTCTCAGCTACTCAGGAGGCTGAGGCAGGAGAATCACTTGAGCCGAGATTGTGCCACTGCACTACAGCCTGAGCAACAGAGTGAGACTCTGTCTCAAAAAAAAAAAAAAAAAAAGAAAGAAAAAGAAAAGAAAAGAAAATTCTGTGAAACAAATGTGAAAAGCACTCAACACATCCAAAGCATAGTTCATGCTTTCTCTATTGCTTTACTATCCGTAATAGATTTAGTATTTGTTCACACAGTTCAGCTTCTAAAATTTTTCATTTTCTCTATATATTTATAAGCATATATTACTGAAGGCAAAAAAAAAAACATTTGCATCATTTTTTTAATCTACATAACACATTCATACAAGGGAAAAGCTAATTCAATTGCTGATTTTCGAAGAATAATCCACCCACCTATTGCTTAATTCTACAATGCTATGAATTTTGTTAATAGCAAATCTGGGAAGGCTCAGTCTCCCTTCAAATGATGAAATTTTACCACTTTTGTGAATGTGCAACCACATATTTGAGGGACTCCGATAGGAGTGCCGAGAGAGTTTTAACCACAGTCACACTGTTAAGAAAAGAATATTCCGGTGTTTCTTTCCACGAAAATTTCAGGCTCAGGGGTTTTTAGAGACAGGAGCAAAGGTAAGAATAGGGCAAAGCCAGCCAGATCTTTCTGCAATAACAAGGCTAATTCTTAGCACTCAAAGAAAGAAGAAAATGCTTGTTCTTGAACTCCCAAAATAAGAGAGCTCCATCCTAACCTCTCCCGTTTTTCCTTCAGTCCTCTTTGCTACCTATTTTGTCATGCCTTCACTTTTTTAAAACTAGGTTTCTACATCTTTATTGAAAAGTGGCAAAGCAGGCAAATTATCAACATCATCACTAGCTATCAACCATCATTAGTCCAACATATGTTGTTGTAATAAGACCAACCGTATAAAACCAAAACTTGACAATTGGAGCATTGTAGAACTCATGGACTTTCCTGGTCCATGGAAGGTTTGGGGGCCCACTTTCAAAATCAAAATGCTGATTTTCATCCAGTTTCTCATCATGGCCCCTTTCCAAATCATACTCTTTCTGTAAAATAAACAAATAATCATTTTCTTGAGAGCAGCTTAACTAAAATAGTGACAAGCATGAATGTCCAAAAAAAATCATAAATAATATATTAGAAATCAATTGGCCAGGTGCAGTGCTTCATGCCTGTAATCCCAGCACTTACGGAGGCCAACGCAGGCAAATCACCTGAGGTCAGGAGTTCAAGACCAGCCTGGTCAACATGGTGAAATACTGTCTCTACTAAAACTATAAAAATTAGCAGGGCGTGGTGGTGGGTGCCTGTAATCCCAGCTACTTGGGAAGCTGAGACAGGAGAATCACTTGAACCTCAGAGACAGAGGTAGCAATGAGCCGAGATCATGTCACTGCACTCCAGCCTGGGCAATGGAGGGAGACTCTGTCTCACACACACACACACACACAAAAATTAATTGGGCATCCACATGCCAAATTATAACGTTACTTTTGAAGTGAGAGAAAACTGCATATGTTTATAAATTATTGACCAGGTAAAGAGCATGAGGTATTTATGAAATGCAGGCTGACTCTCTAGTAATCAAACCCAAAGTAAGAGTACTTCCAAGAATTTAAAATTGGTCCCTGTTCCCAATCTCCTTTTTTTTTTGAAATGGAGTCTCACTCTTGTCGCCCAGACTGGAGTGCAATGGCACAGTCTTGGTTCACTGCAACCTCCCCCTTTCAGGTTCAAGAGATTCTCTAAACTCAGCCTCCTGAGTAGCTGGGATTACAAGCACCCACCACCACGCCTGGCTAATTTTTGTGTGTTTTTAATTTTGGAACTTAAGAATACTCACAAAACCCAGTGAAATCAGTAACGAACAATACAATTATTTCCTTAACACATAAGAACAAAATGAGCACACATTGATGAAGGTTGACCATTCCCTGTCATAGGAAATTCAGGCACTGCATTAGTTTTAGGATTCTGACCTTCAATAGCTTCCCCACTGATTTATAGCAGAGGGCCTGTTTGCCTGCAGTCATGTGCTCCCTGAGCTTCTAGAGTTCCTTGAACACCCTGCAACCATGTGCAAGTATTTGTGTTGTACATGTATTTTTCTGGGGAAAGAATCAGATCTTTCATCAACTTCCCAAAAGATATGTATCAGTACAAAGGAATTAACTCACATAGAGAAACAGCAACGAGTTATATGTCTGGCAGAGCAGGAGTTGCCAGAATGTGACTACCCAAACACCTACGCAGAATGAGCTTTCAAAAGAGGAAGGAAAAGAAATGACAAAAGCACTTATAGCCTGGGTACCTTTGAGAAGCAGCAATATAAGGGTAGTGAAATGGAAGCAAAAGCGATCTCACTTTCCTGTATGGATATCTATTCCGTTTTAGTTTTTTAATAAAAAACACATGTACTTTTTAATTTTTTAAAGTAATGTTGAAAGAAAAAAAAAAAGGAACATTCTCTGCTATCTCTCAAACTAGTCCAGTTTTGCAACCTAGCCACAAAATTTATTTCTATAATGTCAGACCTGCAAGATGAGCAGAATTTTTCAAGCCAAGGAATGAATCAAATTTTGCTTGAATTGTCCATATAACTGCAGAAAAATGTGATGTTTAAGGCCTCAGGCGTCTAGATGAGTTATCGTCAGTGCCTGATTAATTATTCAGTCATTTATTTCACTTAGGGCAGTGGGGTTGGGATTGTGACTTAGAAATGTAGGAAATGGCCCAATTCCTAGCAGGTGGGAACCAACCTAGAATTAAAATGGCATAAAACCAATTAGAAAAGTCATCATTAATGAGCTGTTAATGATATCAATATCACATTAGAAAGACCCCAGAAAGCAATTTAAGTAATGTCTTTATTATTAAATAACTTCTCTTATTATTTTTCTAGGAGTGTGTCATTGGCTCTTAATTGCTCTTGACAGTTTGGAGCAGATTATAAAGTGCTGATCGGGCCTGTCTCTGAGTTGAATTCAAAGACACCAATTGCTATGACGAAGACAAGCTGAGAATATAAATTCAGATTCAGGCCTTTTTTTTTTTTTTTTTTAACTGAGAAGACGGTAAAGACAAAAACATTTGGCTTGAGTAACTTTTATTATACATATATATATAGCTCCCCTTACCCCCCAGACCCCCTGGCCACCCCATACTCTTTTTTTTCTCTCTAATTGTAATCTAATACCAGCAGGTACACAGATTAAAATAACTACAACAATAAGTCTACTATAATCCATATCTGTTTTCCATTGTATTATAGTCATCTTTCCTACTTAATGATGCTCTGATAAAATAGATTTTGTTATACAACTTTCTTATTACTATTTCGATTTATCAACCTAAGACTGAGAGCATCTTTCCCCTTCTGAATCCAGTCCCTCTCCAGTTATCCTTGTGTCGCTTCAAGATGGCCTTGTTTAAAAGACCTTATCTGTCTCTTCCTCTCCATGACCATTGCTACTGACCCTGGTTAAAGGACTTGTTTCTCAGCTGGATGGCTACCCTGGCCTATGCTCCCCCTGCTCCTAGCCAGTCTTCTTGATAAAGCATCCTATGCCCTGGAGGCAGAATAATTTCTCTAACAGATCATCTCACTACTCTGGCATACACATTCAACAGCTCTCCATAACCTGCAGAATAAAAATCATACTCCTTCATAGGATACACAAGAGTCTACTTGATCTAGCCTCAATTTACTTTTCCAGCCATTCCTGAAAATACTCCCAGCTTATCCATAATCCCCATAACCTAGATACCAGCCAAACCATATCACTTGCAATGCTTTACATATGCCTTGCCATTTCCCACCTACATGGCCCTACTTATAGTCTCCTTCTCACTAACATGCTATTTTCCCTCTCCACACCCTCAAGTGAAGCTCAAACACCACCTCAATCCTAAAACTGTCACCAACCCCTAATCCTCACCTACTGACCTCTAATGGGAAGAGTCTTCTTCTGCTGTTGGTTAACCCATTCTGCCATCTTACTATAATTTAGTCCTAAGAAAGCTAATGTCATCAAAGGTCATGTTTTCAAAAGGTTATCAGCTAAAAAGATCTAAGTTTCACATGGCAAAGTTATTCTGCCTGTAGAAATTTCAATAAGGAGATTTATAAACCTCAGTGAGCAAATGCAGTATTTGATACTAGACAGCTTCAGCTCAAGAATAATGGCTTTCCTTCTCCAATTACCAGAAGTGCCTCCTCTATATTTATTGTCACCCACTATTACCACAAGAACACAACACAGTGACACTAAAAAGCATCTATGTATCATCTGCCATCAGTTTTCTACCACAATACATAATGCAAATTGTTTCTCAACTAATAAATTGCATTTACTTAATTAGTGTTATGAAATCTTATCTATCTCACCAAAAGTGCTGCCTCTCCCCCTTATACCCTGCCTAGCAAAATTCTAGAAACATAGCAGCTTATTAATAATTACTACCTAAGTTAAATTCAAAGGCAAAAGAAAGATTATTGCTATGACTATAAGCCATTCATAATAAACAGACTTGAAACATTTTTAATACAATTGTTCATTGTTTTAATTGAAGAATGTTGAGAAATTGTGGATATTCTGTCTGATTATAAGCCCCACAGTGGAAGAGGCCACATCTGCTTAATTAATGCAGTGTCACAGAACCTCTAGCACACGTAAAGTGGCCACTAAAGAGTCATTGAATTCATAAATTGGTATATGGCTATGTCCAAACCATGTAGGTGGGCAACTGCTATAAACAGGACTACTATATCACAGCCAAAATTTAATTTTTCAGGGAACTGTGAGAACTAACTATATTTTTAATGTTAATAGCATACTGAATTGCCATTCAAGGCTGCAATTCTTTCTCTAAAGTCTCCCCTTTAAGAATTACTGCACAGTGGAATGGCCTACAAGGGATTCGATGTTTGTGAAAGTTTAGCCTTTTAGGAAACCTGTGGGAGCCAAAAGAAGAGTTATATCCACTTGCAAAGTACTATTTGCTACCATGTGTAGAAAATTGCCAACAGATTTACATATTCCTTTGTAGATAGGATAGACAGCATTTTTCATTGTTTATTTCAACAATGAACTTAATGTGAACAACTTAGTTAGCATAAAGCCAAACAAAGCTGAGCTCGGTGGCTCATGCTGTAATCCCAGCAATTTGGAAGGCCAAAGCAGGAGGATCACCTGAAGTCAGGAGTTAGAGACCAGCCTGGCCAACATGGCAAAACCCTGTCTCTACTAAAAATGCAAGACTTAGCTGGCATCATGGCAGGCACCTGTAGTCCCAGCTACTCAGGAGGCTGAGGCTGGAGAATCGCTTAAACCCAGGAGGCAGAGGTTGCAGTGAGCCGAGATCACCCCACTCCACTCTAGCCTGGGTGATGGAGCAGGACTCTGTCTCAAAAAACAAAACAAAGCAAAACAAAAAGCCAAACCAAACAAATATTTCACATGAGCATGACACTCTATTTCTAAAGGAGTCAGATCAACACTACCTTTCTTCTCTTCCCTTAAAAAAGTTTTGAAATTGTTTCAACTCAGCAACTGTAGCATATAACCCACAAAATCACAACTGTAACAACTTGACAAGCCCAGCTTTGCAAGGGGCAAATTCTCACACACTCTAGGGGTAGAATGTACCCTCTTGGATTCAGAGAACAGAGAGGAAAGGGGAAGGGAGGGGAGGAGAGGAGAGGAGAGGAGGGAGGGAGGAAGGGAAGAGAGGAGGGAGGGAGGCAAGAGGAGAGAAACACATGCATGCCCAAATAGGGGTTATAGTTAACAAAACATTTAACAATTGATCTAGCAGAGGCATTAACCAATGAGAATGGTTGCTCTGCTAATGGCAACAGATACTAGCCATAAAAAATTAATTGTAATTGATTAGTTTTCAATTAATACTTACCAAATATGCTTTTAAATATTGTAACAAATAAAAATACAAAAGGACATCTGACAAGATGTTAGGTAAAGATGTTTCATTGAAGCATTAAATGCCAGAGAAAATGTTTACTATACCTCACGTTTAGACAACCTCATAAGCAATGATCCAAGTTGAGGCATGAAAAGCAAAGAACATATTCACAGCATACCAGACATTTTGCAGTGGAGATGGGACGCAAGAGAAGTAGCACAAGTTACCCAGGAAAGACTGCACATCTAGGACTCAAGTAAAACTATCCATAGCCACTGGCTATAACAAATGAAAGGATCTGTGGGGTGGAACAGTGAAGATCAACACAAATTCTAAATCTGCATGGTTATAAAGATATGAGAAATTCCTCACTGTAGCTTTAGAGAAGTAGAAGTTTATTTATTCTACTAGTTACAAAAAAAAATGAAAATTAGATGTTGTCCAGATATAATAAAGTCTTTGATTTTGGCTATGAAGTAGAAATAGGATATTTTGCTTAACTGTATATGGAGGTTAATTAGGTCTACCGTACATAGCATACCTGACCATCCCATAATAGGATTAAAATTATGCAAGAGAACTAAATGCTTGATTGATTAGTCAGAGGCATTTTAAAATAATGTATAACCTCAACACCATCTGTCATCACTGGACTGAAATAGAGGCAACATAACTTTTGTTTAACATATGGCTATGTAAGTAAACTTTAAGGATATGTGTATGTTTGTGTGCAGTCAATACAATGAAAATTCAGTTCATTATGATTTTGCACTAACCACAGAAGCACTTTCTTTGGAACTGCTGGCATTCTGGTCACTGTAATACCACATAAATTGAAAGTCCTGGGACTGGGGAACATGTGACATCTCAGCTTTGCTTTTAAATTCCAAGGTCAAAATGGTGGGTGGTAAAATAATGCTTATAATGATCTGTAAAAGAGAAAAAAAGCAAAACAAAGTAGCAGGGACTACAAAAGCACATACTAGACAAATAACGAAATTAATAATTTAAGTGTATATAAACTGCCAGACCATCCCAGTTCAATTTTCATCCCGATTCTATAAATAACTTTTTGACTCAGCAACTTCAGTTCTAGTGTCTCCCTCAGAAATATTAATGAGTACAAGCATTTGTGGATAAGAATGTTTATTGCAGGACTATTTGTAAAAGCAAACACTGGTGTCAACTTAAATGTCTATGTAGAGAGGGACAGCTGGTCTGGAATGACCTAATAGTGGAATACTGTGCAACCATTAAAAAGACACAGGCAATGTTGAATACAATGAAAAGACAGCCATGCTATACTGCTAAGTGAAACAAATCAAATTGCCGTTATTCCTTGATATACAAGGGGGACTGGTGCCAGGACACCCCCAAACCCCGACCCCAAGAATACCAAAATCTGAGTCTGCTCAAGTTCCTGATATGAAATGGTGTTGTATTTGCATATAACCTACACACATCCTACCTTATACTTTAAACCATCTCTAGATGACTTATAATACCTAATACAATGTAAATGTTATATAAATAGTTGTTCTACTGTATTGGTTTTTTATTTGTATAACTTTTATTGTTGTATTATTATTTATTTGGGGGTATTTTTCCAAATATTTTTAAAATCTGAGATTGATTCAATCTGCAGATGTGGACCCATGGATATGAAGAACCAATTGTATAGAAGAACATAGAGTAATCCCATTTTTGAAAAAATTAAATTTAAAATCTTATCTAATTATATGTTAAACATATGCATTTAAAAGTTTAAAAATATGTATACTACATTGTTATTATTTACCTCTAAGAGTAACAGGTCAGTGACAAGTATTATTTTTCAATGAGCACACTGCTTTAATAATTTTTTTAAAGCCATTAAGCAGATATTACCACATAAAACACATTAAAATTTGTCGATATTATAAAATCAAGAATCTAAAAGCAGACCATCACCTTCTGTTAGATCCGTCTCCCATCCCATACACATCTGTTCTCTACTAGTAAAACCCAAGGAAGGTATAGATCCAGACATCTACAATTTTTTCATTATATTGCTACTGTTCATGAATTACTAGCAGACTTTTCAAAAAAGATTTTTAAGCTCAATTTGTATGGCCTTTCGAGGTAAAGAGTTTAGAAGATTTACTAAATGCTCTGATATCAACCTGATGAACACTACCTTTTTCAAGCTAAAACTAGGCCTTAGTATTCTGGTGTTTATTGACCAAAAAGAAGATTTAACCTGAGTATTTGACATTCATTATTATGTACAGTAAACTGAAGTCATATCCTTGTCAACCTTCTTTTTTTTTTTTCCATGACAAAATTACCCTTTGTCATCATGCTTTAAAGCTTGATCTCCTGCGAAGACTCCCTGGGACATTCTCCAGTTCTAATATGATTTTATTTGTGTGGTTTCTTCTGTACAGATGTAGAACCCAAAATATATACAATCTTCTAGGTCTGGAAAAATTGTACTTATCATACCCAATGGAAATATTGTACTAATTAATCTCTAGTCAACTTTCTGAAGAGGCCCCGCATTCTGCTGCCCTTGTCCACTGCAGAACAACTGGCTTATGAAACAGTATTCAACCACATCAGTATCCTGTCTCCAAGAGATAGGAGGAAGCATTACAATGAGTTTTCCCATTCATATCTCTCTCTACATGGTTTTCCTACAGTCTGTCTATTCAGAATTAGTCTAGCCAGGACATCAATTATTTGTAAATGTGTTTCCAAACTTCACCAACCAAGCACTGAGAAAGTAGGATCTAGACACTGGAGAAGAATATTTACTGAGGCTTAGAGAAAAATTTACGTAGTTAATTCAGCTTTGTTTAACTCACTCTATGTTTCGGAGCAAAACATTTAGTATTACTTCACTTAAGTCTCCTTTTTGGTATGAAATATATGAAGCAGAAGAATTCATTAAGTTCTCAGAAATAAAGATTTCTAGTAAACTAGAGTATATACAGGACACAAACATGAGGAAAATTATTTCTCAAACTACCAGCTGTCTATATCTTATCTCACTATCTGAATGTTTAAAAAGGGTCAGAACTTATGTAGCTAGAGGTGGACCCATTCACATCTCTAATTCCTTAGTTCCAAGGGTGCAATCAAAGCAGACTATGGGAGAACTTCTGAAAATAATTATTGTATCTCCAATATTTTCTTTAAAAGGATTTATGATGAGATCCTTTTTGACTGACATTTCTCTTATTTCTGTAATTTCATCAGTAGATAAATAGTCATTATGTTTGGGACACATCATATTTTTAAGAACTCTAGGAAAAATAAAATTAAAATATAAAATACAGAGTTATGTAGTTCTTAAAACTCACTCTTTGCCTCCTTTTATTTGGTTTCATAAGTATACGAACTTCTTAAGCATGGCCATTACCTAAATCCTTTAGACTTAAGTATGATGTCAAAAGTTAAATGTCTTTAGCAGTCAAGTAAATTAATCTTGATAATTTATTTATTTGTGTGTGTGTGTGTACAAATTTAGTTTTATGGTAACAAAGCAACTTTTACACTTTTAATGTTTAAAACATCTTTCCTTTTCAGTGAAACAAAAAGAAAATTTAAAAATAAACAGGAACAAAATTACAATAGAGAATGTCAATTCCAAACAAGATCCTACAGGTTCTGCTGATTCTCCCATTGAGTGGCAGGGCTCAAGTCATCATTAGGAGAGAATTTATTTTAAAAGTGTCATCTTAAACTGCAGGGATATCTGTCAAATGTCACAATTAAACATGCCAAAGGAGAAGCCATGTTGTCAAAATGCCCAGTTACCCCACCCAAATGTCTCAAACCTACCCTTTGCTGACCTTCTATAACCCCATTTTTTTTTTTAGTTTTTTTTTTTTTCTTTTTTTAAACAAGAGAAAGTAGACAGATACATGTTGGTAAATGCTAACTGTCCATATTCACATAGAGACACAGTGTACTCTCTGAGCCCGAAATACAGAGAAAGGAGGAAAAAAGCTAGAATTCTATGCACTACTACTCAGGGGCCTAGCACCCTCCAGCTTCCAGCAGAGCAAAGGGAGCAAGTTTTTCTTTTTTCCCACAGAGCTCGGTGGTATTAATTCCATACAGTTTTTGTTAAGACAAGAAGGGATAAAAATGAATTTCAAACCGAAAGGGGTAAAGACTCTTTTCCCATTGTATCCTGCTCAAGATATTTCCCCCAAAATAATTTGAGAACCATGGTATAGAGAAAAGAGACCCCAAAAACAGGGTGACTGAGCACAAGAGGGAAGAAGAAGAAAAAAAAATACTGCAACTTGCTCCCAGGAACTGGAGAAAATTTTAAAAAAAGGAAGGTTGGAGTCCAACAGTGTTCTATTAGTCATCTTCTCCTTCATCCTTCTCTCCTTCCTCCCCTTCATCATCATCTTCAGCTTCTTCACCTTCATCTTCATCCCCTTCTTCATCAATATCTTCTAATCCTTCCTCCTCTTCATCATCATCATCATCTTCTTCTCCTTCTCTTTCTTCATCATCCATATCAGGAACCAAGTAGTATTGTAATGGGGTTGGCCAAATAGCATCTTTAATGACCTCTCCTAATTCATCAGCACCTGCATCAGAATGGTCAGTAAACCAGCTAAAGAAGCTCTCTGATTCCTCATGCTGCCTCTTCCTGCTGGCTTCTTTCTGTGTTTGACTTGAACGTTTCATCAAATCCTTTCCAGATTTCCATTTGATTTCTGTGGACTTTGAAGATGGATCACCACTCTCATTCAGATGAAATTCTTTGGAAAATCAAAGTAAGGATTTTCATCAAAATAAAAATCTATTCTGTAACCTGATTTAATATCTTCAAATCCTGTCACTTCAACTCTGGTCAAATAATGCAGTGCCTCTTTGTCCTCCTCCCCAAGCAGTGCAGACACTTGTGGATGATTGACAAATGTTGTTACCCAAAAATTTGGGATTTTGGCGATCAATTCTGACCTCTTCTGAAAAAATGGTTGGCAGAGTTTGTTATATTTCTGTTCTACTTTCAAAATCTCCTCACTGGCTTGTTCATTAAGTCTGTCTATTTCATTTTGTACTTCATCGATGTGTTCAATTGCTTCTTACTGTTCTTTGTCTCCCTTCTTCAGCAAGCCTGCAGAGGCCGATGTCTCCTCCAGTCCATGAGCAGGAGGTGGTGTTGGTTTCTTCTTTTGAGGCAGGAGTGGAGACTGGCGTTTGGGGGCCATGATGCTGGGGAAGTCCGAGAACCAGAGCACAAGTCTTCTTGCTCGTCCGGAAGCAGGCAGAACACTGAATCTTGATAATTTAAGATAACAGATGAGGCTGAGAATTTTGAGATGGTTAGTCACGGGAACAAATGTATTTGAGGCCAGCCTTAAGAAACAGTCACTTATTCCCTCAAAAAAAAAAAAAAAAAGAAAAGAAAAGAAAGAAAGAAAGAAACCACACACACACACACACACACACACACACACACACTACACACATTGGGTGAGCAGAACAGAAGTTATTAATTTTATTTAGTTTATTATATGTTAGTATTCTTACACTGAGAAAAAATTTCACTAAAATGTCTCATTTATTTTTGTTGTAATTATTACAGGCAATAGCAACTAATATTAATGAAATCTTCCCTATGTTTGTCTATGCTTTTAACTTCTTCTAACCACCCCTTACCTTTGTGGTGGAGAGGGCAGGTACAATTATACCCATTTTTCAAAAGGATACTGTGGCCATGGGAGATAAAAGTCATTTTTACAGATTCCTCTGGGAAGACCCCAGATCATCTGTGTGAATCAAAGATATTAACTGGGGTATAAGGACAATCTGGCTGCGACATTTGTCACCCCGTTGATCGCCAGCGTTGATTCAGCTGATCTGGCTGGCCAGGCGGGTGTCCTCTTCCTCACCGCTCCATGTGTGTCCCTCCCGAAGCCGCACGATCGGTGGAAGAAGACGACTATCCCCAATAGAGGAGCACGGATCTTCGGTCAAGGGTATACAAGTAGTTGAGCTCCCCTGTTAGAACCTCCAAACAAGCTCTAAAAGATATTAACTGATTTTCCTGAAGGCACACTTGTGGAACAAAATGTAACTTGAGTACTGAATTTTATACCAAACCAAATTAAACTCCGTAAGGGAAGTAAAGGAAATTTACCCTTAACCAAGAGTTTTTCCTCATTTTTAGGCGCCCCATCCACATGTCCGTCAGTAGCATTTGGGTACAAGTATGTGAAACAAAGGGTCGTAATCCTCCCGACACGGCCAGTTTCAGGCAGGTCGAATTGCTCCAGTTCCTGAGTTCGTACGTCAGCAGCGTCATGGCCATGCGCTCATTCTGCTTGAATGCCGTCTCCAACAAGTCCAGGGCCAGCTGGCCAAACTGCCTGCCATGACGGTGGCAAATGAAGAAAACAAAGGCGGGTGAGAGAGCTGCATTCGCATTATTAGAAACATTTTAGAACATTTAGAAACACTGATTGTACATTGTGTGACCTGAGATAAAAAAAAAAAAAAAGAAGAAAGAAGGAGAAGGAGAAGGAGAAGAAGAAGAGGAGGAGGAGGAGAAGGAGGAGGAGGAGGAAGAAAGAAGAAGAAGAAGAAGAAGAAGAAGAAGAAGAAGAAGAAGAAGAAGAAGGAGAAAGAAGAAGAAGAAGAAGGAGGGAAGAAGAAACACTGATTGTAAAGGATTGGATGTGAGGCTCATAAAACATCAATTCATAAGGCTTTCTTAAAAAAAAAAAAGAAAGCCAGCAACTGAATAATCTCAGTTTCCAGAAACTATTTGAAAGGAATTACTGCTCAGGAAAGGGATTTTTCTCCCTTTCCTGAAGAACAGGACTAGGAGGTTTACATTGTAGCATATAGAGTTTAATTCACACCCGAGCTATTCATGGGGAGTAGCCCCTCTACACTGTTGGACATAACTTGGTTTGGGACTTAAATACAGACTTATACATAGCTTGGTTTGGGACTCCCTGATAAGACCAAATGAAGTTGTTTGTTTTGGACAAAAAAGACTGTTCAGAACCCAACTAGCAAGTAAGGAAAGCTGTGGAGTCATTTTTCTTTTTTTAAAATTTTACAAAATATCTACATGACTTAAGAAAGCTATAGACCTAGACCTGGAGAAACCCTCATGTGATTTTCCAGGAGAATGTTTTTTCTGAAAGGTAGACATTGTCATTCTCTGGAATTTGATTTTTTGGTAAAGACAGGATCTTGCTATGTTTCCCAGGCTGGTCTTGAATTCCTGGCCTCAATCAATCCTCCCACCTTGGTGTCCCAAAGTGCTGAGATTATAGGTGTGAGCCACTGCTCCCAGCTGAGAATTTTTAAATCAAAATTATAAATTAGTTTCTATTGATTCTAGCTTCCATTGTTTCTTCACTACTTTAACACTTCAGTAACTTTAAAACCAAAAGGATTTTTAACTTTTCTATTTTCCACCATTACTCTCTGGCTCCTTAATACAATGCATTTATTTGTTCTCCCACCTGAGAGATACTTAATGAAAACAATGTCTTAACTTAATGTAACATCAAAGAGTACAAGAGTTAGGGGGAGCTTTCAAAATTATTAATTGAACTTTTCATAGTTAGGAAACTAAAGCCCCGAAATCTGGTCAACTGACTTATCTAATTAGTCAACAGCTGGACTAGAACCCAATTCCCCCGACTTGAAGGCCACCTCTCTTTCTTTCCTTTACTTCACAAAGCTTTGTAGAATACCTGAAGACCCTTTCAATAGGAGAATCCATAAAATGCATGGCAATACGTCCATTTGTCCTATGAGTTTAAAGATGAGAGAGATAAAAGTGTCTAACTATTCTAAAAGGTGTTATGTTTAGTATGAAGTGAAGAGAGAACACTTACTTTGAGTAATTCTTCAACTCTTCTGAGGCATCATCTACCATGTGACTCTCCTTAGCTTCATGGGCCATTGCCCGGAAGAGAATACACGCAATCACTGCTTTCACTGTGGCCTCCTCACCCTGCTGCCAGAAGAACATGGCCATCTTCTGCCTTTTCATCAGCACAGCCCAAACCAGCAGATCATTGTAAGGGTAAATAAAGCCAGTACACTCAGGGTCATCTGATCCATTTTGTTCTTTTGACTTCTTCCTTGATTTATGAAGGACTACAGACTTTTCCTGTTGGAAAATAAAATAGGAATGAGTTTTCAAGTACTCAGATGCACGATGTTTTACCAAATTCAACACAGCAGGTATCCTAGAGATATCTTTTTAATCACTACTAAAAAAGAGATAGAAACAGTAAGATTTTTATAAGCCAGCAAGCAAAATTTAGACCATAAAAGGTCATCTATTTCTTGTTGCACTTAACAGATCCAGAGTCCCTAAACTGATATATCTTAAGGTCATTTAGCACAACGTAAAGCAGTACCTCTTTAGGATATACCCAGAGTGCTTAACTGAATTTGAAAAGTGGATGGGTAGGGGGAGATATAACAATGTCTGAGAAATGGTTCCATCTTCCTCAAAATAATAACACTGTGCAGTATGATGAGCACTGAAATAATAGAGACCCTATGACAATTTTTAATTTCTTAATGGGTCAAAATAACATATTGGATAAATGAGAATCATATATTTTTTTGAAGCTCTAACCTCACTTAGCAAATAGATTCATTATCTTCCCTTTGGGAAAACATCCCTAGTGTAGCCAACATGTATCCAAATAGATTGATTTGAAGTTTCTTTTCCTTTGTATTTATGAGCAAAGGTAATAGGTGACCATGAAACACCATTCTCCACCTGATAAATCCCCACATACTCCTACATCACTTTATGTGTCTCTATCTCTGGGCCCATCATACCACACTACAGTTATTACTCTGAGGAAGATGAGGCCATTTCTCAGACAGCATTATATTCTCCCCTATCTACCCAACTTCCAAGTTCAACAAATCATTCAGTATAATGCCTGGCAAATACTAAAGATTCAATAGTTACTCTTTTTAATTTGAGAGGTCATAGTGAAAAATTGTAATTTGCTTCCTCTCTTTCTATAAATAAAAGGAATTCGTGTTCATTGATAATGACCAAGGGTAATTTTATAAAATACCTCTTTCATACCAGGAACAATGGAAATTAAACCTCTTTCAGCTAACATAAAAACCATTTGCATGGAAATTCTTGAGCAAAAGCATTTATTCTCAAAGAAAATTGGGACTGGAGGAGTATGGGACAAGGAAGAATAACAGTGTTATACACACACATACATACACATCATCATCATCATACTGTAATATTAGGCTTATATTAATTTCAAGAAAACCTCAAAAAGAAAAAGAGAAAAAAGATGCAAAAGGTCAGTGTGAGCCAGAAGTGAAGGAAAAGAAGGAAGCAGCCCTCACATCCACCTGGCCTTAGGGAACGGGACCCAAGAGTACTGTGCTGGGTTAATAATCACAGTTTTTTAGTACCATCCAATAGACTGCCTGACTGAGTCACTGTCTAGACAGAGCAGAGATAGCAGCAAGGAAGACAGGCTAAAGTGCAAGCACAGAGAATCACTGTGCTTTTGCTCACTGTTGTTAGTGGACTGCTGTATCACGCTTTTGACTTGCACCATCTGTTTACGGCACTTAGAAATGGTCCCTCTATTTGCAACTCCCTTTCTTTTATGTAAATGAAGAAACAGTCTCGAGGAGCAAAAACCATTTTCCTTTCAAGTCTAAAAACAAGTAAATAGTACCTTGAATTTGTATGGCTGTGCAGTTCTAATGAACTGCGAGTGCAACGTACTTTCTGCAGACTCATTTCTATTTCCTGAGGAGCGTCTCCGGTGCTGGGAAAGGTTTTGAACAGAGCTGGTCACTCTCTGGCACATGTTATTATTTTATTTTTAAAATAAGACAAAAGGAGGGGAGACGATTATACTGGTTTATTTCTAGACAATAACGAAAACCAAATATAATGTTGTATCCTACCAAATATTCATGCCTCTGTCTCTCATCCATGATTAGCACCCAACAAGAGCCTCTAATGATCTCCCTCCCTTGTGCATTTTGTTAGTTCCTAACATCTGAGAGAACACACTCTTTTGTTCCCTATTATAAAACTGCATTCCTTCACTAAGTGGAAATTCCATTAGAATGAATGGATGTTCTCTAGGGAACAAGTTCAGAATAGGCAATAAAGATTTACAATTCTGATAAGAAAAAACATTCACAGCAGCTCCAAGGTTAAGGTTAAGTCAGAGAGTTATGGAATTTCTCAGGTCCTAAGTAATATCTCCACTGGAACTCCAGTGGCTAGGCCCAGAACGACACAACTCACTGTCATTAGCTGAGGTTTTCATCAATGAGAAACAAAAACAAAAGGGACTAACATAAAATATGATAAAACCCATAGGTTTTGTTTTTTAAATTTCATTAATTTCTTTTTTCTTTTTTTATTTATATCTCATTTTCTGGGGATACTAATTTATATTTTTAGAGATGGGGTCTCACTGTTGCCCAGGTTGGCCCCAAATTCCTGGGCTCAAGCAATTCCCCTGCCTCAGCCTCCCAAAGTCCTGGGATTACAGGCATGAGCCACCATGCCCAACTGAAACCACAGCCTTTGAACTGCTTTATTTAAGTTTCTGTTTTGTTGATAAAAATTAAACATAGAAATGATGAGGTGAAGACTTTTTAAAGGTAACACCCAAATTATTATTATTATTGTAATATAGAATTAACAGTGTCATTATAGTAATTATCATAATTGTTACTAACAATTACTCTACACCCTCTATGTACCAGGAACATGGATTTAAAAAATATATTATTTTATTTAATCCTTCTGACAAATTTATTAAAGGGGCATTACAATTCCCATGTACAGTTGAAGAAACATGCACAGACAAGTTAAGTTTATTGTTCAAGATTACACAGCTACTCATGAGCAAAACTAGGATGCAATCCCAGCCAGATCTCTCTGACTCCAAAATCATGTGCTTTTAACTACTACAGTCTAGTTTAATATGACGCACAATAAACTCTGCACTCCACTGTTAGACAAAGAAATGAGTGAGTTCATACTGGCAGGCCATTTAAAGAAAGGGTACTAAGGGAACTTCCCTAGCAAGCTCCACAGGGGGCTGCACCAAGGCCATAGTCAGTCTTCCTTCTTGCCACTGGGAACCTCACAGCAATGTCTATTCTGTTTAAATGAAGTAGCTGATACCTCCTAAAGTGTATCCTTATGCCTTTGAAATCTTAATAAAGAACATTCTTCTGTGTCAGATTGGGTTTCCTGTTTTGTTTCTTCATTTCTGAAAGCCAAGCTGGGCTTTCAGGTCACTTGACTCTTTATAAGGTTCCTATGTAGCTTGATATTCTAGGCTGTTTATGGGATCTGACCCCAAACTGTCTTTCCAGTCTCCTCCCTTAAAAGCATATGACATGGCCAGGCATGGTGGCTCATGCCTGTAACCCCAGAACTCTGGGAGGCTGAGGCGGGTGGATCATGAGGTTGAGATTGAAACCAGCCTGGCCAACATGGTGAAAAACAAAAATTAGTTGGGCCTAATGGCGAGCACCTGTAGTCCCAGCTACTTGGGAGGCTGAGGCAGTAGAATTGCTTGAACTTGGGAGGCGGAGGTTGCAGTGAGCAGAGATCGTGTCACTGCACTCCAGACTGGTGACAGAGCAAGACTCCATCTCAAAAAAAAAAAAAAATGACATTTATTCTTCAGCAAAAAAGGTCTTGTCACTGCAGAAACATATTGGAATATCCAAAGGCTGTGCCCTTTACTGCTCCTTCTCTTCTCTCAACAAAAATACCCAAAACTAAATTTTCTGGCCTCCCCTCATCTTCTAATAAGAATTAGTCTCCTCGGGTTGCTAATCTATAATGGCAATTTCAAGAAATAGGCAATGTTTCCTCTGCTAACCACTAACCAACAATTCTAATTTTACATTCCTAGACTCTCAAAACTATAATGGAAAATACAATACGTACCACTTGTATTTTTAAGGACATACTACATGCATCTGTCAATATAATCACTACATGCTCATACCAAGTGTGTTATCTCCAGGCTATAGGCTATGATAAGTTTACATATCTAATCTGATTAAGCTTCTGATATCAATATTTTCAGAAGAAAAAGAAAGAAAAGAAAAAAAAAGAATTGGTCATCTCTGCCTCTAACTTGCCTCATCACATTACTTCTAGGTCACTATAGCATTTATTATGCACTGTTTTGTATTATGGCTAATTATTCATAAATCTGTTTCTTCAAAGAGTTTCTAAACTTCTGAACCTTATGCATCCCGAGCCAACACTGCAACACATAGGACAGTACTTCACATACAAAAGATAACAAATGCCCATAAATAACATGCCCGTTTTAGAAGCTATTTTTATCTGAACTTCCCAAGCTATTTTTCTAGAACAACAATTCCAAATTACTCGTAATTTTACTTGGGCACTTTTCAATTACTCTACCTTATGTTTTCTGTAGAGGTTGTTGTAGAGGGCTCTGAAATGTTTTCTAGTGTAGCTGCTGCGATATGCTCTACCAATGAGGTATTCTACTACCAATCCAATGTCAATCAAGGTTATTCGGTAGCCTGAGAGAAGAGTATGCTGCAACCAAAACATGCAATGATTTTTAACTTTCAGTTGACTTCTTCCATTTCTCTTGCCACACCATTAGAATATAATCAAATTAATTGCAAAGAGCTAGACACACCTTTTAAATATCTTTACAAGCTGATCGATTTAAATGACTAGCTATTGATATAATCTGCTAGTTCAGAAGGAAAAATATCTTGGCCTTAATACATTTTTTCATGTCATAGACATTAAATGTGTGCTTACATCTATGCATGTTCTCTCTCATTCTCACTCTCATCCTCCTAATCATGCACACAAACACATAAACACACACATTTGAGTAAAATATATTTAAATATTGGTTTTATTCCATATTGGGTTCCTAAATGGAAGCAAGAGAAAAATATTAAACAAGTAGAAATTACAAACAAATATGTATATAGAGTTTTTAACTAGAAATAATATAGCTACTCCAACAGAAGTAAAATCATAAAGTATATACTGAACGTGTACGATCCAAAATTAACATTGGGTTAGCTTTTCGGCTTCCCTTTGTTGAAATGGATATAACATTTTGCACTGTGTTGACTACATCAGATGTAAAACAAGAACATGGAAGGAAGTAGAACAAAAACAAGGACTGTAGAATGACAGAGTCAAATTCGATATCAGAACATGAGGCTAATGCCACCAGGTTCTTCCTTGAACTGAACTTAATCCAGGATAGAGTATAGTGTTTTCTATATTTCAAAGCATATTTGGTGGTCTTTGTATCTATAATCCACTTTTCCTACGGTCCAAAATCCCACAGGATATATCACAAGGGTACTGAAGTTGTCAGCTTTCATGTCTATCTTCCTTTATAGACTGTGTGGAAGGGTCTGTCTTTGTCTACCTAGCATTTAGCATATGACTCAGCACTTGGCCAAGATGAGTAACTCTCTGAAACTACATACAGGCATACCTTAGAGATACTGGGTGCAGGCTGGACCACCACAGTAAGGGGAATATTGCAATAAAGCCAAACAAACAAACAAAACCGTAAGGCTGTGCCAAGACAAGTGTTACGGCTGGTTGGCAGGAGGGCTGAATGGCAAATTTCCAAGTATGTGGGTCTTAGTCTAAATGAAAATTACTTTGACTCCTTTAATTGCACTTTACTACCTCTTCATAACTGTTCACTTCTGAACTGTTCATTCATAGTAAATTGTTAAAGGCACACAGAGTGTTGAAAAGGGTCTCTGAAATGAAGATTGTGACTAATGTTCACAAAGCATGGAACAAGAAATACGGTTGTATATGTATGAATGTAAATAATTTAATTTTTCTTTTTCACATTCATAATTTACTTTTTTCAAGGAATGCCCAAAGTAATGCTCTTATTGCTCCTAGTTAGAACATATTTAACCTAATTTATTGCTTTTTTTCAGTTTACTGTGGCAGAGTTTAAAAAAAAAATTAAAGATATCATTTTCATATTGCATAAATCAATACAAACTAAATTTACATGGGCATGGACACTTTTGTTTACTGCTAATCTGCCAAGAAATAGGACGCCCATAATCTCAACACTTTGGGAGGCTGAGGCAGGTGGATCACCTAATGTTAGGAGTTTGAGACCAGCCTGGCCAACATAATGAAACCCCATCTCTACCAAAAATACAAAAAATTAGCCAGGCATGGTGGCATACACATGCAATCCCAGCTACTCAGGAAACTGAAGCAGGAAAACATCTTGAACCAGGGAGGCAGAGGTTGCAGTGAGCTGAGATCATGCTATTGTATTCCAGCCTGGGCAACAAGAGAAAAACCCATCTCAAAAAAAAATAAAATTCCTTTCACTCTGACTTTCCTGCCACATCAACATAACTTGAAAGCTTACTTTCTTTCTAAAAAGAGAATCAAACTTCAGGCCAGGCACCATGGTTCACACATGTCATCCCAGCACTTGGGGAGGCCGAGCCAGGTGGATCACCTGAGGTCAGGAATTCAAGACCAGCCTGGCCAACATGGTGAAATCCCATCTCTACTAAAAATACAAAAATTAGCCAGGCCTGGTGGCAGGTGCCTATAATCTCAGCTACATGAGAAGCTGAGGCAGAAGAATCGATTGAACCTGGGAGGCAGAGGTTGCAGCAAGCCGAGATCACGCCACTGCACACTCCAGCCTGGGCAACAGAGTGAGACTCCATCTAAAAAAAAAAAGAAAAAAAAGATACCTAACTTCAAACTTCGAAAAAATAAAGAATTTTTTAAATGTGCCTTGGATGGATTTTAACCATAGTGACAAATAAAAAGTACTCCCAGTTTTCAGGGGATGTGAATAGAAGTTATCGGTAATTTAAAATTTTTTCTTTTTTACTTTTTTTATTCTTTTTTCTGCTGTGAAGAATATGAAAGTCACTGGTAATTAAAAGAGAAGAAACTGAGGTATAAAAGCTTGTTAAAGTTGGAAAGTCTTGGTAACTAATGGGGGATCAAATAATTTTATTTTAGGTTTAACCTAACTCACAGTTCAGTGAGAACACCATGAGCAAAACATGAGCAAGAGTATAGAAGAGGGAGGGAAGCCACCTGCCTGCCTAGAACAATGCTAACACACAGACTCATAGAAGCAGCAAGGCAGTGCCAGAACTGTCACTGATATCCTAAACAATAATAACAAAAACAATGGAAATCACGTATTAGTCCTCCAATAAAGATAACATAACCACATAGTTCTTTATTTCCAGCTGGTATCATCATCATAGACACCACCGTTGTATCATGTTAAGCTGAAGTTCTGATTAGAAGCGTTATATTTCTCTGATTCATGGCTTTTTATTAGCTAATATCACCTAACTGGTGGATAAAGTCTTTTAAAATATAAAGTAAATTAAGAAAAAAGTGTAAGAGTGTGGTTTGTTGATGAAATTATTCAGATCACAGGTAAAGAAGATAGGTAATTAATCAAACAATCCAAATCTGCATTTTATGAAGCAAATTTAGTGACTCCTCCAACGCAAAGCTAAGCCAATATACAAAGATACGTTCACACCTTTTTAATTAGGTTACCTGTTTCACATCTTGGACGAGATGATGCAGGAGTGTATTAGTAGGTCCTTGTTTCTGTAATAAAGAATAAAGGAAGAATTGTTCTCTTGAATTACCATGTGCTGGGGGTAAAATCTTTATTTCAGAATGCATAAGTAAGGCAGGATACTGAAAATTTTGTTCAACACTTTTAGTAATGAAACTTAAGCCAATTAATTCTAAAGAAGGTATTTTCCAAGAGAAGATGTAATTATACGAAATATTTTTCAAAGCAAGATGCAAATATGTAGATATTAAGACTTTATGTGATGAGACAAATTAATCCTAGGTAATTTATTACTATCCTTTATCATACGATTACAAATCCTATCACATGAGCACATTTCATCAACAGACATTTATTGAAAACTTACTATGTTCAATCAGGGATTCAATGACAAATATAAGCACTATTTTCCTGTTTTCCTGGAGTGTTTATAATTATAGATAAGAGTGGCTGGCTACTTACACTAAAAAATAACCAACAATACGTGTGGGTTCAAAAAGAGTTACCAATGTATGCTAAGAACAAATTACTGTGAACTAACAATAGTAATCAAGAAGATAAGACATGAATAAATCGTTGAAAAAAAGAATAATATTTAAAGGACAAGGAAGGCTTTTTCAAGAAGTGTTCATGGCTTGAGCAATTGGTGTTTTCACAGTGCGTAAGCCAGGCTAGTTTCAAAAGGGTTTACATGGGAAAGGTACAGGAACAATATTTTCATAGCGGCCTTAGGTTGAGATACTTCTAATAACTCAATAAAAAGCAATTTGTTCTAATTAACATTTTAGTCTTTATGTTTTTACTAGGATAAAATAGAATTGATAAGAATGTTTCTCCTTTGGTTGAAAAGTCTGTGTATCTATAAACTACCTTTGCAAAAGAACATGCAAGGAGATAAATAAGACTTAAGCTGATCAATAAATAATTACCAGGCAAGATGTCAGAGCCCTGGCAATGGAAAGTTACTAGCTTGCAGGTAGTAAGAAGAATTTACTGACAATAGTATAGGTTTTTAATAAGAAAAGTTTTATTAGAAAGAAAGAATGCTGGAGAAGAGTAGAGCAGGGTGCTTCAGCAAGAGAGAACTGAGCTCACAGTGGAGGATTTTCCTCAGGAGTTTTACGGACCTTAAAGCAGGAGCTTAAGGGTAATTTGAACCACATTAGCCACATGGTCCATAATAAATGATTGCATTTGTAGCCATTCTGGTGCCTTAATCTCAGGAAGTGTTCCACAATCAGTTTTAATATGCATGCATTTTGAGGATGTATAGAAATTCTAGTTACTTATAAACGTTGAGAAAAGAAGCCTGGAACTAGATCCCAGCTTTAGATAACAGGGAAGTCTAATTACTTTTAAATTTCTCAGATAAGGAGTTTTGCCTCTGTATGGTCTACTTGATGATCTTTCCTCTTCTCGAATCTGAAGGGAAATGACTGATGAAATGTTCCGTACTCACTGTATTGTAGAGTTCTTCCAGTCGAGGGATGGTAAGAAAGCGATGGAGGTTCACTCCATATTCTATTAAGAGCTTCACAAAATCCACTCTATCCATCACTAAAGCATCTAACATTGCTTGTTCCAGGGCACCAGGCTTTAGAAAGTATAAATAAGAAATATAAACACAATTAAGAAAGTAGAAAAAACTAAAGAATTACATGTTTTTAACTCAAAACTATACAGACACAATAATTTTAAAATAAAGTCCTGCCATCAGTGGGTACAGGAAAAAAAGAGAAAAAAACCTTTAAATACAGTCTTACTAGGCCAGCCACAGGGGCTCACACCTAGCACTCTTGCAAGCCGAGGAAGGTGAACTGTTTGAGTTCAGGTGCTCCAGACCAGCCTCGGCAACATGGGAAAACCCCATCTCTACAAAAAAATACAAAAATTAGCCAGGCACAGTGGCATGCACCTGTGGTCCCAGATAATTGGGAGGCTGAGGTGGGAGGATCAATTGAGCCCAGAAGGTCTGTAGTGAATACTCCATGAATACTCCACTACACTCCAGCCTGAGCAACAGGACGAGATCCTGTCTTAGATACTGACGATAGACAGACAGATAGATAGACAGATAGACAGTCTTACTAAGAAATGTGTAGAATTTAAGTGAAGACATCTTGAATAAATTAAAAAAAAATCCTATATACATGGATGGGAAAACTTGTGGGTAATCCCCCATATAGGTACCGAGGAAGGATAGCTAAGCAGAACCCTGGCACCCTACATATATATATAATAATATCTTAGTTCATAATTGGAGGAGTGCCTAAGTAGACACAGTACAGAGCATGAATTAGGGAATAAGCAGCTTATAATAGGAGGAATGCCTAGAGCAGACACAGTGCAGAGCATGATTTAAGGGAAAAATGGTTACACCAGGACAAGAATCCATGGCCCAGGCGGCAGTGTTCAGTATCATAAAGATACCCACTGTATGGCAGGCTTGGGGCGAGAGACACTCCTCCTGATAAAGGAGTTGTAGGACCTTGCTCCAGTTCTTGTGGAGGGCTGCCCTCAAAACGGCAATCCACCTTGGTGACTGTGAACTTTATCAGCTCTTGTTACCATGTTGCTGAAGAAGGATTCCCCTATAGAACTCATTGGAAGCTGCCAGCAGCTGGCATAGACCTTGACAGCTCTGTCACTGCTATGTGACTTAAAGCAACCTCCTATAAATCTTAGTAGCTTGCCCATAGATAGAAGTATTACACATGGCACCCTCTTCACTACACACGGCCCACCTCCATGCCTCGGTGACCTAATGGGAATGGACCCCTTGTTGTGCACTGTCCACTTTGCAGCATAGGTAACCTAATGGGGGTGGACCCCTTGTTTTATTGCTCATGACCCTAAAGATCCTTAAAGATGACTTCACTTACTGCCCTGCCTCCAAACCTATACACAATAAATACACTTCTGGACATTCCGTGCCTCGCCTGACTCCACCCATAGGTGGCACAGTCCCCTAGCCTAGTGGCATTTTCCTTATACTTCAGAGTCCTCTTTATTTCTCAGATCCTGCACCTCAGCACAGCATAAGGGACACTTCACGACCCTGTGGGCCATCATCCCTACAAAAACTGATTATTGTAAAGATCTCAAAGATTCCCAAATGAATGTACAGGCTTAATGCAATTCTGATAGAAATTCAAGCTTTTTTTCTTCTTCTCTTTGTTTTTGTTACTTGCCATGTTTCCATTTAAACTCTACCTGGCTTCTGGGTACAAATGGCAAGTTGAACACACTCATCTAATTTTTCTCCCACTCAAAACTTAATTAAAACTATACAAAGGGATTTTTTGTTAAGAAATAAATCTACAAGGACAATGAGAACTAGAGAGGAGACAAGAATGCAACACTTTGGAAGCTGGAAAGCAGATGGTCAAATCAGAATTGACTTAGCAGTCCCCAGAAAGCCAAATAGTTGAAGTGGAAAATATCAAGAGCCAAACAGATTTATACTACAGAATTCCAACAGCAACAAAATCAATGTACACATGCCTAATCCCTAATGTTGGGGTCTTTCTGGGCATCTTTCCCCTTTGATTCCCATAATACTAGCAACAAGGCTTATATCTTCCAGTCAGGGAATCAGAGGATTCTTTTCTGTTAATGTCACCAATACAAGATAAAAGACATGAATATGTTGGTATCTGGGGGTCCCTGAACTCATGACAGGCAGATCACTGTTGAGTTTGTGAAACTCAAACCTCTAGGCAAGTTCCAACTGCAGGCTTGGCATTTCCAAAGAGTTTTTTTATCCCCTACCTTTATCCTTAAAACGGTAAAAGAAGATATTGTATCCTGGGCCGGGTGTAGTGGCTCACGTCTGAAATCCCAGCACTTTGGGAAGCTAAGGTGAGCAGATCACCTGAGGTCAGGAGTTTGAAAGCAGCCTGGCCAACATGGTGAAACCCCATCTCTACTAAAAATACAAAAATTAGCCGGATGTGGTGCCAGGAACCTGTAATCCCAGCTACTTGGGAAGCTGAGGCAGGAGAATTGCTTGAATCTGGGAGGTAGAAGTTGCAATGAGCCAAGATTGTGCCACTGCATTCCAGCCTGGGCCACAGAGCAAGACTCCATCTCAAAAAAAAAAAAAAAGAAGAAGATACTGGATTCTGGATACTAATGAAAAAGATGCAGAAGGGTACAATCAGGGAGCAAATTTGCTCTCACAAATTAATAGCCTGCCAGGCACAGAGTGACAAACTTACATGTGTTCACTCATTTGTGGGAGCTGAAAATTAAACAACTGAATTCATGGAGATAGAGAGCAGAAGGATGGTTACCAGAGGCTGGGCAGAGTAGTGACGGGGGTAAGGGGGATAATTCATGAGTACCAAAAAATAGTTAGAAAGAATGAATAAGACCTAGTATTTGATAGCACAACAGAATGACTATAGTCAATATTAATTTAATTGTACATCTAAAATAATTAAAGATTATAATTGGATTGTTTGTAACACAAAAGATAAAGGCTCGAGGGGATGGATACCTCACCTTGATGTGATTAGTACACACTGTATGCCGGTATCAAAATAGCCCTGATACCCCATAAATACATATGCCCATGTACCCACAAAAAATAAAAACTAAAAAAAAAGAAGAAATTAAGAGACTCATAGTATGCTACCAGAAAAGAACGCTTGAAAATTAAAGTTGAGGCCAGCTATAGTGGCTCAGCCTATAATCCCAGCACTTTGGGAGGCTGAGGTAAGTGTTGCAAACCCTCTTCTAAAAATACAAAAATTGGCCTGGCGTAGTGGCACATGCCTGTAGTCCCAGCTACTCAGGAGGCTGAGGTGGGAGGACTGCTTGTGCATGGGAGGCAGAGGTTGCCTTGAGCCAAGATCACACCACTGCATTCCAGCCTGGGTGACAGAGTAAAAACCTATCTCAAAATTTAATTAATTAATTAAAATTTAAAAAATAAAGTCAAGCAAAGCTACAAAAGAAACAATAGGGAACATGGGAGGAAAAAGACAAGAACAGCAGAGGAGCAGTCCATAAGGTCCAACACTCAAATAGTAGGAATTACAAAAGAGAACAAAGGGTGGTGTTATGGAAAGCAATAAAAACATGTGATTGCCAAGTTGAAATCATGTGCCCAACAAAATGGACACACAGACTCACCACAACACACATCACAACACTGGAAAAGAAAGATTTTTTTTTTAACTTTCAGAGAGGAAAAAAAAAATGGTGACCAAGAATCTGAAAACAAAAAAAGTGCTTACTTCTCAATAGTGATACTGGGTGCTGGAAGCTAAGCATTCAAATTTCTGTAGTATAATTAGTTTTCAATCATGAATTAAAATATAGCCAAACATGTAAGTCCTCAAAATATCTATCTCTCATATCCCCTTTCTCAGGAACTTACTGAAAGATGTGCACCATCAAAATAAATGAGTAAGTAAAGAAAGAGGAAGATGGCGGCATAGAAGACATGCCCTCTAACCCGAGAAAGAGGCAAGGGAGTACACAGATGATGAGGGCGTATCTGCATCCGGCATGACAGCTGCACACCAGGCAACCAGTCCACATTGCAGCCATAAGGCCCACAAGACAGAAGTGCTGGAAAACTTCCAAAACTCATGAACCAAAATACAGCAATATGACATTATTTAGAAGTATGAAAATTTGCTGGATGTGGTGGCTCATGCTTGTAATCCCAGCACTTTGGGAGACCAAGGCAGGTGGATCACAAGGTCAGGAGTTTGAGATCAGCCTGGCCAATATGGTGAGGTATCATCTGTACTAAAAATACAAAGATTAGCTGGGCGTGGTGGTGGTGCCTGCAGTCCCAGCTACCTAGGAGGCTAAGGCAGGAGAATCATTTGAAACCAGGAGGGGGAGGTTGCAGTGAGCCGAGATGGCGTCACTGCACTCCAGCCTGGGTGACAGAGCAAGACTCAGTTTAAAAACAAAAAAAAAGAAAAGAAAGAAAGAAATATGGAGATTATAAGTGTTAGGAGAACCAAAAACGTCTTAAATACTAGCTCTTGTGAAATTAGCAGGGCAGAGAACTACCATCTTTTTAAACTGCCTTTTAATATCATTCGATATTTTAAACAATGTGCATGTATTATATTAGCTTGACCCAAAAATAATACACCTGTATTATAGCCACAACTGTAATTTTTTAAATGAAATGTTAATACTGATTATCATCAGCATTATGGGTAATCTTTCTTCTCTTTTATGTTTTCACTAATTTCTAATGTGAGCACTTACTACCTTTTAAAGCAAAAGTAAGCTTTGAGTTTTAAATAACGAGATAAAACTCTACCTAAAAATAAATTCAAAATCATATGCTGCACACAGTGGCTCACGCCTGTAATCCCAGCACTTTGGGAGACCAAGGTAGCAGGATCATTTGAGGCTAGGAGTTCAAGACCAGCCTGGTCAATATAGCAAGTTGTCTCTAAAAATCAAATAAAATACATTTTCCAGAGAAATTATCTGGGCATGGTAGCATGCACCTGTGGTCCCAGCTACTCAGGAGGCTAAGGTGGGAGGATGACCTGACCTCAGGAGTTCAGTTAGAGTGAGCTATGATCTCACCATTGCACACCATCCTGGACAACAGAGTGAGATTTGGTGTCTAAAAATAAAATAACATAAATAAAATAAAATACAAAACCTGCCATTCTGTCTTTCCCTCAACTTCTCTTTTCAGCTTCAGTTAGATCGCAGAGCCAGAAGAAAACAAAGAAAAAAAAATGTTCCCAGGAAGGTAAAGTCGATGGGATAAGTGTCTTAGCTATCCCAGCTACAGAGATGCTACCCCACACTTTTACCAAAGCAATCTATATCTCCTCTTATTTTCTCTTTTGCCCCTTCCTAACAGATCATCACACAAAATATGTTTCCAAATAACTTCATTTTCACTATACCTTCCAGTGTTGTCCATAAATTAGGATATGTTTCTTGGCAATGTCCACTCTGTCCCAAGCCATTGCCAGATTTAATTGCTCTGACGATGATAAATTTGTGCCTAGGATAAAAGAAAGGAGCAATCATATATTCTTTTCAAAACATCTGCACCAGAAGCACAAAGTACTGTGGAACATGAGAAGCGGAAGTGAGGAACAATTGCAACCCCATCCAGATACTCACCCTTCAGCAAAGCTGTGAGGACTGCTAAGTCAAGGTCTTGCTGCTCTTCAGAGTCAGCATCAAATATGCTAATCTACAACAGTGAAAAACAGAGAGCAATACATTTGGGGAACTACCAAATAAATGCTTTCAAAGAGCACCCACAAAATTCAGATTGGAGCTAATGAATTAAGGAAAACATTCTTAAAACCTTTTTTTTTTACTTGAAGAGAAAATTTTTAAATAGGGTAATAAAGAATTGTGAGCACTTGGGGGGAATAAAACCTAAAAATTCCACATATACAGAGGAAACATTTATGAAAGAATGTTATTACGTTAATTTACTATGTACACACTACAACAGAAAGAACCTCAATGTTAATTTCTAATGTAAATAAAATGATTTCTCCTTTCAAAGAGATAACAAATGAAATCCTCCATTCACCTAGCCTGGGAAACTAAGACTTTTGCTTTTTTTTCTCTTTTCTTAATTTTTGTAGAGATAAGGTCTCACTACATTGCCCAAGCTGGACTTGAACTACCGGGCTCAGGTGATCCTCCTGCCTCAGTCTCGCAAAGTGGTGGGATTACAGTTGAGTCACCACACCCAACCAGACTGGCTTTTTAATGAGAAATATATTTTCAAGGGTTTGTAATAAAATAAGTGAAGTAATCACAGCGCACCCAATGAGAAGTATCCTGGGCAACACGGAAGGTCTTTAACTTTTTTCAAGACAAGTAAGTTCATTACTGATGGTTCTAAAGGGTCACCTGGGGGCCTTTTGAGTGTTTGCTCACTCACTCCCACCAAGTGGAGTATGCTTTCATTTTCAATAAATCTCTGCTTTTTTTGCTTCAAAGAAAAGGAGGAAGTCACCTGCTATTAATGACTATATCTCAGTCTTTTCAAATGAAAATACATTTCATATAGTTGATGGAGCCATTTTAATGAAAAAGCCAAGACTAGCAAGACCTGGTTCCAAGTATGCCAAAAACAAGCCAGCCCAAGGTAAATATCGTAAGGCTACTGAACCTCAGGTTCCTCTTCCATAAAATGAGAGGACCCTGCTGAATAATCTCTAAGGCCTCATACAGATAAAAAACTATGCTTCTACCACTTTACATGTTTCCTTTCACCTGACATGCCCGCTATGCGCATCAATAAATTCAACCCTCACGTGTACGACCTACTTCCTAGCATCTGCAAGCCCTTTACTGCCTTCTCTTGCCCCCTCTGGATCATTACATTGCTCAATAATTATTCTGCTTGATGGCAGGAAGAGGCAAACACAAGGGCAATCTCTTTAACATGTCCTTTTCTTAACTTACTGATTACTATGGCAAATACAAAGTGTAGTAGACTAAGAAGATTTCAACTCTGAGCTCAAGTTTCAGATCCATTGTTTCTTTTTTTGTTGTTTTGATTTTTGAGTCAGGGTTTCACTTTTGTTGCCCAGTCTGGAGTACAATGGTGCAACCTCAGCTTACTGCAATCTCCGCCTCCCAGGTTCAAGTGATTCTCCTGCCTAAGCCTCCCGAGTAGCTGGGATCATAGGCACCCGCCACCACACCTGCCTAATTTCTGTATTTTTAGTAGAGACGGGTTTCACCATGTTGGCCAGGCTGGTCTCAAACTCCTGACCTCAGGTGATCTACCCCCACCGGCCTCCCAAAGTGCTGGGATTATATGCATGAGCCACCACACTCAGCCAAATCTATCATTTCTTACTGCATGACCACAGATCCCTTAAATTCTCTAGCCTTCTGCTTCATCATTTCAAAAGTGGAAATAAACAACTACTGCCCCATTAAACTTGCTCACGGGGCTATTTCAGATGAAAAGAATATATTTAGAAGCACACTGCTAATTGTAAACATGGTTGCTATTATGTTGTTATTGGGCCAATAAAATTTCAAAGAGTTTTTCATATATATTTTGTCATGCTTCCTCTAGCCAAAACATTTCAGTTAGTTTTTATGAGGCCAAGTACTTAAATATTACCAAAATTCTTATACAACTGGGTCTAGCCTACAGATTCTAGAAAGATCACCTTGAATAATGACATATCTGCATATTTACTGTAATTGTCAGCTTCATATTATCATCTGAGTCATTGGCATGAATTGATAGATAATTCAGGCTGGGTGTGGTGGGTCATGCCTCTAATTCAGCACTTAGGGAGGCTGACACAGGTGGATTGCTTGAGAACAGGAGTTTGAGACCAGCCTGGCCAATACGGTAAAACCCCATTTCTACCAAAAAATAAAAAAAAATTAGCTGGGCGTGGTAGCGTGTGCCTGTAGTCCCAGCTACTAGGGAAGCTGAGGCACGAGAACGTCTTGAACCTGGGAGGTAGAGGTTACAGTAAGCCAAGATCGCACCATTGAACTCCAGCCTGGGTGACAGAATGAGATGCTGTCTAAAAAAAAAAAAAAGAAAAGAATTGATAATTCATATCACCCAAGTCATTTTGACCATAGGCTGGATATGGTGGCTCATGCTTATAATCCCAGAACTTTGGGAGGCCAAGGCAAGAGGATCACTTGAGCCCAGGAATTCAAGGCTGCAGTGAGCTATGACTGTACCACTGCACTCCAGCCTAGGCAAAAGAGCAAAACTCTGTCTTTACCAAATAAATTAATTAATTAAGCTAATTAAGTTTTTTATCACAGTACCCTAAAACACTAAAAACTTTTCCTGAGTGTACATTCTGGTCATAGCCCATAGTTTTTGGGCTCCATTTTTATTCCAGAGTTTATTCTCACTTTTCCCTTGTCTAATACATTCCCAATGATTTCCTGCAAGATTTACTCAGGATGCTGTGATGCAGTCGTGTAACTCAGCACCATGAAGCTATGTTCATTGAAGACACAGAGCTGTTCCCTTACCCTCTAAAAATACTTCAGTATAATTTTCATTAAATTTTATAACTTTTCTGGAACACTGTTATACTATTGTACTCTGTAGTCTTGAATTTGAAGCATGAACGGTGAGGACAGCAGTGACAGTAAGAAGCCAAGTTTACTCAACTAAGAATCAAATTCTATAGAGCTAGATACACTCAAAATCAGAATTTTAAAAATCCATTTTTTATTTTTAATTATTTTTAATTTTCTTAAAATTTTATTTTAAGTTCTGGGGTACATGTGTAGGATGTACAAGTTTGTTACCCAGGTAAACATATGTCATGGTGGTTTGCTGCACCTATCAACCCATCACCTAGGTATTAAGCCCTGCATGCATTAGCTATTTTTCCTGATTCTCTCCCTCCCCACTCCCCCTGACAGGTCCCTGTGTGTTGTTCCCCTTCCTGTGTCCATCATATTTTTTTAATTTTGTAAATAAATGTCATGTTTACAAATTATCAGTTCTTAATTAAATGTTGAATCATCAACTTGTTATACTCACACAATCCCTGTGAACCATACACTCCATTAGAATTTGGAAAAGGTGCTTGGACTCCTTAAGATTAAAGTTGAAAGTGTTCTGAATCATGCAGATGATTTCTTCTTTTACCTGAGGACGCAGCATCCTGGAGGATAAATAAATGGTCTTGACACAACCCAGAGAGGGGACTGAGCTGGCAACATCAGTACAAGAAAACACCCCATTGCTCCCCAGACTGAAAAGGTGTCTATGGACAGTTCTGCCAGGAGAGCAAATGAGGGGGGAACAAATGGAAGCAGAAGCTCAAGAAGAAGGCTGAATCTGAAAGTGAGAATGGAGCTGGGCATGGCTGTGTAATCCCAGCACCTTGGGAGGCCCAGGTGGAGGATCATTGAGGCCAGGAGCTCAAGGCCAGCCTGGGCAACATAGCAAGACCCTGTCTCTATTTTTACATTCATAAGAAGGAAGGAAGGACAGGAGGAAGGGAGGGAGGGAAAGAAAAAGACAATGGGCTGATCTGCCACACCCTGAAAAGAATATACTCTGAAGTGGAGTTCCGAAGCTGGTAGATTTCCAGAGGGTTGAGAATCTCCAGAAATTTTAAGTGTTATATTCTATAAAGGATCTGAAACTGCAAAAGGTTTAATAACCACAATTCCAGGATGATTTTAGAAAAGGGAGAGGAGTGAAAGCAGAGGGAGGTGGGAGAGGGTAGAAGTGGAGGCAGGAGGGATGAACACAGAGAGCGATTGCAAGCAAAGATACTCCAGAGAGCTGTTACAGCATAAGCAGCAAATGACTGTTTGCTAAGTAAATTAGTGAGGTCCACATTTTAGTTCTTAGGCACTGTACTTATTTATACAACAGAAATATACAACTTATTTATACAACATATTCTATGCAAATGTCAGGATATAGACTTCCCCAATTTCTGCCTAACAGCAAACGAATTTGAAGGTGCTCTGAGCCCAACACTGGCCACCTTCCTTACTGCAAGGTCCTTATGGCTGTAATGGCCAATTGCTCGAGCAACACCTCACTCACTCCCTCTGCAACCACCTCTTCCCAAAGTTCAGGCAAGACTGAAGCTTCCCTGTTAAAGGTAGGTCAATCTTCAGCTAAGAAAATAGCAACTCTCATCGCTGAAGGGCATTCTGATGTTAAACAACAAACACAAAGTCGCTGAGAAATGAAATCCAGTCTCAACTTCTATACTCCAAGAGTATCTGGCCCACATAAATGCACAGTCGAAAGAACTAAAATGGAAGGATAAATAGTCCCTATCCTTTCAAAAAAGAAGAGCCAACAACTCACCCTTCATCTGCCAGGTGTTTGTGTGTGAAGGCCAGGAGGTCAGCTGCCCTGCCTGTGCCCTCACACACCACCACCGGGTCCTTGTCCTTGACAGTCTCCCACACTGACAGGATGACGTTGGGACCGCCTTCCACCACCAGCCCCACCACAGGCACGCCTTGTCTTGAGCCTATTCCAGACCACAAATAATACCACACTGTTAGAGAATCCCTATCTCAGCCAGTCAGCCACTTTGACTTCCAGACAAGTCTCAATTACCATCATGTACATCCCTCACACTGGTTCCTCTCTCATTTTACCCAGGTTTGCTTAGATCGTGACCAAGCCAGAAACTTAGACTTCAAATAAAACGTGGCATAAATATGGTGAGAGCATCTTCAAGCTTTTACCAGGTAAAAAGGCTTTCAATATTTTTTAATAAGTATTCCTTAAGAAATTATAACTTTCTATTATGGGAAACTTCAAAAGTATCTAAAAGTAAACAGAATATAATGGATCCCAATGCTTTTATCACTCATCTCCAAAAATAAGTAACATTAACCAGTTCAATAAACGTTTTAATTATTACTTATTTATTTATTTATTTCATATAAGACAAGGTCTCACTCTGTCACCTAGGCTGGAGTGCAGTGGTGCAAACACAGCTCACTGCAGCCTTGACTTCCTGGGCTCAGACAATCCTCCTGTCTCAGCCTCCTGAGTAGATGGGACCACAAGTATGTACGACCACACACAGTTTTATTTTTTTAAGTTGTTTGTAGAGTTGGGGTCTCCCTGTGTTGCTCAAGCTGATATTAAGCTCCTGATCTCAAGTGATCTTCCTGCCTCGGCCTCCCAAAGTCCTGGGATTATAGGCGTGAGCCACCACACACAGCCTCTATAAACTTTTAATGGTGGTTATTTCTAGGAATGAGGTAGGAAGACAACTTGCATTTCCATTTATTTCATTTTTCTATTGTTTAAATTTTTTATCATGACTATATATTACCTTTTTATCTTGCAGACTACATGACCCAAGCATACATATAACACATACATATATACATAACTTTATTAAAGAAAGAACAAAAAGGAATAACTGCAGAGTTATTCTTTTAAAAAAGATGTAAGCAAAAAAGCATACAGAATAATATGCACAGTATTATCCTATGTGTATTTTAAAACCATATACATAGATACGCATTTTATATACATGTATGCACAAACCTGTATGTACGCATGCTATATAAATGACCAGTAAAATCTGGAAAAATATACATCACACTATGAACAGTGGAAAGAGAGGGGAAGGCTTAGGAAAATGTTGAAAAGGGACCTTGACTATTTATGCTACAGATTTCTTATTTGCTTTAAGTTTTCATACCACACATATATTGATATTTTATTTTATTTTTCAAAAGAAGAAAATTTGACAAGCAACACCACAGTCACCCTGAGCAAAAGAGGAGTTTACTCTGGGCCCGTTTTCAGGGGCCCACACTGGCCCTTCTCTGGCCACGCCCCTGCCCTGATGATGAGGCATCTACAAAGCCAGGAGTCAAGGGAAGCCAGTGCTCCCTCCCCAGCTTAATAGGATGCCCAAGAAACACCACGTTCTGGCTCAGTACTTACAAAATTCCAAGGTTTCCAAACTCAAGCCTGGCCTTCCTGCTATATGTGTGAATATAAAAGGCTAAGACATATTTTATACAGTTTGTCAGCTAAGATTTAAGGCATTTAAATATTTAGACATATAGTATGTGGTCTTCTGTGTGTACTCTGTGTCAGACTCTCAAATGTTAGGGGTGGGTCGGTTACCTAAAACTTCATTCTGTCAATTTAGTTGATTTGACATTCTACTTCTTTTCCATACACTTTCACCTCATCATTTTCTCCATATTGCTAAAAAGTATATCTATGATATACCAACATAGGGTTTCTCTAAATAGATAGTCTTATAAAAGCCAAATGAAGTGGTAAAAATAGTATAAGGCACAAAAGTAATAGAAGAAAATTTCAATTAATATTTTATTGATTTTGGAATAAAGATGCTTTTGTAAGAGAAATTTGTGTATCCTGTGTAATAAAATGTTATTCAGCCATTAAAATATACTAAATTATACTCATTGACATCTAAATATGACCATGTTTAGTGGGGCAGGGTAACAGTACAAAAGAAGCATTATGAAATCATCCCAGTTTTTGCTCAAAGTGGTGTGTGTGTGTGTGTGTGTGTGTGTGTGTCTCTGCATGTGTGTGTTGAAAATTTGTGAAAGTATACATATGAAAAGGTTAAGAATGGTAAGTTTTGATAGTGAGATTATGAAAAACTGTCCCATTCTTCTCTTATCTGCTTTCTTTGCGTTACCTGAATATGAAAGTATATAACACTTTTACCATTTGAAAACAAAATCAATATGGTCATTTTTATAAAAGAGGAAGATAATTCAATTTCTGTTATTAGGAACACTTGTCTTTTTTTTCTTTTTTTCTTTTTTTCTTTTTTTTTTTTTTTGATTGAGTCTCACTCTGTTGCCCAGACAAGAATGCAGTCGCACAATCACGGCTCATTGCAACCTCCACCTCCTGGGTTCAAGTGGCACGATCTTGGCTCACTGTAACCTCTGCCTTCTGGATTCAAGTGAGTCTCCTGCCTCAGCACCCTGAGTAGCTGGGATTACAGGCATGTGCCATCACACCCATCTCATCTTTGGTATTTTTAATAGAGACAGAATTACACCATTTTGGCCAGGCTGGTCTCAAATTCCTGGCCTCAGGTGATCCATCTGTGTTGGCCTCTCAAAGTGCTGGGATTACAGGCATGAGCCACCATGCCCAGCCCACTTTTTGTGAAGTAATAACTTATTCTTACAAAATCAAATATATCTATGGCTATTTTCTGCAAACAGTAACAACAACCACCTTACTAATACACTAATAAAAATTGGTTTAAAAAGAAAAAAATGTAAAATTCTTGCTGAGAAAAAAGCTTTCAGGGTGGGGGGGAATACAATGTTAGAACCCTGAATTAAAAGTTCCTAGAATAGCATTCCAGGAAAGGGCACTCTTCTGCCTTCAGGCTTGGATTATGCAAAAATACAGAGGCATCGTGCCCTATGTTTCCTACCTTGAAATTACATCCTTGGAGTCTTACAGAACATTGGCCACATTTCAAATGGCTGAAGGCAGGGATTCCTACAGCAACTGTATAATGTGAGGGGTTTTGTTTGTTTGTTTGTTTTGTTTTTTAAGTATTTTCTGCCAACAACAAGGGTTTTCCAGGGACAACAAGAAGACGGGCTGAAAAGCAATAAAATAAATCAACCACAGGCCTGGCACAGTGGCTCATGCCTATAATCCCAGCACTTTGGGAGGCCAAGGCAGCCTGGCCAACATGGTGAAACTCAGTCTCTACTAAAAATGCAAACAAATTAGCCAGGTGTGGTGGCGGACACCTGTAGTCCCAGCTACTCAGGAGGCTGGGGCAGGGGAATCGCTTGAACTCAGGATAGGGAGGTTGCAGTGAGCTGAGACGGCACCACTGCACTCTAGCCTGGGTGACACAGCAAGACTCAGTGTCAAGGAAAAAAAAAAAGAAAGAAAGGCAAATAAATCAACCACATATTTAAGTATTTTCATGCAATCATACATAAATCCCGGCTGGGTGCAGTGGCTCACACCTGTAATCCCAGCGCTTTGGGAGGCCAAGGCAGGAGGATCACAAGGTGAAGAGATCAAGAACATCCTGGCCAACATGGTGAAACTCCATTTCTACTAAAACACAAGAATTAGCTGGGTGTAGTGGTGTACACCTGTACCCCCAGCTACTCGGGAGGCTGAGGCAGGAGAATTGCTTGAACCTGGAAGACAGAGGTGACAGTGAGCCAAGATGTTGCCACTGCACTCCAGCCCAGCGCCTGGCAACAGAACAAGACTCTGTGTCAAAAAATAAATAAATAAATCCCCTTTTGATCATATCAACAACAAATACAAATATGGTAGCAAACCTTCCTCATGAGCATGTTAGGTATGAAGATCAGCTTTGATACATAAGAATTTCGAGTTTCTTGAGGGCATGTCTTCTCTTTCTTCTGTGTGTGTGTGTGTGTAGGTGGCTTATTTGTTTTTGCTATTTTTATATGGGTTCCCCTTAGAATAATAAATATCACCAGTCCACTGGAATTGACTCCACAGTCAGCAAAAGCCTCCAGATAAATCTTAGATTTCAAGGTCTTTGAAAGGAGAAAAATGTTATCTGCTGCTATAAGCGAGGTCAGGGTTGTTGCATTCATACTAAAATGAGGACACAGCAGGGAATAAGAAAGACAAAGACTCCTATGCCTCTCATGGGGCATACATTATAGTGCTACACAGACCCCAAGAAATTTAGGTAGTGGGTGAAGGTAAACAGAGGCAACAGAACATTTCAGGTAATATTTCAGGCTCCTAATGGACCCCTCTCTATATGGATTCTTCTTCAAGGTCCTTCTCTGACCTCTCTTCCTTCCCTCTGCTCTGCTGGTCTCCCTTCTCCCAGCCATTTCCACCCCGGAGAAGACCACATACCTGATCCTCTCTCCCCTCTTCTGACCTGCACATGCCTTAGAACCCTTATTCACACTAAGAGTTAAGTGAACGACAGCAACTGCCAGAGTCCCTCCCCACCCTCTCCTACCACACAACCATGAGAGGATCACTGCACCAAAAAAGGGAAAAAGGAAGGAAAGAAACAGATATTTATTAAAGATATATCGTGTACCTAACACGAGTCCAGACATTGCTAGTATACATCTTCTCAATTACTTCTCACAACCAACCTTAGAAGTAGATAGTTCTTTCCATTTTATAATAAGAAAACAGTTTGACAGATGTGAACTCCTTTGGCCAAGGTCACAGGCAAAAAATGACAGAGCTTCAATCTGTCTGACCTCATTACATTCTGCTGCTTCCAGGGATCAAGGCTAAAAACTAAATGGACTTCCAGCCTTTGATTTTTTCAGTTAACGCTCAAAGGCTGAAGAGCCTCCTAAAGGCATTCCCACTCCCTGGCCCTTTGTCCCAAAGAAGTATTTTGTGGAAGATTTAATTCGGCACAAGAGGCAGCGGTCCACTTTCTGGTGCCTTAAACCAAAAGTCTCCAATTTTCCAGGCAGCACTTAACCCTCCTGTTCCCTGTAAAGGATTCAAACTTCCCTGCCCAATGGCACATGCTGATTCTGGCCCTCCCTGTTCCTCTCCTTCCTCGAGATAAAACTACCTAAATGCCCTTCTTGAAGCACCTTCATGAGCATGACACAAACTTGACACTTTCCAAGGTCCCTATTTCTTTTTCTTTTTCTTTTTTTTTTTTTTTTTTTGAGACAGAGCCTCACTCTGTTGCCCAGGGTAAAGTGCAGTGGTGCGATCTTGGCTCAGCACAACCTCTGTCTCCTAGATTCAAGCAATTCTCCTGCCTCAGCCTCCTGAGTAGCTGGGATTATGGGCATGCACCACCATGCCTGGCTAATCTTTGGATATCTAGTAGAGACAAGGTTTCACCATGTTGGCCAGGCTGGTCTCGAACTCCTGACCTCAGGTGATCTGCCCACCTCTGCCTCCCAAAGTGTTGGGATTATAGGTGCGAGTCACCCCACCCAGCTCCAAGGTCCCTATTTCTGAAACTCCTGTCTGGTCTTAACCCCTTCCCTGTCTATGGCCACCCCACCCACACATGAAATATCATCTTCCCTGACCACCAAAGCTAGGGCTCCAAGTCCCCTCAAGCTAGTCTCCTGAATGCTCTTCAGCTACCCCGCTTCCCACATGGGTATCTCCCCTCCTCTCTCCCTCCATCTAGCCAACCCGAATGACTCTTCGAGGATCCACCAAAGTCTTCATCCCTCCATCACCCCCCTGACATATCTTCCTCTCTCTCACCTGTCACCCACAAGTCTGCGCTATCTTATATTCTGCTTTCTTCTGGCTGTGGGTTCACTGTGTTAACTTAATCCCCCGGCTGCTCTAAGGCAGGGGCCGACTTGGGCCTCTCTACTCTGTGCAGGTGACAAGCGAGCACCTTGACCACAGTGAACCCACAGCCGGAAGAAAGCAGGATATCAGATGGTGCAGACTTGTGGGTGACAGTTGAGAGAGAGGAAGAAATCTTTGGGGGGATCACGGAATGATGAAGACATTAGTGGATCCTCAAACAGTCATTCAGGTTGGCTAGATGGAGGGAGAGAGGAGGGGAGATACCCATGTGGAAAGCAGGGTGGCTGAAGAGCATTCCGGAGACTAGCTTGAGGGGACTAAAAGTGTGAGCTCTGATGGTCAGGGAACACCATGAAAGACCTCAGGAGGTCTCCAACCAGCCCCACTGACTGAGCTCCTGTGATACTCACGGCAGTGTATTTTCTGCAGAGAGAGGTACTTCTCCAGGTTCCTTCTGAGCTTCATTTCATTTCCATACTTGCCCACGGTCCCATCATCAGACAGGATGAAGTGTGAGTGCATGCTGTTGAGTGTTGTGAGCTTGCTGAGGGGGTTACCCAGAGTCTGGTACAGGCACACCACCTGAGAGACAGCAAGAACAAGAGAGGGTCAATGCTCTAGATCCTTCCCCAGGCTCACCTGCTCCAGAGGCCTATCTCTACATGCTAAAAGAGCTCCTGTCTAGTTTAAAAAGTAACACTTGCAATTTAGAGCAGTGCTTCTAAAACTATCTGTGGTATCGCTTTTTAAAATTTTCCATGTTTTAATGAACCAATATGGGATCCTACTATGAATAACTAGTAGGCAGCTTGTGGTACATGAGACTCACAACACAAGTTCAACAATAATGAAACATACCCTGTTCAGCAAGATCAGCCATGTGCTTTCCATGTGCTTGAATAACACAGCACGGTCACATTGCTGACAGTGGTTCTAAATATTTTTTCTTTTTTTTCTTTCTGAGAGGGAGTCTTGCTCTGTCATCCAGGCTGGAGTGCAGTGGCACAATCTTAGCTCACTGCAACCTCTGCCTCCTGGGTTCAAGCGATTCTCCTGTCACAGCCTCCTGAGCAGCTGGGATTACAGGCCCGCACCTCCACACTGGTTAATTTTTGTATTTTCAGTAGAGAATGAATTCGAGCAAAGCCTTCTATTTCATTTCTGTGCTTACCTTGCTCCAAACTACTAAAAAAAAATTCAAAGACTGGCACCAGTACACAGACCACACCATTATTCAAAAATACTGTCTTTTAGTAGATTTATTCCAGAATAATATTTTGACACTGACTTTTCTCTAGTATTCCAAAGAGAACAGTTGGCCATGTGCAGTGGCTCATGCCCATAATCCCAGCACTTTGGGAGGCCAAGGCTGGCAGATCACTTGAGGTCAGGAGTTTGAGACCAGCCTGGCCAACATGGTAAAACCCTATCACTACTAAAAATACAAAAATTAGCCAGGCATGGTGGTATGTGCCTATATCACAGCTACTCAGGAGGCTCAAACACAAGAATCACTTGAACCTGGGAGGCAGAGGTTGCAGTGAGCCTATATCTTATATCTTGCCACTGCACTCCAGCCTGCATGACATGGTGAGACTCTGTCTCAGGACACACACACACACACACACACACACACACACACACACACACATAACAGCCAACCAGCCAAAAAGCATTTCATTCATTATAAAACATCAAAATCTTTATTACATTAATGGACACTTTCTTAAGCTGTTCCACTTCATATTTGCTTTTAGAGGCAAGAGTACAGTATTTAGAGTAAGAAAGCCCAAGTTTCAGTTGAGGCCCTTCCTACACAACTGTAACCAAGTGATTGGTGAGAAAATGTTTCTCTATATGGAGTATTTAAGTATTTTGAGTGTTAAGTACATAGAGCATGTAAGCTAATAAAGAAAGGACGTTATAAATAAATGTCAGCATGTTGAAACTCTGTTGAAATAATGAATCTATGCAATAACTTGTAACATTATAAAAAGAGAGACCACCATATATTACAAGGGAAAGACATACCTCCTCCTATGGCGTAAACTTACACAGAAAACCTGAATCTGATCATACCTCTCGATCAGACTACCAACTTAAAAGAAGCAAAGAAACATGCTAAACCCTACTACAAAAGATTAAATCTGTAAAATCAAAGCTATAACAAACTCTTCAGAACAAATGACCCACTTTCCTCAACAAGTAAATTATACACACATTAAAAAATGAGATGGAGGTAAAATCCATAGATTAAAAGTGACAAAAAAAAAAAAAAACAGGTCAAGAGGTATATGAACCTTTTTTTTGGATGATGAAATCAAAACATTAAACAATGAAGACTCAAGAAATCATGGTTTTGAAAACAAACATTATGAGGCAATGAAAAATTTGACTAGACTGGGTAGGCAGTGTTACTCAGGAATTCCTGGTAATTTTTTAGATATAATAATGTCATTATATATTTTTCATTGGCCATGTATTTTAGAAAAAACTATCAAAATATTTATAGATGAAATTATTTGATGTCTCAAATTTGCTTCAAAATAATGGTGGGGGTCAGCCGAATGGATAAGGGAAGAGAGGAAACAAAACTGACGATGAGCTGCTAACTGTTGAAGCTGGAGATAGGTACGTAGAAAAGAGTTCATTTTTCTAATTTTTCTGCTGCCTAATATGTTTGAAGTTTTCCAAATTAAAAGTTAAAACAGGCTGGGTGTGGTGGCTCATGCCTGTAATCCAGCACTTTGGGAAGCTGAGGCAGGCATATCATCTGAGGTCAGGAGTTTGAGACCAGCCTACCCAACATGGTGAAACCCCATCTCTACTGAAAATACAAAAATTAGCCAGGCGTGGTGGTAGGTGCCTGTAATCCCAGCTAGTCGGGAGGCTGAGGCAGGAGAATTACTTGAACCTAGGAGGCAGAGGTTGCAGTGAGCAGAGATTGCACCAATGCACTCCAGTCTAGGTAACAGAGTCAGACTCTGTCTCACAAAAAAAAAAGTTAAAACAACCCATAAGCTTTGGGAGGCCAAGGTGGGTAGATCACAAGGTCGAGAGATGGAGACCATCCTGGCCAACATAGTAAAACCCCATCTCTACTAAAAATACAAAAATTAGCCAGGCGTTTGGCAAGCGCCTGTAGTCTCAGCTACTTGGGAGGCTAAGGCGGAAGAATCGCTTGAACCCAGGAGGCGGAGGTTGCAGTGAGCCGAGACTGTGCCACTGTGCTGTGCTCCAGCCGGGCAACAAAGTGAGACTCCGTCTCCAAAAAAAAAAACAAAAAAAAAACCATAAGCATGTCTGTATTAATCAGCATGGAGAAATAACTATGGCAAATAGGTACGCTAAAAAAAGCAGATTTATAGCAGTAAGTTCTGTTACTTTTTAAATATACACTTTTTTACTATACATATACACACACGCATAGCTGTACATATACACACATCCATAGAAAATATTCTGAAATGATCCACACAGAAATATTAACAGTAGTCATCTTTCTTCTTTAGAACATTTTCTAATGTCTGATATTTTACTGAAAACTTGTATTAGTCTTACAAACAGACTGAGACAAGTCCAGTCCCTTTAAAAGAATACATAGAATCAACCAATACACAAGAAGCAATGAAGCAGATTAATACAAGGTAAGAGATGAGAACTAAGATGGTCAAATTAAGAATGCCCCTTGTTTCACTCTGGGCAAACCACTGCAAGAACCTTGGCTACTACTTTAAGTGAGACAGAAGCCATTGAAGGCTTTTGCACAGAGAGACAGCATGGTCTGATCTGTATACTTTAAAAGAATCATTCTGGCTATGTTGAGAATAGGCTGTTAGGAGACAAAGGTAAGAATAAATACGGCTATTGCAATCATTCAGGCGACAGATAATGGTGGCTTGGAGTCACTCAGTAACTGTAGGGGTAGTGAGAAGAAATCAGATTCTAAATATATTTTTTAAGTGAAACTGATGGATCCTTTGAGTATGAAACAAAGAGATCACTCCAGGATTGTCCAAGGCTTTTGGCTTGAGCAACTCCAAGGGTGGGATTGTCATCTTCTAAGACAGTTGAGGGAAGCAGCAGAAAGTTAGGAGTTAGTTTTGAATATACCACATCTGTGATGTTCATTCATTAGACTCCAGGTAGTATTAAGCTGGCAATTTGCATACATGTTCATTTTCTTTTGTTGTGAAAGGATTGTCTACTTACATCTTTTCCAATAAGGTCTCTCTGGTTCTCAATGACACCCCAAGGAGGGATTCCAACTGTCCAGATTTTTCTCAAGGAACGAGAGGAATGGGATTTCAAGGCATCCCCAACATGTTTGGACACTCCTATGAACAACCAGTTTAGAAGTCAAACTTGAATTCATAAATTGTATAAAACAAAGAGACTGCTGGAAAGAAACAAGGGAAAGTTGCTGGCACAGTGGAATCAGTTTCTTTTATCTTGGCTTCCTCTTTCTGGACACCTCTTCTTCTCATCATTACCTCTCTCTACCTTAACAATGTTCCTCTCCCTTTGGGCAATTTCTGCCTACGACCTCAGTTCTGACCCTACTCTTGTCTAACCAAAATGCTGTGCATTGTCCTTCCTCAGCAAGCCCAGTGCTAATATGAATTTTTTTTCCCTAATCTTACTCATGTCCCAGCAAAATATCCTGCAGATATGTCCCTTAATTATTACAGTAAACTAATTTAATAGCTTTAATATACATAAATATATCAAAGTTATCCCCCCAAAAATATATTTCAAAGCTAATACATTGAGGAGTAGTATGTTAATGTTTGCCCTTCTGGAATTAATACCAGTCATTATTACAGTAGCCAACACTTACTGGCACATAGTAAGATTTCGGTAAGTGTGGCCTACCTTTGTATGTATTTACATTTTAAGCTGGAACTTTTTAAAGTCCATTTTGTAGGCAAAACTTGTGGCATGGAGAGTTTAAATAAAGTGTCCAAGGTTGTAGAGCTTTGGACAATTTACTTAGAGCTTGGATTTTGTAGAGATCGGATTCCAGTTTAGCCAATCTGACCTTTTTAAAGAATAGACTGCACTTTTTAGAGCAGTTTTAGGTTCACAGAAAAATTGAATGAAAAGCAGAGCAATTTCCCTTGCCACTCCCTGGTCCTGCACAAACACAGCCTCCCCAACTATCAGCATCCCCCATGAGACTGGTACATTTGTTAAAATTGATGACTCTGCATTATAAGGTCATGACTAATAGATTATCATTATTCTCCATAGTCCTCAGTTTACATTAGGGTTCACTCTTGGTGCTGTACATTCTATGAGTTTTGACAAACATACGATGATGTATATCCATCATGTTAGTATCACTGCCCTGAAAATATTCTGTGCTCTGCCTACTCACCCATCTCTCTCCTCAGCTCCTGGCAACCGCTAATCTTTCTATTGCCTCCATAGATTTGCCTTTTTCAGAATGTCATATACTGTAGTTGGAGTCAAACAGCAAGTAGCCTTTGAGATTGGCTTAACCCGACCTTGAAATCACAATGATGCATTGTAAGACTTATTCTTCCTGACTGTGGTACTGACCCTATCTGTGTCTTTAGCACAGAAAGAAAAAATAACCTGCATATTGCATGGATCGAATGTTTACCAGCTAAATTACTTCCTTGTTCCTGGCATCTTGTCTTCCAACTCATTTTCTGACCCTCTCCCAAAACCATCTCTAGAATCTGGGATCTAGATCACAGGCACATGTCAATATCAAGTGTGGAGCCATCCATCCCAGTAGAGATTCTGATTCCATGGTTTGGCATGGTGTGTCAACATTGTTGGTATTGTTATAAGCACCTTACATGTGATCATAATACATATTGCCTGTTGAGACTCTCTGTAAAACCCGATCTGATCATGTTATTCCCCTATTCATCCTGCTGTTCAAATTCGTTTCAGGGCACCTTGCTACGTAGAGAATAAGACATCAGCATGGCACCCAATCTGGTTCCAGTCTCCTTTGCAGTCCCTGTTCCCTGCCACATGGCACACACTCCAGCGAGGAGCTTTATCACTTCTTTCTACACACACCTTCATCTCTATCTGTGTGCCTAAGCCTGGGCTGCCACTCCTTAGTAATGCCACTTCCTACCTTTCCCACAAGACCAATGTCAAGTGCTATATCCTTTCCAAGACTTCCAAGGTACCCTCAGTTGAAAGTGGAATTCATCTCCCTCTTCCTTGTATTCTCAAAACACTTCCTTTGAAACTCAGCTATAACCCAGTCAACATCAATTTCTCATTAGTTGCTTTTTGTCTGCCACAGCCCAACCCATCCCTAAATCCAGGGTCCTCCTCTTTCATCCCTAGCACCTATCCAAATGCTTGTCACACAATGGTTTCTCAAGGCTTGTGGCATTCAATTTAAGTAAATTTAAAAGATTCATGCCAAATTATGTTCAACTATGGTTGAGAAGCCTGTCAAGAATAGACAGAAGCTCATAAGCAGAGCTCAAATTTAAATGTGCACAGGAATCGTCAGGGGATGTTGTTAAAATGCAGGTTCTGATTCTGCAGGGCTGGGGTGGGGCCTGAAATAGGCACTTCCAGCAAGCTCTCAGTTGATGCTGATGCTGCTGGTCCAGGGACTAATCCTTAAGTAGTCAGGCCCTAGAGGAGCTGTGGTTGAATCAGGTCAGACTGGTTGTTTTTTGTTGTTGTTGTCGTTGTCTTCTTCTTTCCTTCCTTCTTCATTCTTCTTCTTCCTCCTCCCTTTCCACTTCCTCCTCCTTCTCCTCCTCCTCCTCCTCCTCCTCCTCCTCCTCCTCCTCCTCCTCCTCCTCCTCTTCCTCCTCCTCCTCCTCTTCCTCCTCCTCCTTCTCCTCCTCCTGCTCCTTCTCCTCCTTCTCCTCCTCCTCGTCCTTCTTCTAGACAGGGTCTTGCTTTGTCATCCAGGCTGTGTGCAGTGGCATGATCACAGCTCACTGCAGCCTTGACCTCTCAGCCTCAAGTAAGCCTCCCACCTCAGCCTCCCCATTAGCTGGTTCTACAGGTGCACACCACCACATCCAGCTAATTTCCGTATTTTTTTAGAGATAGGGTTTTGCCATGTTGCCCAGGTTGGTCTCAAACTCCTGAGCTCAGGCGATTCACCAGCCCTCAGCTTCCCAAAGGGCTGGGATTATAGGCATGAACCACTGCATTGGCCTGACTGTTGTTTAGTGGAGATCCAAGTAGTATTTTTCATTTTCCATTTATTTTGTTCATATAAAGTATTTCAATCATCTTCACATTACTCTATTTGTGTTCCTTCAGGTTAGCTGACACGAACCTAAATGATCTTTTTAAGGCGTTAAGTAAAACAAAGCATGACATTCAGTTAGTGATTCAAAGAAAAAGCCTTGCCCAAGCCTGGTTTTTTTTTTTTTTTTAAGCCAGCCAAATTTAGCAGTCGGGGGTTGTATACCAACTTTAACGATGCTAATGTTAATAAGTTCTGATAACCCTGGCTTTTTAATGAATGATGTGAAACTTCCCTACCCACCCACTTTTTTTTTTTTACTGGAAATCAAATAAGAACCATACAATGGACTTAGAACTCTGCTAACTTCAGTTTCTTCCAAGAATGTGAAACAATCTCTATAAAATATGCATGATAAACTACTGTGTTACCTAATCGTGACAGGTCAAATCCCTCGGTTTCATTTTGCTTTGTGTTTTCAGTTATTCACTTCCTTCATTTCTTTTCAGCCAAAAGAAACTTTGTTACATCAGTACAAGTTGCTAAATGCTTAGGCAGATGTTCAGACCCTGGCCCCTAGTACACAATCTGACACACTGACTCATCCTAACCTGTAAGGCAAAATATCAGTATTCTACAGGTGCTACAGGCAGTAAATGCTGTAGAGACTAAAAGACAAAAGTGAGTAGCTCTAGTTGAGATATTCAAAAGGCTGTGTCATGAGTGTGTTGGCATCTTGTGTAGATCTTAAAACATGGACAAAATTTGATAGGAGACACTGGTGAGGGCATACCAAATCAAAAGAAAGAAAAGTAAAGAGAAGATAGAAAACCACAGGTGAGTAACAAATTGGTAAGAGACAAGAGTTTATGGAATTAGTAGTTCTCAATCCTGGCTGACACGCTTCAGAAGCTCATGACTGAAAGCCTCTAATTCATCTGGGGAAGAGTATGTACATCTGCATTTTAAAAGCTCCCCAGGTTGTCCTTACCTGCAGAGTTTACAAACACTGAAGCAAAGAAATAAGGTCGGAGCCCACCACAGGAGGTTCTTGAATTACAGATTTCAAGAAGTATAAAATAGTCAATGATTGAGATGGTGAGTGTTTTGGCAATCATGTAGGTTTTTTTTTTTTTTTTTTTTTTTAAGTATCTCTTCATGCACAAAACAGGTAATGTGAGCTTTACCCACATCACTCATTTCCCAAGTCTGAGAAATTCACAATGATTACATGAGTTTAGCGAAGTCCAGGACCACACACACTGTGCACTTGAATGGATTCGATGTCCCTTCTAGCTTTGCTATAGTTGGGAGCTCAGGAAAGACTATTTTCTTTTCCAGAGGTTTATCTGAAGTTATGTTAAAATAGTATATTCTGACAATGGTGAAAGCACATTCCAGGAAAAACCTGTGATTCTTCTGAATTTATTCTCTAGTCACTATGCTTTTCATCTTTCTTCCTCACGGCACCACATATCCTAGGAGCACTGCAGAGCAGAGATTAGGTGGCACACTACCTGATTCACAGTTAGAAAGAAGAAAGAAAAAAGAGAAAGAGAAGAAAGAATGAAAGAACAAAAGAATGGAAGGAAGGAAGGGAGGGAGAAAGAAAGGTTGGAGGGAGGGTGGAAGGGAGGGTGGGCGAGAGGGAGAGATGGTAGGTGAAAGGCAGGGAAGGAAAAAGGGAGGGAGGGAGGGAAAGAGCTTTACCTGTATTGATGCCTTCAGTTATTATCCATGCTCCTGTTGTCTCTGCAGCTTTAATCAAACCTTGGCTGAAAATCTCTTTAAGTTTAGAGGGTATCGTAAAGTTCTGGATGCCCCCATGTACCGAGATCACCAGCTTGGGCAGTTCCATTTTCCATTCTTTCAACATTAAATGTAACAGATGATCCAATTTTGTATCATAAGAAGTTCGAATATACTGCAAGAAAAGCACATATGGGTGAACAGAACATAGTAAAAAAGATATGCCAGGCACAGAAATAAAGTGCACACAGCAGGGCAACTGAAATGGCCAAAATCTAAAAGGAAGTATGTGGGATCTCTTTAAAGTTCATCTTCATGTAATGGAAATATTTACTTTTAAAATATTCCACGCTCCCATTAAGTTCGTTCTGGGAATTACAAGTCACTGTAGGAAAGCTTCCTCTGGTTTTCAAGGCTGGCCCACCTGTGCTCTCCAAAGAACCTGCGGTGAGACAGAAATACTTCAAACAGCAAGGTATGGTGGCTCACGCCTGTAATCCCAGCCCTTTTGGAGGCCGAGGTGGGCAGATCACCTTAGGTCAGGAGTTCAAGACCAGCCTGGACAACATGGTGAAATCCTGTCTCTACTAAAAATACAAAAAATTAGCCAGGCATGGTGTCATATGCCTGTAATGCCAGCTACCTGGGAGACTGAGGCAGGAGAACTGCCTGAGCCCAAGAGGCAGGCAGTAAGCTGAGATCACTTACTCCACTCATGCCACTGCACTACAGCCTGGGCGACAGAGCGGGACTCCATCTCACAAAAAAGAAATGCTTCAAACAACTGGCCAAATCACTATGTCAGCAAATCTTTTCATCAGAAGCTATGACAAATAGGTGAAATGGGGTTTTGCATAAATGCTATGGCTTTCCATTTACTTAACCATTTCACATATTTGTATAATTTAAATTAAGATTCAAGAGCATGGACATTTACTTTATTGTAAATTTTATCTTTTAATCATTCTTTTTTAAAATTGCAAATTTTACCTTCTAACCATTATCCCTCTGAAAACACTGTCATTCCAAAATAAATACTTTTCATAAAACAGTCATCTCTTTAATAGTTAATGTAAGCAAAATAAAAGATACGGGAAATCGGCCAGGTGCGGTGGCTCACGCCTGTAATCCCAGCACTTTGGGAGGCCGAGGCGGGTGGATCACGAGGTCAAGAGATTGAGACCATCCTGGTCAACATGGTGAAACCCCATCTCTACTAAAAATACAAAAAATCAGCTGGGCACAGTGGCGCGTGCCTGTAATCCCAGCTACTCCGGAGGCTGAGGCAGGAGAATTGCCTGAACCCAGGAGGCGGAGGTTGCGGTGAGCCGAGATCGCGCCATTGCACTCCAGCCTGGGTAACAAGAGCCAAATTCCGTCTCAAAAAAAAAAAGATACGGGAAATCAAAGCCAGCAGGTAGCCCCAGAATCATTTTTTATTTTACCTAAGGTTGTACTGCATTGCTAGCTTGCTTTTTCCTGCAAATGCAGATTATTCAAATGATATTGAGATGAGTTCACCTCCCTCAAACCTATGCGAACCAACAGCAAGAATAAGCCAGAGTTATAGAAAGAAGGACAATAAGAAACCATGAATTATGAAACAAAACAACCACAGGTGAAGATCTCCATACATGCAAATAGGAATTATCACATGATCCTCCAGAACATGATAGCGATTTAAAACAATTTCCCATTGATCTTTGAAATTCTTTTTTTTTTTTTTTTTTGAGATGGAGTCATGCTCTGTCACCCAGACTGGAGTGCAGTGGTCGATCTCAGCTCACTGCAACCTCCGTCTTCTAGGTTCAAGTGATTCTCTAGCCTCAGCCTCCTGAGTAGCTGAGATTATAGGCCTGTGCCACCATACCCAGCTAAATTTTGTAGTTTTTAGTAGAGACGGGGTTTCGACATGTTGGCCAGGTTGATCTCAAACTCCTGACCTCAGGTGATCCACCCACCTCAACCTCCCAGAGTGCTGGGATTACAGGTGTGAGCCAACACACCTGGCCTGAACTTGTTGATACATAATTCCTTTATTCCATAATTAAAATATTAAAATTTCTGAGTATCAGGAATAGTGCAGCTATTAAAAAATGTGAATAATTTAGAAAAAATATAAGAATAATCATGGCAGAGCATGGTGGTTCGCACCTGTAATCCCAGCACTTTGGGAGGCTAAGGCAGGCAGATCACCTGAATTCAAGAGTTTAAGACCAGTCTGGCCAACATGGCGAAACCCATCTCTATTAAAAATACAAAAATTAGCTGAACGTGGTGGTGCATGCCTGTAGTCCCAGCTACTCTGGGATGTTGAGGCATAAGAATTGCCTGAACTTGAGAGACAGAAGTTGCAGTGAGCTGAAATTGAGCCACTGCACTCCAGCATGGAGTGAGACTCTGTCAGACAAAAAAAAAAAAAAAAAGAATATAAGAATAACCAGAACTCAATTGACAAGTGAGGTATCCAAGCTGCCATGGTTAGTAGAAAAAAATACAAATTGATTCTTGTGAAATGCTTTCTGTTGCTCCAAATAATAAGTAAGTACAGAAGAGCCAGTGCTGGTTTAGTTCACCTTCTCTTGAATGCACTCTTCCTCTCAGGCATCCCTCTCCTTCAACTGTAAGTCCTTTTTGTCCAGTGAGGTATTTCCCCTTGAGATTTCAGGAAAAACAACCTGAACGAACTAATTATCTGCATGTGCATTCTTTCCTTCAAAGGCCAGCTGAAGACTATGCTAAAGTTTAATGGAGAGTCTCTGCATCTATAATCATTCTTTCCTATCTATCTCCTTTGTAACTAACATAGTTACGCAGCTTCTTACTGGCAGAAATTCACTTCAAATCCTTCATGGAATGAGATGAGAGAGATAAACAACTGAGAAGGGGAATGCAGCAGAGAGAGAAATAAGCAGTTCTCCCAAGGTTCCCTGCAGCTCAGCATGAACCCAAAGTGAGAATCTGGACCTAAATATAAATATCTTCATCTCTTCTTTGACATCAAATAAAATACATTCGGGTAATCAGTTTTTGTTTGTTTGTTTGTTTTGGCTCTAGTACTTGCCATAGGTAGGTAGTTTGTAACTGGAGCCTAATACTAAATATAAAACATACTAATTATCAGGAGAGAGGTCTAAGCATATTATCAGGTCTAAGCATATTTTTAGGTCCTAAATATACCATATTCTCCCTAACTAGCTCCCATAGGGACCAGCTAGTACCCATGCCTAAGAGTAGTCATACCGCTTGCCTCATGAGACACCATTTGCCTCACTCCCTTTCAGATCGCAGCTTAGCTGTCCCTACTTTTAGACAGCTTCCTTAACACACACACTGTCCCCCAAAAAGAGGAGGAGTTACCCTTTTCATTCTCTCAAACAACCTGTATTCCCTTTGCAGTGCATATGCCCTCTGTGGTAATATGTTTATTTTCTGTTTTTCTAGACCATAAGAAATGTTAGTATACAAAACAGATGATCTTTGGAGCCGGACGTGGTGGCTCATGCCTATAATCCCAGCACTTAGGGAGGCGGAGGCGGGTGGATCACCAGAGGTCAGGAGTTCAAAACCAGCCTGGCCAACTTGATCAAATCCCATCTCTACTAAAAATACAAAAATTAGCTGGCGTGGGGGCAGGTGCCTATAGTCCCAGCTACTTGGGTGACTGAGGCAGGAGAATTGCTTGACCCCAGGAGGTGGAGAGGCAGAGGTTGCAGTGAGCTGACATTGTGCCACTGAACTACAGCCTGGACAACACAGCAAGATTCCATCTCAAAATATTCTGTCTCAAAAAAAAAAAAAAAATTGGAGGGACACAGATAGTGTGCATACCCAGCAAATATTTGTTGAAAAGTGCATAAATGAAGGTATTAAGAGAAGGCCAGGCACAACAGCTCAGGCTGTAATCCCAGCACTTTGGGAGGCCAAGGAAGGTGCATCATCTGAGGTCAGGAGTTTGAGATCAGCCTGGCCAACATGGTGAAACCCCATCTCTATTAAAATAAAAAATTAGCCAGGCATGGTGGCACATGCCTGCAATCCCTCTACTTGGGAGGCTGAGGTGAGACAGACACTTGAACCCAGGAGGCAGAGGTTGCTGTGAGCTGAGATCACACCATTGGACTCCAGCCTGGAGACAGAGCAAGACTCCATCTCAAAAAAAATAAATAAATAAAACATAAAGGCAAAAAAAGGAAAAGTAAAACAAGGGAAAATTACACACAGAATTCTATGAGAATTAGCTTTCAAGAAAAATTGGAGATGAGGATGAAGGCAATTTTTCTGTCAACTAGAAACATCAACAAGGGTAAAGGCAAGGACTTATAACTGTTGATATAGATTATTATAGAACTGTATTATGAAAGTTTTTTAGGATTGAACTATTAGAAACTGGCACTTCAGATCTAGCCAGCTGATGGTCACACTCCAGGGAAGGGCTGACTCAGAGCTTTCCTGAGGTGGGCTCTACCTGCAGTTGCTCCAGAGAAAGCTGCCTCTAATAGAGCAGCAGGTGGTTAATATACTCAAGAGAAAACACCTAAGGAATAGCTAACCTGTCAATACTATGCAATCACATGCAAAATTGCCATTTTTGGGAATGGGGAAACCTAAAAGCTGAAATACTATCATCCAGTGGGTGCAGAGAGAAATTCCCCCAAAGTCTTCATGAGAAGAGGCTCTCACAAAACTTGGGAGACAGAACAGAGGCAAATTACTGGTAATTTTTATGGTCATTGTTCATTTAGGAGCAACTAAAGCCTGCTCCTTGGTAATAACTTTTCTGCATTCCTTAAGAATCAATAAAGCAGTGGATTGACAATTGTTCCCAGGGCAATAAGCCATTCTCTTCTGCATAAGTACAAACTTCCTGAAAGTAAGAGGTCACTCAAATAAAGAGCTGACCACACCACACCAAGGAAAGGTACAATGCCCTTCAGACATAAAGGAAAGAGGATCAAGCAATTTGTCTCAAGAGAGTCAATATCATGGATTATTTCTGCAATAAAACCAGCATCCCATTATCTATACTTGGAAATACAATTTGGAAGACACATTTGGAAGTTACCCTCTGTGTGAAATCAGCAAAACAATTTGGATTATTAGCAAACCTTGGCGTGGTAGGTGTGCTCTCCATCTTGGAAATTAATCGTGCCAAAAGTATCTGTCGGGCTTTTCTTTGTGTGCTTTTCAACAGACCATTGTTCACTTTCTTTGCCCTTAGCAGCTGAGATGGTCCAGGCATAATCTATCCCAGCATGATCTCCAATCAGTCGACCACAGTAACACCTTAAATTCAAGACAAAAAAAAAAAAAAACTTACTTCAAAATAGAAAATAGATGCAATGTTCCTTCCTTTTTCTAGAGTAATGTATAGATCCCATATAGTATGTCTTAAAACTTCATAAGATTTATGTTAGATTTCTAACATAGGACTGCCTTCTAAGTTTAGAAACACTATTAGTGGTTCTCTCCCTTGGCTGCACATTAGGATAATTTGGGGAATTTTTTTTTAAATGTAGGCATACCTTGGAAATACTGAAACTTTGGTTCCAGTCCACTGCAATAAAATGAATATGGCAATAAAGCTAGTCACACAAATAGTTTGGTTTCCCAATGCATATAAAAGTTATGCTGACACCATACTGTAATCTAGTAAGTGTTCAATAGCATTATGCCTGAATAACAATGTACATACCTTAATTAAAATAATTTATTTCTAAAAAATGCTATCAACCATCTGAGCCTTCAGTGAGTTGTAATCTATGTGCTGGTGAAAGGTCTTGTCTCAATGTTGATGGTTGCTAACTGATCAGAATGGTGGTTACTGAAGGTTAAGGTGGCTGTGGCTATGTCTTAAAATAAGATAACAATGAAATTTGCCACATTGATTGGCTCTTCCTTTCACAAAAGATTTCTCTGTAACATGTTATGCTGTTTGATAGCATTTCACCCACAGTGGAACTTCTTTCAATATTTGAGTGAATATTCTCAAACTCTGCCACTGTTTTATCAACTAAGTGTATGTCATATTCTAAATCCTTTCTTGTCATTTCTACAATGGTTATAGGATCTTCACCAGTAGATTCCATTTCAAGAAACCATTTTCTTTGTTCATCCATAAAAAGCAACTCCTCATCTAATCAAGTTTTATAATGAGATTCAGTCACACCCTTCAAACTCCAGTTTTAATCCTAGATCTCTTGCTATCTCCAGCACCTTCTCCAGTGAATCCCTCCACTGGAGTCTTAAACCCCTCAAAGCTGCCATTCATGAAAGTTGGGATCAGCTTCTCCAAAACTCTCACTAATGTTGCCATTTTGACCTCCTCCCATGAACCACAAATGTTCTTAATGGCACCAAAAAAAAAAGTTTTTAATGGCTTCTAGAATGGTGAATCTGTTCTAGAAGGTTTTCAATTTACTTTGTCCAGATCCATCAGAGGAACCACTATCTACAGCAGCTAAAGCCATACAAAATTATTTCTTAAAATAATAAGAGTTGAAATTCAAAATTATTTCTTGATCCATTGGCTACAGAATGGATGTTGTATTAGCAGGCATGAAAATAACATTCATCTCCTTGTAATATTTCCATAAGAGCTCGTGGGTGACCAGGTCCATGGTCAACGAGCAGAAATATGTTGAAAGGAATTTTTTTTAAAGCATTATATCTCAACAGTGGCCTTAAAATATTCAGTTAACCATACCATAAACGGAAATACTGACATTCTGGCTTTGTTGTTCCATTTATAGAGCACAGTAAATTTAGTATAATTCTTAAGGGACCTAAAATTTTGGCATGGTAAATGAGAGCCGGCTTTAACATAAAGTCACCAGCAATGATGCTGATAGACTTGCTTGATCCAAGGTTCCCACAAACCTCCAATTGTCTCCTGACAAGAGAGTCAACGTGTCCTTTGAAGCTCTGAAGCCAGACACTGACTTCTCTCTAGCTATGAAAGTCTTAGATGGCATCTTCTTCCAACATAAAGCTGTTTGTCTACATTGAAAATCTTTGTTTAGTATAGGTACCTCAGTGATCTTAGCTAGATCTTCTGAATAACTTGATGCAGCTTCTCCATTAGCAGCTTTGGCTTCACCCTGAACTTTTATGTTACAGAGACAGCTTCTTTCTTTAAACCTCATGAACCAACATCAGCTAGCTTCAAACTTTTATTTTGAAGCTTTTTCACCTCTCTCAGTCTTCATAGATTGAAAAGAGTTAGGACCTTGCTCTGGATTTGGCTTTCATTTACGGGAATGCTGTGGCTGGTTTGATCTTCTATCAGACCACTCAAACTTTCTTCATATCAGCAATAAGGCTGATTTTTTTTTTAATCATTTGTGTGTTCACTAGAGTAGCACTTATAACTTATCAATCAATAACCTTTCCTTTGCATTCACAACTTGGCTGTTTGGCACAAGAGGCCTAGCTTTCAACCTATCTCAGCTTTCAACATGCCTTCCTCACTAAGCTTAATTATTTCTAGCTTTTGATTTAAATTGAGATATGTGAGACTCTTCACTTTACTTCACTAAGTGGTCATTACAGGATTATTAATTGGCCTAATTTCAACATTGTTGCATCTCCAGATAGAGGGAGGTGCAAGGAGAGGGAGAGAGACAGGATCGGTCAGTGGAGTAGTCAGAACACATAACATTTATCAATCGTTTGCCCCCTCTTACATGGGTGCAGTTCATGACACTCCAAAACAATTACAATAGTGACATCAAAGATCACCGATTTAAAATGTCGTAACTGATAGAACAATGATGAAATGAAAAAGTTGAAATATTGCAAGAATCATTAAAATGTGATGCAGAGACAAGAAATGAGCATGTGCCATTGGAAAAATGACAGATAGACTTGCTTGATCCAAGATTCCCACAAACCTTTAAATTATAAAAAAAATGCAATGTCAGTTAAGCGCAGTAAAGTAACACACAATAAAATGAGGTAAGCCTGTACCAAAAATCTCTTGCATATTCATGATCATAGCAGCATTATTCTGAATATCCACAAAGTGAAAGCAACTCAAATATCTATCAGTGGAGGAGCAGACAAACAAAATGTGGTATATAAATACCATGGCATATAATTCAGCCTTAAAAAGGAAGGAAATTCTGACATATGCTACAACATGGAAAAACCTTGAAGACATTATGCTAATTAAAAGAAGCCAATCACAAAAAGATAAACAGGCCAAGTGTAGTGGCTCATGCCTATAATCCTAGCAGGTTGAGAGGCTGAGGTGGGAGGATTGCTTGAGACCAAGAGTTCATGACCAGCCTGGGCAACACAACAAAACTGTCTCTACAGAAAAATACGAAACTAGCCCCATGTGGTGGTGCAAGTCTGGAAACCCAGCTATTCAGGAGGCAAGAGAATCACTAGAGCCTGGAAGGCAGAGGTTGCAGTGAGCTGAAATTATACCCCTGCACTCCAGCCTGGGCAACAGAGCAAGACTCTGTCTCAAAACAATAACAAAAGTAAAAATAATTTATCATGTTATGCATGATCTACAACATGTTGAATAAAACTAACAAAAATACAAATAAAGAGGGCAGGAGTTATAACTTAGATGAGTAAAAAGAGCCTCTCTGACATTTTGGGATGGATGATTTGAAAAAATATTTAAGTAAAAAATAAATAAAGAGAGCCTCTCTAGGAAATCAATTAGACGTCAAGAGAGTTCTTATTTATTTAAAATTAATATCAAGAAGCAGAGAAAATTTGTCATTTATTATAAATAATTGAGTACAGTTCCTACTGTGACTTTTACCTCACCTAGGTTAATCAACAGATAAGTGTTGGCCTTAGCTTCCTGGATATTAAATTTCTGTTTTCTTTAGCTTTCTTGTCAATACAAACAAGTCAATGTATGGTCCAGTATCTGAATAGACATTTAGATGCAAATTTTTTTCCCCTATAATTAAAGCACATTCTCTTATTAAAGGGAAATTTATACTTCTACATTTATGTACCTCTTTTGCAACAAGAGCCCTATTATATCATTTTAAAGTTCTTGCCATACCTAATTGTCATTTAAAACAATTATATTGTTTTCTGGTATGAACTACAGTAACAAATTCTTTTTTTTTTTAAACAGAGTCTCTCGCTCTTTTGCCAGGTAGCAGGCTGGAGTATGGTGGTGCAATTTTGGCTCACTGCAAACTCCACCTCCCAGCTTCAAGCAATTCTCCTGCCTCAGCCTCCTGAGCAGCTGGGACTACAAGCATGCGCCACCACACTCAGCTAATTTTTGTATTTTAGTAGAGACGGGGTTTCACTGTGTTGGCCAGGATGGTCTTGATCTCTTGACCTCATGATCCACCTGCCTTAGCCTCCCAAAGTGCTGGGAATACAGATGTGAGCCACCACACCTACAGTAACAAATTTTTAAATGAGAATTAGATAAGTATAGCAAGAACTTTAAAAACTAAAAACATGTTTCTTATCTATATTTTAGAATTTTTTTTTTTTTTGAGAAGAATCTCACTCTGTTGCCCAGGCTCGAATGCAGTGGTGTGATCTCTGATCACTGCAACCTCCACTTCCCAGGTACAAGCAATTTTCCTCTCTCAGCCTCCCAAATAGCTGGGAGTACAGGGTGCATCATCACACCCAGCTAACTTTTTTGTATTTTTAGTAGAGATGGGGTTTCACCATGTTGCCCAGGCTGGTCTTGAACTCCTGACCTCAGGTGATCCACTCACTTCAGCCTCCCAAAGTACTGGGATTACAGTCACTTCAGCCTCCCAAAGTGCTGGGATTCAGCCTCCCAAAGTGCTGGGATGCACACTTCTAAAAAATTATCTTCATCTATTAAAATCTTCAGACCTGGGCTTATCTAGAAGTTCTAAACAGCCTAGTCACCGATCCCATGGGTCTACAAACAACAAATGGCTCCATGCACTATCTACCATAACATTATTCCTTTCCTATCTTGGGTATACAGATGAGGTGCTGTGCAAGCCAACAACTGTCTTTTCACAATTAGGTGCTACTATGCACCCAACATCAAGTTTTAACCGAAAATGGCTGACAATGGCAAATTTCAGCAAGGACACATTTCTCTTGCAACAAAATTTTTCTTTGAATTATTATTAGTATTAACATTCTCACTTTTTAAAATTTTTACTTTTTGAGACAAGGTCTCATTCTGTCACCCAGGCTAGAGTGCAGTGGTGTGATCATGGCCCACTGCAGCCTTGACTTCCGTGCCCAGTGAATCCTCCCACCTCAGCATCCTGTGCAGCTGCAACTACAGGCACAGGCTATCAATC